ATCGAGGAGTGAGGAGGCTTCCAGAGGAGCTATGAGCGAGGATACACAGGTGTACCCTTTGCGGAAGAGTTTTATCGACTAAACATGACGCACGTATCAATTCTCCTCCCCCTTCACATCTGTCACAATCATTTGAATTTATACTTTACTTTTGTAGTTTACATAAACCACACAACTCACATATTTCAACAAGGTATCTTGCTTTATTATTATTTATTATGAATTTCTTAAATAAACAAACTTTAACAACATAAGGGCAGATCCTTTGAGCACTGCTGATGACGCAGTGAAGTGACGCTCGAGTGATCAAGTATTCCAATGTATAAAAAAAACTTTCATTCAATTCCTCCATCCTCTTTTTTTCCTTGCAGCCTTCCCTCGCGTCCTACAGTGGGTGGAGCTGAGACGCGAGGAAAGGAAGCGAGGAAAGGAAACGAGGATGCACAAATAAGAAATGAGAAGCACCCAGGGTAACAGGAATGAACACTGGGTAACAAGAATGAACACTGGGAATGAACGCTGGGTAACAGGAATGAACACTTGGTAACAGGAACAAACACTGGGTAACAGGAATGACAACGCATTCTCATCCTAGGGCGTCATATTTGACATATTTTGACATTTCGTCTACATCCAACGCACATGGCACCCTTTAACGGCAATATGAGACGCAGATAGATATGGGTAGGTTTAGGCCTGGGTCTGGGGTAGGATTAGGGTTAGACCGCTAGGAGGCGCCTTCTGGCCCATATCTATCTGCGTCTCATATTGACGCTAAAGGGTCAGTATATGACGCCTTGGGATGAGAACGGGCTGGGAATGAACACAGGGTAACGGGAATGAACACAGGGTAACAGGAATGAACACTGGGTAACAGGAATGAACACTGGGTAACAGGAAGGAACACTGGGTAACAGGAACAAATACTGGACAAATGTTTTTTTACAACATTTTTAACATTAATAAATAACATCTAAGACATAATTTAGCTAACAGGACAGTACGTTTAGATTGACCTTCTCAGTCTTAGTTACAATTTCATCAAATATACACATATTAAAATGAGAGGACTTACTTTTGGTCTTCGCATGGCCTGCATAAGATCCAGATGATGCAAATTCCTGTTGAAAATGTGTCTTGTGGCATGTTCCAAGATTTATAGAGGGGGCAATGTGTGAGGGTAGCAGGACTGAGTAAAAACCGGACTAAAATGTGTATTTTATATAACAAACATATTATTGATTTCTTATAGAACAATATTTTAATATTTAAAGCATAGATGGGATATGGAGTCACACAAACAATGCAAAAAATGATTTCTGACATATTTAATTATGTTTCATGGTAAAGGTTAGATTGAGATAGTGGATACATTTAACAAATGCTATTTTTGAGTGTTCTCTGTAGTTTTTATTAATGTTTTAAATATTATATTTTAAATTTGCATTTAGACTAATGTTCAGGACACTTTGCTTAAAGGGATACTCCACCCAAAAATGAAAATTCTGTCATCATTTACTCACCCTCGAGTTGTTGCAAACCTGTATGAGTTTCTTTCTTCTGCTGAACACAAAGGAAGATATTTTGAAGAACGATTGGAACTTTGGCACCATTGACTTCCATAGTACTATTTTTTTTCTACTATGGAAGTCAATGGTGCCAAACAACTGTCTTGTTCCAATCGTTCTTCAAAATATCTTCATTTGTGTTCAGCAGAAGAAAGAAACTCATACAGGTTTGCAACAACTCGAGGGTGAGTACATGACAGAATTTTCATTTTTGGGTGGAGTATCCCTTTAACAGGAAAGTGTATTTTAAAGTGTCAATGTTTACTTATAAAAATTAATCAATCGAGAAATATACATAAACGCATTATTAGGCCTACTATAACAAAATTGTTTAAGGTATCTCTATAAACTATCTTTATAAACATAACATAGAGGCTTGTCTTATTGCATGGTTTGATGAAAATATAAATCAACCATTTAGTAAACTGGTAAAATGTACGTTTAACTGAGCAAATCAGACATTTTCTGAATGCAAGGCGTTGTAGGCTACTTGATTCTTATAATCTGGTCACACATATAGCCCGATAATAAAATTATTTGATTAATATTAACTAATAGCCTAGTCTCCGCCTGATTAAAATGATTTTCAAATTCTCCTGCAGTAAGGGAATAACCGATGGTGAAAAAAAAAAGTTTAAAAATAACTAAAACTGTTCGGATACCTCACCCCAAACTGTTTGTCAACGCGATTAGGCCACTCACCGCTCAGGGAATCTGATCATTTATCTCTGCCAACGGGAAGCTTTTAGTTATCTTTTTGAAAGTATATTTGTGATGATTAGTAATAAATAATACAATCAAGCAGCGACAATCGTGATACAATCATATTTCTGTCAGCAGCGCAATTGTGCCGGTTATGAGTTGATCTGCATTGACCTCTAGCGGAGAGCCCTGGAACTGCGAGCAAACATTAATCAGACAACTCAAAGAACTATATATGTCCGTATATATGATCGTACAGAAAAAAAACCCGAGTTACAATTCAGCTGGTAAAAGTTTTAATACAAAATGAAATACACAGAAGCACCCATTATTACAGCAGATCATGTACACAAAATACAAATGTTTCACAGAGCAAAGAGATTTTTTTTAATCCTCCAGTTTTAACTACTGTAACATTAAAAAGGAAAAAATAAACCTTTTATTTTGAAAGTGTAAAAAAAATGCAGTTTATTCCAAATCAATGAATTTCCCATTTTGTTACATCACGTTTTTCAGTAGATGCTAAACCCTGCCCAACTTTCACATCTACACACACACACACATACAAATTACACAAAACATCCCACTTAACAATTACACAATGCAGATGATACATTTGTGGCCCCTACTACAACCTATATAAAAAAATAAAATAAAAATAAAGACGCTTCTAAAAACACCTTCTTTCTGTGAAAAGTTGTTCCAATTTCTACATTTGTAAACGTCCATCATCAGCACTCGACACAGCATGTACCATGTTAAAAGATGGGCTTGTTTCGCTTATGTACTGGTGTTATTCCAAAAATGTAAAGAGACGGTTCGTCCAAAAATGGAAACACTGTCATAATTTACACACCCTCAAGTCGTTCCAATCCAAACCGGTGTGATATTTTGAAGACTGTCGGTAACCAAACAGTTCTGGACCTAACTGACTTCCATATATATATTTATATATTTCATAGGGACCAGAAAATGTTTTGATTAACAACATATCATTCATGTTTGGACCGACTTGAGGGTGTGTAAATGATGACAGAATTTCCAATTTTTGGGTGAACCGTCTCTTTTGCAACATTTTAGGCTTAAAATACAGATTTAGGAAAGCCATATATGTGTATTAAAATGGCAAATACTAATAAAAATGACAGAGTAATTCAGCAGTTAAAATGTACGAATCTTTATAGTGGAGGGAATGTGCATCTGTTAGCACATCTGAAAGAGCGATATATATACACATGTAAGGAAGTGACATCACAGCACTGTGAGGAGTAACACATGACAGGATCAAAGCCAAACCAGCATTAACAGTAATTCCTTCCACAACATCCTTTAATTCCCACAGATCCAAGCGCAAACTTACACACGCCACATTCCCGCTGTTCAAATCACAGCCACGATTACCATCCTTCCCATAATCCCACAGTCCAAACTTACACAAACCTTCAAGACACATCACGGACCCTTGACAAACCCCTAGGAATAAAACGTAACAGCTTTTCATTGAGAAACACGACTGCTGTGTGCACTTCTCACCATACGAGTTATGAAAAATCACTAAATATTGAACTAAATACATTAATCTCCTTGACTCAAATTGCATGGAAACTGCTGACGATTTACAACAAAGAAGGTTTAAAATAAATCACAGTTGTATTGTTCTAGTCACAAAATGTCATATTTCGAATGTTCACAGTGTTAAGACGTTTCTATATGTAAACAAATACCAGTTGCTGTAAATAACGGTAATGCACTTTTGTGAGTAAATGTTGTGAATCGTTCTCTTGACGTTTGATTACAGCATGGACTGTGTGGTTAGCGTACGGCCCAGGTATCAGCACACACTTCCACACACACACAAATATATTTACACATATACAGACTGCAAATAAATGAGCTCAAAGAGCAAAAGTGTTATCACGGGTCAGTTAACAACTCCCAGTGCAACTAACTAGTGGTTTACCCAAGCACACCTGATGTAGCGGTTTAAAACTCTGCAGCGGATTAAAAAAAGAAAGAACAATAAGGTCACATTAAATGAAAATTAGTCCCAACATCTAGTATGTTAAAACAATACAGAATCTAAAAATATAAATAAAATAATTAGAATAAAACTATCTCCTCTGGTTGTTTAGGATGACGTCTTCTGTTCAGGCTGAATGCACACTACAGACAAAAGCAACAAGCACAGTTACAGAGATATACAGAGACACCTTTCAAATGAATAATTCAAACAAAATTCAAACAAAACAAATAAATATCACTTGTGAAATAAAACAAAAACAAAGCAAATAAAAACAAATGACAGTTTAAATAAGAAAAATTAAAAATTAAAATAAAAAAAGAATAAATATCACTTATGAAATAAAACAAAGCGACACTTTAAATAAAAACAAAATTTTTAATTTAAAAACAAAAATAAATAAATATAACTTTAAGAAAAAAGTAAATAAAAAAATGAAACAAAAAGAAGAAAAAATCATACAGCAAAAATAAATAGATGTAACAAACAAATTAGAACAAAAATAAAATGAATTTCACACCTGGAAAAACGATTTCAAAGAAATTGAAACAAAATAAAAATAAAACAAAAAAAAATCAAAACAACTAAACAAATAAGTAAATCAATAAACAAACAAAAAAAATAAAAATAAAGAACAAAAAAACAAACAAATGTAGAATAAATAAAGAGTCAGTTGCAGTCTTGGTGTGTGTGCTGCTCACCTCCTCCTCCTCCTCTTCCTCAGCTCTCTGTCCCGCAGCTGAGGTTCTCCTTCCCCGGAGGAGACACTCGCCCTCTCCTGTCCACCGCAGGCTGGCTCCCCAAAACCTTCCTCTGCGGTTAAACACAGCAGCACTCATCACACACACTCTTTCAGACGCTGGATTGCTGGGTTTGTTACAGTGTGACTTTATAGTGCAATCCCTTTAAACTAGGATGTATGGCTTTGAGTTAAAGGACACAGAATAGCCTGTGCTGGAGATGGTGATGAGGCTCTGACCTTGATGAGGCCGCCGAAGGAGCGCGAGCGCGCGTGTTTTTTACTGGTAGGAGTCGTATTCTCACTGACAGGAGTCACCGGGGTCACCGGGGTCGACTGCTTGCCCAGCTGAAATCACATCACAGCAAACATGTGCTAACACAATGAAAAATACTTCTTTTTTTTAAGACAATCACAAAATAAATCTAGCAAAATTGTAAAAAATTAAATAAAAATGAAAATGCAATGACAGAAAAAACAACTCTGTTTCCATTAGCATAATAATAATAATCAAAAACAATAAGCATTGTCCTATGTCCTATAATAAAAGCATGATCTAGTTTGCTTTAAAAAAAAAAAACATTATAAAAAAAACAGAATAAAATTGCCATCTCAAGGAATCTGCTGCCATAAGTACAATAATAAATAATAATTATTCTTTATCTTAATAGTGTAAATAATAATAATAATAATATATCTTTTTATATATATTAAAATAACTATAGCAAAAAAGCACACTAACAAAATCAAATCTAGTCTTCTGGGCCCGAAGCCTTGAATGTTTTTTTTGTTTGTTTTGTTTTTCAGGAAAATCAATGTAATAATTTTTTTCCCAGTAATTATTTCTATTATTTAGAATTCCTGAGGGGATTATATGATACTATGCAATATTTATAAGCTATTTTTTTTAATACAATTCACTACATTTTTCAATAAATGCAAAATTTCAGATTAAAATAGAGTGACCGACTTTAAAACCATTCAACTAATTACAGCAAAAATGTATAATATATATAATATAATACAAATAATAATAAAATCAACCTCAATGAATCTACTACCATTAGTATAATAATAATAGAAAAATCACAATTTTGTTATTTTTATTAAAATAAATCACCAAAAAAAAAAAAGAGAAACCCCCACCCAGTGCGCCGGAGGCCGTGTGCCCTCACCTGTCTGATGAGCTTCTTCTTCTTGGCGGAGTGTGGCATGTTGTCGCTGACGTGTCGATAGAGCTCTCGCAGCGCCTCTTCTGTGTGATTCTCTGAGTCGAGCCCCACTCGCGCTCCGCTCCTCTTCCCCAGAGGAGACCCGCTGACCGACAGCAGCTCCAGGTCGTCCTACAGCCAGAGAGAGGAGTGATAACTGCAGTCTCACACCAGCACACTTACAGGACTGACAGTGTGAACGCAGCCATGCTCCAATCAGAGCTTAGATTGGCTTTAGGAGGAGCACAAACGGCACAAACCTTGGAGCGGATGATTTTGGTGTTGGCGAACTGAAGTCTGGCGTGTTCCCGCAGATACGCTGGTGCCTTCACATGAGAGAAGACCGGTTCAGTTCACAATCAGGGAGTAAAACACACACAAACATCCTTTAAACGTCACGTCAGTGTTGTTTTTGTTAAAGGATTAGTTCACTTTTTAAAAAACTTTTGCTGATAATTTACTCACCCCCATGTCATCCAAGATGTCCATGGCTTTCTTTCTTCAGTCGAAAAGAAATTAAGGTTTTTGACGAAAACATTCCAGGATTTTTCTCCATATATAATGCACTTTGCTGGGCACCAAACGGTTCAAGGTCTAAATGACCGTTTCAGTGCAGCTTCAAAGGGCTTTAAACGATACCAGACGATGAATAAGGGTCTTATCTAGCGAAACGATCGCTCATTTCAAAAATAAATAAAAAAGTTAAAGTTTTATAGGCACAAATGCTCGCCTTGCGAACTCTCCTGTTCGAACTTGTTCATCAAAATGAACAAATCTTTTTTCGAGTCATTGACTCGTTCATCAAAATAAACAAATCTTTTTTCATTGACTCGTTCATCAAAATGAACGAATCTTTTTTCATTGACTCGTTCATCAAAATGAACGAATCTTTTTTCGAGTCATTGACTCGTTCATCAAAATGAACGAATCTTTTTTTGAGTCATTGACTCGTTCATCAAAATGAACGAATCTTTTTTCATTGACTAGTTCATCAAAATGAACGAATCTTTTTTCGAGTCATTGACTCGTTCATCAAAATGAACGAATCTTTTTTCGAGTCATTGACTCGTTCATCAAAATGAACGAATCTTTTTTCGAGTCATTTGACTCGTTCATCAAAATGAACGAATCTTTTTTCGAGTCATTGACTCGTTCATCAAAATAAACAAATCTTTTTTCATTGACTCGTTCATCAAAATGAACGAATCTTTTTTCATTGACTCGTTCATCAAAATGAACGAATCTTTTTTCGAGTCATTGACTCGTTCATCAAAATGAACGAATCTTTTTTTGAGTCATTGACTCGTTCATCAAAATGAACGAATCTTTTTTCATTGACTAGTTCATCAAAATGAACGAATCTTTTTTCGAGTCATTTGACTCGTTCATCAAAATGAACAAATCTTTTTTCGAGTCATTGACTCGTTCATCAAAATAAACAAATCTTTTTTCATTGACTCGTTCATCAAAATGAACGAATCTTTTTTCATTGACTCGTTCATCAAAATGAACGAATCTTTTTTCGAGTCATTGACTCGTTCATCAAAATGAACGAATCTTTTTTTGAGTCATTGACTCGTTCATCAAAATGAACGAATCTTTTTTCATTGACTAGTTCATCAAAATGAACGAATCTTTTTTCGAGTCATTGACTCGTTCATCAAAATGAACGAATCTTTTTTCGAGTCATTGACTCGTTCATCAAAATGAACGAATCTTTTTTCGAGTCATTTGACTCGTTCATCAAAATGAACGAATCTTTTTTCGAGTCATTGACTCGAAAAAGATTCGTTCATTTTGATGAACAAGTTCGAACAGGAGAGTTCGCAAGGCGAGCATTTGTGCCTATAAAACTTTAACTTTTTTATTTATTTTTGAAATGAGCGATCGTTTCGCTAGATAAGACCCTTATTCATCGTCTGGAATCGTTTAAAGCCCTTTGAAGCTGCACTGAAACGGTCATTTAGACCTTGAACCGTTTGGTGCCCAGCAAAGTGCATTATATATGGAGAAAAATCCTGGAATGTTTTCGTCAAAAACCTTAATTTCTTTTCGACTGAAGAAAGAAAGCCATGGACATCTTGGATGACATGGGGGTGAGTAAATTATCAGCAAAAGTTTTTTTAAAAGTGAACTAATCCTTTAAAGACCCACTCCGATGAAAATAATGTTTTTCTAGGTGTTAACAGGTGGCATTTTTCTGATGTTAGAGGACATATCTTGAGAAAAATAAGCTCAAAGTTGTATTTCTGAGTATTTCTCCATTCAAATGGCTGTGAATCAGTAGCAGACGCTAAAATGCCGGCTAAAATAGACTGGAGTTGTGACGTAGTAACTCCACTGGGCGTCTCCACACGCGACGTCTTGGAGTGAAATAGTGATCGGTGATAACTTTGATTAACTTCGGATAATAATAATTAACGTGTATATAATACTGTTGCCCCACCGGTATTGGGGGTGTAAGCTAGTGGGAGAGACAGAGCTCTCAGCAACGGGCAGGGGGAGGGTCGTCTCCGTGCCAACGGCTCCGCCCACAACGCAGAGGCGAATTGCTAATGAGCTACTGCCGCTCTGCTGAAGCGAAGTCCCAGGAAACGGCACAGGTTTTGGGATTTTGGCTAAAAATGGCATAATCATAATTTAAAGACCACTGGGAATGTTTAAAAATAGCTCAAAATATGATCGGAGTGGGACTTTAACCAAAACGGTTCAAAATTGTCTTCAAGAACTGAAATAAAGCTGAAATGAACAAAAAAAACCACCCCAAAAAAACGCTATTTTTCAACTTAAACTAGTCGAGGCTTGACATTAACGCTTGTCCGGGACAAAAGAAACACAAAGAAACTCGGTTAACGTACTGCGGTAAAACATTAAAAATGTGGAGTTTTTACATTTAAAACATGTGATAAAGTTGAGCAACATCACGCGGCCGAGAGCGCCGTTTTCCTGAACACCTTCACGATTGAAAACGTGACACTGATTTCATGTGACCGTTCTAAAAACAAGTGGTTAATATAAGTGACTTACATTTTAGACGCAATATTGACTGTTTTTGTTCCATTTCAGCAGAAAAAAATAGTTCCTAACAAAGATCCCAGCACAACCGTAGCGCATTCACAGCAACACATGTAAGTTGTTCAACTAATATTTGGATTCTATTTTATTTCAGCTTTATTCAATTTAACAGAAAAGTTTTTAATAGTTTTGGTTTCAGTTAACAATAATCAGTGGTGGAATGTAACGAAGTACAAATACTTCGTTACTTTACTTAAGTACATTTTTCACGTATCTGTACTTTACTTAAGTAGAATCAATAGTGCATACTTTTTACTTTTACTTCATTACATTTTGCAGCAATTATTATACTTTCTACTCCACTACATTTCTACAACGCTCTGTTACATTTTCGTTAAATTTTCTGATCAGTTTTTCCCTGCCAAAACGTCTTCCTGACCGTCCGTTCATCGCACGTTTGTCTCACCAGTGAAGTTTGGTTGCCATAGATATATCAACCCGGTCACACTAAATGCGTCTCTATAGCACGCAGTGTGTTTATCGTGCAATTTATACGCGAAAATTAGTTTTTACATGCATAGGAAACGCATTGGTAGGTTTAGTAGTGGTGTGGGGTGCGTGTGTACGTTTGGTTAGGATTAGTATGGCAAGCCAAGAGGTTCAGAATTACGCCATAAATGAATCGCATTTACAGCCAAACGCCGTCATATACGGCGTTTTAACATAATATGTGTGTTTATATATATATACCGTATATAGTAAGGGTATATAAGCTTGATGTGTATATTGCCTAATTGCAAGCTTGTTCAGAAATGGTGACAAAAACTTATAATATAACTGCTTTTCCATCATATTGAACATCATTATATGAGTATAAGGTTGAATGAGTTAGAATTAACTGTTTTATTAATCATTAGAATATAGACATTAAGAGAATAAATTGTTATGCAAGTACTTTTACTTTTAATACTTAAAGTACATTTAAAAGCAGGTACTTTTTACTTAAGTAGGGTTGTCATTGTGGTACTTCTACTTTTACTAAAGTAAATATGTCTCTGGTTATTTGTACTTTTACTTAAGTACTGAGATTCAGTACTTCCTCCACCACTGACGATAATAAACCTGACGAACAAAATTTAAAATATTTCCTTGGCAACTAACTGAAATAAATATATTCAAGCTGAAGCACTACAATGGATAAACCTGAAATAACAATAAATTGAAGCTAAATAGAAATATTTGAACAAATATATATAAAAGTGACAAGTGGTTAATATAAGTGACTTACATTTTAGATGCAATATTGACTGTTTTTGTTCCATTTCAGCAGCGAAAATAGTTCCTAACAAAGATCCCAGCACAACCGTAGCGCATTCACAGCAACACATGTAAGTTGTTCAACTAATATTTGGATTCTATTTTATTTCAGCTTTATTCAATTTAACAGAAAAGTTTTTATTAGTTTTGGTTTCAGTTAACGATAATAAACCTGACGAACAAAATTTAAAATATTTCCTTGGCAACTAACTGAAATAAATATATTCAAGCTGAAGCACTACAATGGATAAACCTGAAATAACAATAAATTGAAGCTAAATAGAAATATTTGAACAAATATATATAAAAGTGACAAAAGCACATAGCAAAAGGAATAACAAACTTAAGGCTCATTCAAAATATTAACAAAAACTATAATAGATATATAAATAGTAAAAATAAATAAAAAATCATGTATCAGAGAAGAGAAAAGAGGAAAAGTACCCGAAAGATCTTCTGTGAATGTTTGATGAGAAAAGCCATGCCGCTGTTCAGCTTCTTCAGGTTCTCCTGAAGGTCACTGGCATTCATCTGAAGAAAGCAACACATGAAACATGACGCATGCTTGGACGTTTAACGGTAAACAAAACAAAAAAAGGAAACCAACGACATACGTTCTTGGGCCAGATGACGTGCGGGGCGAACATGAGTGCGAGGTTGTGCGCAGACATCTTGTTTTTGTCCTGTTGTTTGGCGGTGTGATAGAGCAGGTCCAGCAGGAGCTTGAGGAGCGTTCGGTTGGCCGTGGGCAGCAGGAGCAGGAGCAGCTGCAGGGCCTCGATCTGGCGCTCCTTATCCGGCACACTCGTCTTGTCCCCTCGCTCGTCGAACAGGTGCAGCTCTGCGGGGGACAGCTCCATCAGTGGATGGCGGACGGCAGTGAGAGAGGTGCTGGGGAAGCGGACCAACCTGTGATCTTCAGGTGAGCGTGCAGGTGTCGGTGCGTCAGCAGGGGCTCGGGCAGTTCTCCCAGAAAGCCTTTGAGGAGCGTGGCCACGTCATTGGGGTGGAAGTCACCGGAGGCGAAGTCAATGTCGGCTCCCCCGTTGAGCTGCTCCCTCAGCGTCTGCTGTCTCAGGCTGTTCCCGGGGACCCGGAAAAGACCTTCTACATGCAGATCTGCCGGAAAACAACCAGACCGAACGTTTCTTGGGCTGCACGATATTGGAAAAGACGGACACCGCAATAGTTTGATTCTCTGTGATATACGTATACTGCGATATGAAAACTATTTCACCAGATGGCTTAACCCTCTGGTGCTTTTTTATTTCAATGAAATTAATGTACTATATTTTGGGTCAATAACGTTTTTTTTTTTTAGGAGATTTTTATGATACTAAATTATATTTATGCAGTAGTTATACCTAAAAAATTGTCATAAATGTTGAATGCTTTAGAGCACAGATTTAAGTTTGGTCTTTTTTTTAAAGAAGACACTTGGCAGATTATTGCAGAAGTGAAAAATTAAAAAAAAATTAAACTAGTTTAATTTTATAGTTATGAAAAATACAACAACAACAACAACAAAAAATACTATATTAAATTTTCATAAGAAATATATATTTTTCAAAACCTGTTTTACTTTAAAACTGTGAGAAATCCAAAGCCATAAATCTAAACAAGTTGTGTTCCAAATTTGAGGTTGATATCTCAAAAAATGAACCTTCAGTAAGATTTTGTTTGGTCGCAGTACCAAAGGTTTCCACTAGATGAAATTCATCTCGCATTCGTTTCCAATGCGCTCATGTTTGACTGCGAGGAGCACAGGTGTGACTATTTCTTTCACATAGCAAGTGCCAAAACACTTACATCATTCCGATGAAGCCAAAAATGACAGAAGAGGATCAGATAACTTACATAGCTCGATTCAGAAAGAACAAATAATGATTTTGTAGGGCAGTACATCTGCATAAAATAAAATGAAAAACGCTTAAAAACGAGCACGAACTAGGGCTGCATGATTATGACACATCGATTATTTCTAGGGCTGGACCCAAATATTCGAATATTCGTTTGGTGGGTTGGTATTCGATTTGAAAATGTGACATTCGAATATTCGGGGTTTTTTTGTGTGTTTTTTGCACTCCTGGCAACCCCCTCGAAGCGGTTCTCATTCGCGCTTGAATATGTTTTACAGTTAACACTATAAAATCTGGTGAAATATAATACTTAACATATAACTTATAGCTACTTAATAAATATATTTGCTTCTTCTTGGACTACTAAAAGTGTTCCTGCACCGGGAGTATTCTCTGGCTAGAGCAGAACAGCGGAGTTTGTATGGGCAGAAGTGCCTGAGCTTGTGTTTTGGGTTAAGCTGCGTTGCTTTGACATTGTGGAAAATAGAATAATAGAAACAAAATGTATATCCTTTTTACCCGTTATTATCAATCTAAATTAATCTACTGCAAAATATTAATAGAAATTTGTGATGTTGTTATTGAAATTGTTATTGCTACCGTGTTCTTTATTTAGGCTATTACAGTTCGTTCATTTTATTTTTCGTTTGTCTTTATTTAAATTTCGTTTTTATTTATTTAAATCTACCCGACTTTGTCAGTTAGAATATTATAAGACTATACCTTATTAAAAATATTGCTTAAGTTAAAAGACCTCATGTGTGTGTGTTTTATATGCAGTGTCCATTCTCGGAACATAAGCCCTGCTCACGTGAGGCGCGCTGCTTCTTTATTTAAATCTACCCTACTTTTTCAGTAATTTGTTAGTGAGAAAAATATTAGAAGACTTATTAAAAATATTGCTTAAGTTAACAGACTTGTGTGTGTTTTATATCACTAGCAGTGTCCGTTCTCGGAGCATATAAGCCCTGCTCGCGTGAGGCCCGCGCGCTTCATGCTTGCACTGTTCTGTAGTTTATTAAAAGTTTATTAATTCTGAACGTGTCGCGTCTCGCCTGTCTATATCTATATTGCACCAAATACGACACTGCACTCCCTGTGAAGTCGTTTGTATGAACGGTTCTCGAAATAATCAAAATGCAAATGGACAGACAGATATATAGAGATGCCGAAGCTTTGAATATTCAATGTTCATTACTACCGAAGCTTCGAAGCACAAAAAACGGTATTCGGACCAGCCCTAATTATTTCCCTGCTGGATATTAAGCATCTTTGGATACTAATATTACTATGGTCAAAAATAGCAAAACAACAAACAGGTCGAACCGTTGCATCCCCCTGTTTCTCGCTTGCAGCCGCTAGATGCTGAAAGGTGCTATGGTTGCCGGCTGCCACTATGTCAATCATCGCAATTTTGTCTCAGAGTTAATTGTTATATCAGACTTCTCTTGTAGATCAGTCAAGGAAAATTAAAACCGTACGAGTTTTCCTTTTGTATCAAGCAGCAAAAAAGTTGAAGCACGGCGTGTTTGAGTTCATTCGCCTTACTTGACATTGCACATGCAGCGATTTAACTATGCACACATTGCTTGCTATTCAGTGTAAATCCACCAGCAAAATCCACCAAAGAAAAGCATTCAGGAATTTCAAGTAAGAGCAAGACATTTTTGGCGTAATTTTGCTGAATTGACCAGACCGCGTTGTTCTTGATTAAATATCCTGGACTTACTTTTGCTGAGGTACATGATGAGCTGATATATGTGGCCTATTCCTTCCTCCGTGAGGGCCATGCCACCTTTATCTGCCAAAAAAAGAAAAGATGTAAATCAGTTTTTTTACAATGAAACATCTCTCCAATAATAAACATCTCCAATCATTGTTTTTTTTAGCTTGCTCACTCGGCAATATTCCCTGTATAAACTATACTTTATTTGTTGTAAAAACGGCTAAATAAATAATAAATTTGACATCAAAATGTTTCTATTCAGCTGTGTAAACTTAACTTTATTGAGTCTGAAGGGGGAAAACATGCTGTCAGCTTAATACAAAATAAATATATTCCTGAAAATACTTTAATAATTTGCATTGTCTTCAGTGCAATTACAGAGTGATTTCAATATATAATGAAATGAATAAATGTGTCATGGAATTTTGCAATAAATGAAAGTGCAAAATCAAATGCATACATATAAATAAGGCCTCGTGTAAAATGTTAAATACTCATTTAATAATAAACCTAATGAATTATGAAATTAAATATACCTTGAAAATAAATGTAATGTATTTATTTATGTAAAATGCCAAATTTATGCATCATGTTTGTTTTTTTCATTTCAAGGGTACACTACGGTTATTGAAAGAAGTCTGTCTCTTCTGCTCACAGAGGCTGACTTTATTTGATAAAAAAAATACTGTAAAACAGTAATAATCTGTGTCAAAAAATGTCTGTGTCAAAAAAAAAAAAACTGTCACAAAGAAGAGCCGTGACAGATTGTCAGATTGACAGATTCTTGTTGAAGTGAAAGTAGTAAAAACAAAAGTGAAAGAAGTAATAGGGTTTAAGTTTATGAAAATTATTTATGAACATTATTGTATATAAAATATACATTTAGTAAAACATGCTGAACTCGAAAACTGCTGGAAATCAAAGCCATAAATGTTTCAAATTGAGGTTTATATCTAAAAAAGGAAAGATTTTGTTTGGTTGCAGTACCAAACTTTTTTCCATTAGATGCCAGCAGGATTTGTGATTCGCACTACAGCAGATTTGTCTCTCTCAAAGAAACACACACACAATTTTTTTAGTACACACATACACCCCACTCTGACATCCATGCCAACACACCTACACAATATAGCTGCATAATTTATCCAATTGGCTCTATTATACACAGAAGCAGAAAACAGGAAAATAGAGTCTCTTTGCTTTATAGGCCAAAACTGAGAAAATGACGCCATCTTGTAAAAAATAGTAAAAGTTTCAACTTTGAAGCTTTGCCAACAGAATGAGAGCCTATTAAAGGTATTGTAGGTAGGATTTTTTTTTTTAAACTTTTTTCCAAATTTGTACTCTGAAAAAGAAAGTATAAAAATCGAGTGTCTGTAGACCTCTCACGACTGTTTTAAAGACAGCTCATTATATCCATTCACTCCACCCCCTCCCTTCTGGGCTCCTTCCAAAGCCACGCCCCCAAAACACATGAACGCGCGACTCCGACCGCTGAGCTGAAGACGCATTATTTCCCTGAGACGAGCGGAGAGGAAGGAGCGCAGTGCATGTTGTAACATCATGTCAGAATCACATGTAATAAAAAAATCTAACTTTATCATTATGAAGATAAACAAATAAGATGTATTTTAGTACTCACTATCAAGCTAGCATATTGATATTGGTCAAGTTTAAAATATACATTTATTGATTCGCTAACGAGCTAGTTATCTGTAAGGCAAAGCTAAAAACAGGTTGCATGATACACGTTTTTCCATTGCCATCATTTACACTGTGGTGAAGATGAATTTCGTGTAAGATTCATAACATATATGGTGTTCTGCATGTAAGAGTTTCCATGATGAAAGCATTGTTGACTCTGATGAGGACTACACTCCAGAGACAAGTACCGCATCGTCGCTCGAGGACAGATAAATCGTTGTTTATCCAAAGACTTTTTGTTCATTACCTTTTCTAGTAACGTTACTGTCTTCCTTTTTTTGCCTGGTTTGCCTTCGCGAACTGCACATGTGAATTTTGATTGGTCTTTCTCTGCCATTGTTTTGCTATTCCTAGTTTCCGTGCCTCTTGAATTCCTCAAATCAAACGGGTACGCGCAAGTGGGCAGGTCCTGTGTGGCAAAAGGGTGGTTGCCATGGTTGCGAGAGAGTGACAGTCGCCTAAGCCAATCCTTTGTTTCGTCCCGGATGGAAATAATGAGCTGTGTTTAGTGCAGATTAAACGGTCTAGAGTCACTCGATTTTTATACTCTTTTTATCAGAGTACTTACATTTTAATTATGCATTGATATATATAGAAAGTGTAAACAAATTTGGAAAAAAGTTTTTATAAAATTCCTACCTACAATACCTTTAACAAAGAGTGCATATTTGTTTGCATCAGTTTCAATGGGGACATTTTTAGTCCTAAGTGGAAATATTTTGTGTTGCTTGCTAGTGAAAAATAGATTTATGAAAGGAAATGAGGGTGAAATAGTAAAATTCCAATAAAAATACACAAACAGGCACAATTATGACAAAGTATGAAAAAACTGAAAAAGACAAAAATGTCTTTAAGGATGCACAAGGGTTAAGAATGCATTTAGGGTCAAATCTGTTGAATTACTTCTATACTAGAGTCTTCCTTTGGTTTGGGAACCAAATACTGTTGGTCAGGTCCTGATTTTGTTTCCCCCATTAGTGTTGGCTAGCCGGTAATGAATCTAGAGCTAGCCGGTCAATAGCAGGAGCCGACGGCAGGAAACTAACTCGAGGAGCCGTCAGAGAACTTCCCAAAACAGATGATCTAATTCTCACTCTGAAGGTTGTTCAATAGTTTCAGTCAATAGAGTCTGAAGTCTTCCTGCAGAAGAATCACCGGCGCCTCCATTATAAGCTCGAAGGGGTATTGACGACAATGGACTGGTTGTAAATTTGTCCAGCGCATGAGGAATAATTGATGCAGGCAGAAATGGAAACCAACAAGAAAACTAGCTACGACTCCCCAAAACCTCCTGACCTTTGCGTTTGAGGAAGTTGAAGGAGCGGAAGAAGCCTCCCGCCGCAGTGCCGTTGGGAGTCTTGGGCTCCTCGTCCAGTAACTGTGAGAATTCGGCCCCCGGGAGGTCGAGGAGCCGCGTGATGTTACTCAGCACCAGCTCGGTGAAGGCCTCGGGTCGCTCGTGACGCAGCTTCTCCACAAAGAAGTCCGGGTTGAAGATGATGGGCAGCCGGCCGTCTCCACCGCCGCCCGCTTCTGACTCATGGCTGTTCACAACATTGCACACCGTGCCCCTGTGAACACACACACACACACACATATGACTTAAAGGGATAGTTCACCCAAAAATGAAAATTAGCCCATGATTTACTCACCCTAAAGCCATCCTAGGTGTATATGACATTTTTCTTTCAGACGAATACAATTGGAGTTATATATATAAAAAAATATCCTGGCTCTTCCATGCTTTATAATGACAGTAAATTTGCAATCAACAGTTTGAAGTGCATCCATCCATGATAAAAGTGCTCCACGCGGCTCCGGGGGTTAATAAAGGCCTTCTGAAGCACAGCCATGCGTTTGTGTGAGAAAAATATCCATATTTAAAACTTTAAAAAGTAGAATAACTAGCTTCCGGCCAAACGCAGTCTACTTGCGTATCAAGCGCAACTTGTGACGTCAGGCGTGGCGTAGTGCGCATGTGAGCGAAGCGGCGCGGTGTGACGCTCGTCTCAATATCCGCTGCGCTCAGACGCTCGCGGCCCAAGCAAACGCTCCACACACACACAACACACTCACCGATAAAACAAATCCCCCTCCGACATTTCATTTCTCTGTAGTAGGCGAGTTTATTTCTGTTTGGATTTCTTGAAATAATGTATCAATAGTGGGATAATATAAATGGCAGTTTGTCATATAATAAAATGCAGTTATGATATGACATTCTCATTCTGTGACAGTCTTTTTAAATGCATTAAAGTAACTTTATCACTTAAAAAACATGACATTGCAAACTTGCCTATAAAATGGAATAACTGAAAATTAGATAAATAATACAGTATATTAGATTTTCGTTATTTTATTTTTCCGTGAATACTGCCGTTGCAAAAAAGGCACATAAAGTATAATAATTTGTATATATTATATAAATACACACATATGTATATGTTTAAGAAAAATATTTGTAATGTATATAAAATATTTATATATAAAATTAATTATATATATACACAGTATATAAATGCAAATATTTCTTAAATATATACATATATAAATGTGTGTGTGTATTTATACAAAATAATTATACACAATACACACATACACAAACTTTTATTTTGGATGCGATTACAACCTTGGCAATATATATCCACAAAACTGCTTCACTTTTTATTAATATTTGAAAACTTATGTCATGTAGTGCGACCAACATGCATGAAAAATAAAATAAGTATTTTTAAATGATCTGATAATTTAAATAAAACGAGGCGATGTTAGTTCACGATGTAAAACATTGTGCTATGCAAAAATGTTAATAATATTTTCATAAATATTAGTGAAAAACTTTTTAAATAGAAAAATATATTTAAAAACGTTTTAAAATTAATTTCTTTAGACTCGTATATATATTTAAGATGCAAGGAAAATATGTTATTCCTTTTTACTTGATGGTTTACACCACAATGAGATCAAGTTGAATTTGAACTTCAAAATGGTATAACTTGCCATGTGCGTTTTCAAACTAGATTTTTCCTTTTCTTTTGAAGGCCTTAAACTGTAAATGAACATATAAATTATCATTTTATTCAGCAAAGATGGTGACGGAAGCCTTGAATGAAGAATCAAGAGCTTGAACTTGTGGTAAATTACTTCAAGTCAAGTAACGTACAAGCAAGTATCAATTATGATGCTGATTCTAAGGGTTTTAAAACACGAAAGACTCCATAATGACTGTAATAACATAAAATGATCGGTTGTTCTCTATAATCGGTCTTGCTCTGTGCTTGGCATTTCACTTTACCATGCATTACCATGGTAAAACGCTTAAAAAACATGTACGATTCTTCCTGAATCTTTACTGTCAGTGTCACTTGAATTCATTCTAGTTTCGATGGCAGTGAAAAGTACAGTGATTGTTTCAGATGGTAACGTTAATACCATGGTACTATCACGCCCAGAAAGATTCACATTCCTTTCGCAAATAAATGTACATGATTTTATACGGCTCCTCAAATAATAACATGGTATTACCACCATGGTACTTTGTTTTTATGTTCATTCAAAGTTACGACTTTAAAGAAGAAACTATATATTTATCTAATCTATATAACTCTCTCTCTCGCTATATATATATATATATATATACATATATATACATTTAACGTTACTTAGGTTATGTGACAGGAACTGTTGTTACAATGTTATTTTTGTGTCATTTGCGTTTCATACTGTAACGTAACAGGCACACAAAGCATTGCGTATAAGACACTACATTTCTACCTCGGTGCTCCTATCCAGCAGTTTCTTTGCAGTTATTCAAAAGTATCAATATTTTACTGTACTTTCAGACTATGTATATTAAGCGAACATTTTTGTAAATAAATATTGGTTAACGTTACCTTCTGTCTCGTTTATTTACATCGGTGTCTTTCTCCGCGGCCATCTTTCATCTTCAGTTTGAATCCGCCGCTGCTGAGGCGTTAACCGACGCTTAATCATGATTGGGCAGTGAGGGGAAAGTGGGAGGGGCTCTGGAGCCAGGCGGGTTTTCTGAGCGCTGATTGGTCTGTTCAAATGTCTGCAGTGTGCGCTACAGTTCTGGAATCAGCCATCTAAAGACAGTCTTCTGTAGCAGCCAGGAGGTTATTTAAATATATATATATACATATATATTATATAAAGTGACCCTTTAAAATTTCATATTATTTTTATATTAATATTTCTTATTTTTTTATTATTGCTAAAATGTTAACACAGATTCAGGTGTTAAGCAGCTAAGCATTGTAAGTGGGATTTTATGAGCATTTATAGAAATGCAATCAACACTGCTGTGCATAGCAACCATACATTTATTTTAAATAAAAAGTAAATAAAACAAACATCTGATTTTGGCACAAAAAAAAAGACAAAAAATTCACATGAAATATGCAAAAATTTTATGATAGTCTATAAATAATTGCATGGTCAATTAAAAAAAAGTGTTCAAACGTCTTATCATCAGAAATAAACTGCATTAATGGAATAAATAAATAAATACTATATATAAATAAATGAATTTCCGAGAATGTAAAACATTTTATTAGTGCGAATCTACCAACAACAGTCCCACTTTTGCATAGTTCACATGTCAAAGTCCATTGATATTAATTGTAAATTGCTGTGCATATATTTACAATAATCTTAAGAAATGTATTACAGCACAACTGAATTAATAACATCTGACATGAATAATTTCTGTAGATTGTGCTTATAGAATTTTCACACATTCTGGAAACATAATGGTGTATGATGATACATACTGTTAGTTAGTGCACTAAAACAAATTACAACTGACAGACCAATTAAAAACAGAAAGATTCACATTTTAAGTGCCTTTTATGTTGAACTGGCTTAAAATATCTAATCACATTATATTTAAAATATATATATAAAAAATGCAAAGACAGTGGCATATAACAGTTGATCATCCTCAGGGTGTGAAATAACGTGGCATGCTCACATTGCACCAGTCATTTGTAGGTACAAGATGGAGGAAGTCATCAAGCAATATTTGCCCGGTATCATAATACAGAGCTAAACTACATGATCCAACATATGCATGGACTCCATGATGGCCTCATCCTGAGCAAAAATGATCGGTAAAAAGATAAAATACAAAACAAAGAACATATTAAATATCATTACAGGTCATGTAGGTTCATTCTATTCATTTTAAATGCATTTTGGAGTGTTAAATTAACTTATAACGAGTCTTTATAATGAGTAGTCACATTCACAAACAACAAAAAGTCACAATATTTCTATTTAATACCAAAAGCATAAAAAATATAGAAATAATAGTTTGTTTTTGGCGTCGCCCTTGTACCGTTTGACACGATTCCAGGAATTCCTCTATTGTGACGATGCCATCATTGTTGCGATCCATTTTCTGAGTGCACACAGAAAAAAACAATCAATCATTTGAGACCTGTATTGTGCCAGAAACATGGTGAGCATTAGACATAACAATAATTAAATAATAAATTAAATAAAAATATGTATGTACTCCTAGCTAACAAAAAAAAAGCTAAGAACATTTTGCAAAACGTTGAAAACGTTATTTCTGGATGTTCTCTGAACGTTCAAATGTCCAGATTTTAAAATGTTTTAAAAACGTATTTTCTTGGTTATGCAAACATTTTTTATTGTTTATATAGCAAACATTATGGGAACAAATTTTTTGAATCGAGTAGTAACATTTAAAAAACATTGAGCGAACATCCAGCAAAAACTTCTACTCAACATTTTATAACATATCTTAAATCTGCAGTAAACGATTTCTGAGAAACACTGTTGATATTTGAAATCCGACACCCAAACAAACACGCTCCCAGCCGAAAGAAACACACCCCACCCTTCATTGCTCCACCCGAAATAACGAACGCTATGCAACGACTGACAGCTATAGCGCATCAGACAGATCACGCTTTTCCCGTATTACCACGGGTCCTAGTCTCGGCTGAACGTCTGATGCATATGGCACACAACATGGGAAACACTTCAGGAGTTTGAAGCCGTCATCTGATTGGTGGAATTCTACAGGATTTCTGGGAGATTTTCGCAGGATTTTCTTTAACGGTCTGCCTGGAAACAAAGACGCCGTGATGCCAAACCCCCTCATGGAAGAAGATGCAGTTGTGTTTTCAGGATCAACTCCCCCATTATGAGTGGACACGCCCCCTGCTGCTGATTGGCTCACTCTCTCTCCTCCCCCATTATGAGTGGACACGCCCCAGCTGCTGATTAGCTCACTCTCTCTCCTCCCCCATTATGAGTGGACACGCCCCCTGCTGCTGATTAACTCACTCTCTCTCCTCCCCCATTATGAGTGGACACGCCCCCTGCTGCTGATTAACTCACTCTCTCTCCTCCCCCATTATGAGTGGACACGCCCCCAGCTGCTGATTGGCTCACTCTCTCTCCTCCCCCATTATGAGTGGATACGCCCCCTACTGCTGATTGGCTCACTCTCTCTCCTCCCCCATTATGAGTGGACACGCCCCCTGCTGCTGATTAACTCACTCTCTCTCCTCCTCCATTATGAGTGGACACGCCCCCTACTGCTGATTGGCTCACTCTCTCTCCTCCCCCATTATGAGTGGACACGCCCCCAGCTGCTGATTGGCTCACTCTCTCTCCTCCCCCATTATGAGTGGATACGCCCCCTACTGCTGATTGGCTCACTCTCTCTCCTCCTCCATTATGAGTGGACACGCCCCCTACTGCTGATTGGCTCACTCTCTCTCCTCCCCCATTATGAGTGGACACGCCCCAGCTGCTGATTAGCTCACTCACTCTCTCTCCTCCCCCATTATGAGTGGACACGCCCCCTGCTGCTGATTAACTCACTCTCTCTCCTCCTCCATTATGAGTGGACACGCCCCCTACTGCTGATTGGCTCACTCTCTCTCCTCCCCCATTATGAGTGGATACGCCCCCTGCTGCTGATTGGCTCACTCTCTCTTCTCCTCCATTATGAGTGGACACGCCCCCAGCTGCTGATTGGCTCACTCTCTCTCCTCCTCCATTATGAGTGGACACGCCCCCTGCTGCTGATTAACTCACTCTCTCCTCCTCCATTATGAGTGGACACGCCCCCTACTGCTGATTGGCTCACTCTCTCTCCTCCCCCATTATGAGTGGACACGCCCCCTACTGCTGATTGGCTCACTCTCTCTCCTCCCCCATTATGAGTGGACACGCCCCCTGCTGCTGATTGGCTACAAGAGTGTTTTGGTGCACCGTGGATCCTTCCAATCCACTTAGTTTTTCTCCTCCTATTTACACAGCCAGTACACAATTTTCTTTTTCAGCACACACACAGAACAGACATGGAGCAGATATTCACAGAATTGTTTGTTTGGGTGTAGATTTGAATTTTCAACAGAGTTTCTTAGAAATCGCTTACTGCGCCTTTAATTTGAAACAAAATGCAAAAATGTGTATTTTGTGGTTACATTATCCCTATCAAACTTTGATTTAAACAGTTCAACAAATATATATTGCAGAACTAATAAATAAAACATCGTAGTATACTTTTTAAGACCGTAAAACATTTAGTTTTGACATCCTTTGGGGCTTCCAGCTTTAATTCTATGAATCTCTGCCTTGTGAAAGAAGATACTTGAAAATACCTTGAAGAAACTTTCGACATGTTCTGTAGGTGCACTGTCCTTCATATACGGATGCGTATACTTCCCCATCATATCATAAATGGACTTCATAATGTCATTCATCTCCTAAAATAGACAGAATAAATAGATGAATACAGTAATGGGTTCACAATGGACGGCTAAATGGCCGAAATAAACGTTAAAATTAAATCTCAAAATACATTTAAAAAAACATGAAGTACCTCTTTAGTGATGCAGCCATCTTTATTGAGATCATACAAACTAAAGGCCCAGCACAGTCTCTCGGTGACGGTCCCACGCAGGATGTTGGACAGGCCAACCACAAAGTCCTGCAGCCAATGAGAAATAAGAGAGAAAGTACAATATAAACACGTAACATATTTATGATAATAACAGTAAATCATCTATTGATTAGGTTACATAATCTGATTTAGGTGAAAATAACAATTAAAAATAAAAATAAAATCATTGCTTCTATGGCATAAAATCCATGTAATTTACTTGAACTTACTTTTTACATAACTATTGTATATTACTATATGGTTTAAAATGAATTCAAATAAGTATAAGTATATGTTTATGAATAACTGACCTCAAAACTAACTGCTCCATTCTTGCGTCGATCAAAAGCCTCAAACAGGAAATGAGCATAAGCACTAGAATCTTCAAAAGATGGAGCATAAAACATTAGACTTAATTTGAGAAACAAAGGAGGGATTTATAAAGGCCAGGTCTAAATTCGATTAATTAAAGAGTTGGAACAAATTAATTCAATTGAATCACCTTCATGCTTTATTCACTCACCTCCTTGAGGGAAAAAGTGAGCGAAGATTAACTTAAAAGTCTCTTCATTTACTGCTCCAGTGGGACATTCCTAAAGCACAATAAAATACTCATAAACAAAAATATACTGAAAGAATATTTACATATTTACAATACATTTAAATTTTTAAAAGGATATGTGTCAGGAAGAAGAAAACGTCTCAAACCATCTCATGTGTTCTTTAAAGGGGCCAACCTGATCTCATGAGAAAACGTAAGTATTTTACAATTTCGTATACATTCATCTGATTTGTAGGAAAGCATATGATTTGTACAATAAAAAAACTACACATAAACCTGCACCCCTAAACCTAACCCATGGGGCATGAGCTGGTCGTAAAAAAGTGTATGAATGAGATTGTGTGAATTTATATGAAATCGCAAAAATAGTTGGCGAACCAGATTTCCCAACTGAGAGTGTCAGCAAACCCCTAAACCATGAGTAATCTTTCTTTATATATAAAGAGATGAGCCAATCACACCAGAGGTTTATTTACATTTAGGAGTCTTAAAGGTACAGTGACCTTTTTTTTTTGCCTGTTTATAAGAGAGCATTAGTGCCTGCCCACTTTTTCAGTGGCGTTGATTCCCAAAGTATTTCTTCCATTAATTTCTCCCATAGGGATTTCAAAAAAGTCTTCGTTAACGCATTATAATGCATGAACCAACCAGCTACAAGGTGAATCACAACATTACAAACTTTGATTTGAATCAAAAAACTTTTTGAAAATGTAACAAATAGACAAAGCTACAAGACTGTACATAACGGCTTTAGAAATGGACTACAATCCCATGAAGCATTGCGAAAAGTATAATCAAATTAAACATTTTTTTCAAATTTTGCATATCAATTTAAATATTAAAGTATTTTGAGCGTGTAGGTAGACTGGATTACATCATTCGCAGTGCTTCATGGGAGTTGCACAGTAACTACTGAGGCTGACTCCCATTCATCCGGCCACCAGAGGGAGCCCTCTTCCAAGTATTGATCATGGACTGTTTTATTGGGGGTTACTCCCTGTTTGAGTTTCTGACTGTAATTTCGACTGCATCTTCCTTTTCAATTTGGAATTGTCTGCTGTGTGATTTCAATAAACTTCCTGCAAATGGATTCTAACTCCGCCTCCATGCCAAGTTCGTACCAAAAGTGGGCGGAGCTTAAGAGCTCTTTTGGCCCATTTTCCTGGTTGTGACCATAGACAGTATAAGAAATGGACAGAGCCATCTCATTGGAACTCAGTTGAGACAGTTGAAGCCCATTTTTAGCGATTTCTGAGCACTTCCGTTCCTGACGCGCAGACTCAAACCGACTCAAACTAAGCTTGATGACGTGAGCAACCTGTCTGACAGACGTGAATCTTCTAGTAGCTGTGCGTGAAAATTGCCAACGTTAATCTTGCAGAGACGGGGAACTTGAGCAAAGAGTTCTTTGGCGTGAGCGAGCAGGAGTAAGTATTCCGTTGCTTTTATGGACTCATTATCTATGTGCTTCTCCCTTGACGGGACGTCCCCCCGATTGCCTGCGAGCTTCTCCTCCTGTCTGTACGGTCATTTCTGTACAGCGCGACAGAGAGTCGAGTGGTTATGACGCAATCGTTAGCCTATTTTTACTAAAACTGTTTCTACGGGGCCATAATGTAACATAGAAGGTAATGGAGCCCTTTATACATTGTCGTGTTTCTTTAGAAATAAATAATGGACAAATGGAGTCTTTAAACGCCTCAGATGTAAAGTTATTCGCTGTCAAAGTGACGCCAAAATTAATGGGAGTCAATGGAAATGCTAACGCAAGTGAAGTTCTGCTACAACATGGCGGCACCCGGCCGGCTTCAACTTCCGGTCGATGGATTACCCCCGTGGTTGTGACTCTCTGATTGGTGGAATCATGGGTAATGTAGTTTCACACCATGAATTCCGCTGTTAAACATGATTTTTAAAAATAAGGGCTGACGGCTTTAACAGAAAAACTGTATATAAATGTATAAACTTAGGGTGTGTTGTGACAATGGTGTGTGCCGGGCTAAATGCACTTGTTGTATTGTGCGTACATATGTGTGAACTATGATGAGAAGAACCAGGTGTGCTTGAGCATTCTGTCCTTTTTAGGGTTGCATCTTGTGACACCACGTCCTGTTTTTGGTTCGTTTAGATGTCTTTAGTCCATATCTCTCAGCCGAACCGCACCAGAGTTTGTTTAGAAACAGACCAAAAGGGCTACCTTTGCAAGGGGCTCGATCCTCTTGTTTGGTGCGCAAGGCAGCGTTCACACTTATTCAAATTTACTGCACTTACAGCAGTCGTACCAGGGTTCGCTTTAATCAAACCAAACCTGCCAAGTGTGAACACACCCTTAATGTTGGGTCTATTAACAGGTCAAACTGGTGAGGACCTTAAAAAGGCATTAAGTTTCTTACATTTTTGAAACTTCTGTAGAGGACTTTTAGCTCTGTTCTGGTGAACTTGGTCAGTTCCATCAGTTTATCCACACTATCCGGCCTGTAGCACACCGTAGCAACCTCAAAATCCTCCTCAATGCTGTCTATATAACAGATGGAAACATTAAAAAACATACAGAAACTGCAGAAATAGTACTGAATTTATGTTAGAGAAATACAGGTTAAACTCGAAAAATTAGAAAAGCGTGCAAAAGTTCATTTATTTCAGTAATTCAACTTAAAAGGTGAAACTAATATATTATATAGACTCATTACATGCAAAGTGAGATATTTCAAGCCTTTATTTGTTATAATTTTGATGATTATGGCTTACAGCTTATGAAAACCCCAAAGTCAAAATTAGAATATTGGGAAAAGGTTTTCATATCTGTAATCCATAATCATCACAATTATAACAAAGGCTTGAAATATCTCACTTTGCATGTAATGAGTCTATATATTAGTTTCACCTTTTAAGTTGAATTACTGAAATAAATGAACATTTGCACGATATTGGGTCACTTGCTTTGCCTGACAGCTGGGCTTGAGTCCACATGACAGCAGGGCAGGAGTTTGAGGAAGCGCTGCTTCATGTTCTTTTTTCTCTGGCCTGAGGGAGGGTTACCTGCAAACACAGGCAACTGCTTAGCTATGCAGACGTACTTTGTAAATCATTTAAATTGCATTACAAGGACACAAAACTATTCGCAAAATGGCAGTCCGTCACAGTCAGTTGGCACAGTTTGCTGCTCTGGCTTTGATTCAAAAATGAATCGGATCGCTGAATCTGAAGAAAGGAATTTCACCAACAAAAAAAAAAGAAAAGAATATGGGCACACACTGTTACGTTGACCCTTTTGAGTGTGCTGGACATGGCATTTGATATCAGTGTGTAAATTACATAGAACTGGGACAAATTACCAATGACGTATTTTAAAAGCACAACCACATTAGCGAGACTTCGGTGAAATCTCACAGACAAAGTAGGTGCACCGTGTATTCAGAAGCCAAACCAAGCAGTTTTATATATTGATATATATGGTGAATTCGAGTAACAGTTAAAATTGTTTTTAATCCAATGTGAAATTTGCACAGGGAAATTTCTCCCTCATGCAAAATTCTCGTGAATCGTATCGTAAATCGCTTGTTTCCGACACTGAATAAAAAAATTTAAAAGGCAATTGTGACTTTTTTATCACACAGCTGTTATAACCTTTTTTTCTCACAATTCCGAGTTTTTTTCCAAAACTTTATTTTTCAGAATAGCAACATTTTATCTTACAATTCGACCCATTTAACTAAATGTGACTGCAACTAGATAAAAGTAACCAAAAGTAGATAAAAGCAATATCTCACAAGCAAGAGTGTCGTTTTTCTAATACTCAGACCACAGCATGAGAGTGGAATTACTCTAATACAACCGTTCAATAAAAGTTTTTTACAGCGTTTTTTTCTTCCTTTTTCGTTTTGAAATATGTATTTATCAGCTTTCCAGTAACTCTGCTTGGAGTAGGAGGTCCGTCCACTGGAGAACCATACCCGGGATTTTATTAATCTGCCTATCTTGACTCGCTATCCGGACTGCTCACTTTGTGTCTTTTTTTACATCAGTGAGTGGTCCAAGGCATGCCTTACAGTGGACGGTCCAAAGGAAGATTTTGTGGAGTTTGTGGAGTGGGTGTTGGTATGTAGTGGATTGCCGTTTATTATCTGCCCGGCTGAAGACGACATTACAGCCCCGCTCCTCACCCAGAGCCATCACCCTTGCAGACGAAGAGGATGCCCGAGCCCAGTGCAGACGGAGAACTTGAGCAAGCAGCGATGCATGAGCCAGTCATCGCCCCCGAGCCTCAAACAACGTTTGACCAGGTGCGTGAGTCGGCAACACCGTGTGACGTTATGGGAGTACTCGTAGAATTCAAGGGAATGGAGGAAGACCCCGCACACACTCCCTCCACTGAGGGTGAGCTCCAGCTGGCCTCTGCAAACTGTTTATGTGGCGACTTAGAAGAGGATGTTTGCCTTAAAGGGTTAGTTCACCCAAAAATGAAAATTCTGTCAGTAATGACTCTCCCTCATGTTGCTCCAACCCCGTAAGACCTTCGTTCATCTTCAGAACACGAATTAAGATATTTTTGATGAAATCTGAGAGCTGGGTCACTCCTCCATACTAGTCCATAGGCTTCTTCAGGGACTGAACTTGCCGGCCTCGAAAAGTTATTAAAGACATCGTTAAAATAGTCCAAGTGACTACAGTGGCTCAATCTTAAGTTTATCAAGCGACGAGAATACTTTTTGTGTGCAAAAAACAAGAAAAATAACGACTTTATTTCAACTATTCATTTCCTTCTCTGTGGGCCTCGAGTGAGTTCACTAGTGTAATAGCGTAACCTTCGGTTGTTGTACGTCACACGCATCACGCACATGACCAGCGTCGGCCAATAGTGAGCCTACGTGTGACGTAGCTCTACGGAATCACACTACGTTAACTGACTAGAGGCCCAAAGAGAAGGAAATGAATAGTTGAAATAAAGGCGTTATTTTTGTTTGTTTTTGCGCACAAAAAGTATTCTCGTCGCTTGATAAACTTAAGATTGAGCCATTCCAGTCCACTACCATCGGTTACATCTCCATCAGTCGTCCCCTTGGTGTCATCAGCCAAACCTCCACCATGGCTCCTTCCACTGGGTTGTGTTCTGGGTCCGCCTGGCTCCTCCCACTGTCATTGCCACCCTGGTCTCTCCCTCCGTCAACTCCTTTGATGTCTTGCAGTTTGCCAGCCCCTCCTTCCCTCCTCTGTTGGACTTCTTCTTACGGTGCGAGGACACGTCTTTCCGGAGGTGGCGTACTGTCAGAATTGTGTTGTTCATTGTATTTTGATTCTGTTTCTGTTTCCTGCCATATGTATCCTGACCTATGCTGTGTTAGAAATCGGCCCCTATACCCTCATTCACTATTTCCAACATTACTCCACTTGAAGGAGTGAATGAAAACGAGTGAGTGAATTCGGACACTGAGTGCGCCAGAAGGGCTGCTGCTTTTGCATAGTTTGTGCTTGCTGTTTAATAATTAATTGAAACGTAGCAAACTGGCAGCTCCAGTAGTAATGAAAAGATTTATCCTGAACTCTGTCATGGAAACTAGCATGTATAAACAGTAAATAAACAATTTAACAATCAATTAAAAAGGAATTTATACCTGTATGATATTACGCTGGACTAGCATGGTTTGGTATGGCGGCGCCATCTCCTGGTGAGATGCGGGAATTCCTTCAGCACACAACTCCCACAGTGCATTATGGGTATTCTCTAGCATTGAGTGTACATTGGTTGTACACTTGTTATTGTGGTTCATTGTGGGACTGAATAATAGTCTCCCTGTTAGTCTAATTAAGTACGCCAGTTGATCATTAAGTTTCCTCGTTTACCTCTGTGTATTTAAGTCCTGAGTTTCCATTGTTCATTTGTCCGTTCTACGTCTATATATTAGTTGGTTGTTCTTGTGCTAATAATCTCCTGAGTGTTTGGTTTTTTGATTTATTGTTTATTAAAGTTTTACTGCTGCAACTAGTTCCTGCATCTACTCATCCTTGCTGAAACCATTTGTGACAGACAGTTGACAGCAAACAATTTTTCCCAGAATGTTTTGTGGATTTGGAGAAGGCATTCGACTGTGTCCCTCGCGGCGGCCTGTGGAGGGTGCTCGGGCAGTATGGGGTCCGGGGTCCTTTGCTAAGGGCTGTCCGGTCCCTGTACGACCGAAGCAGGAGCTTAGATCGCATTGCCGGCAGTAAGTCAGACTTCTTCCCAGTGCATGTTGGACTCCGGCAGGGCTGCCCTTTGTCGCCGGTTCTGTTCATAATTTTTATGGACAGAATTTCTAGGCGCAGCCAGGGGCCAGAGGGTGTCAGGTTTGGGGACCACACGATTTCGTCTCTGCTCTTTGCGGATCATGTTGTTGTGTTGGCCTTCAGACCAGGACCTTCAGCATGCACTGGGACGGTTTGCAGCCGAGTGTGAAGCGGCTGGGATGAGAATCAGCACCTCCAAATCTGAGGCCATGGTCCTCAGTCGGAAAAGGGTGGCTTGCCCAGTTCAGGTTGGTGGAGAGTTCCTGCCTCATGTGGAGGAGTTCAAGTATCTTGGGGTCTTGTTCACGAGTGAGGGAAGGATGGAACAGGAGATTGATAGACGGATCGGTGCAGCTTCTGCAGTAATGCGGTCGATGTACCGGTCTGTCGTGGTGAAGAAGGAGCTGAGCCGCAAGGCGAAGCTCTCGATTTACCGGTCAATCTACATTCCAACTCTCACCTATGGTCATGAGCTTTGGGTTATGACCGAAAGGACAAGTTTCCGGATACAGGCGGCCGAAATGAGCTTTCTCCGCAGGGTGGCTGGGCGATCCCTTAGAGATATGGTGAGGAGCTCTGTCCCTCGGGAGGAGCTCAGAGTAGAGCCGCTGCTCCTCCACATCGAGAGGGGTCAGCTGAGGTGGCTCGGGCATCTGTTCCGGATGCCTCCTGGACGCCTTCCCGGGGAGGTGTTCCGAGCACGTCCCACTGGGAGGAGACCCCGGGGAAGACCTAGGACACGCAGGGACTTCTCCCGGCTGGCCTGGGAACGCCTCGGTGTCCCCCTGGAAGAGCTGGAGGAAGTGTCTAGGGAGAGGGAAGTCTGGGCATCTCTGCTTAGACTGCTCCCCCCGCGACCCGGCACCGGATAAGCGGAAGAAGATGGTATGGTATGGTATGGTATGGTATGTTTTGGGAATGTTAATGTTCCCAGAACAGACATCCTGATGTTCTCTGTTGGTTAGCCAGCAAAAGTAGTCTTCACATAAATAGAACATTCCCTGTAGGTTTTTGGATAATGTTCCCCTAACATTACCAGTATGTACCCAGAACATTCTTATTTGGTTTCCAACCAACTGGGAACCATATGGGAATGTTAGGGAAACGTTCTGTGTGTTTGTTGGGACTGCTGTGGCGTTCCTGAATGAATTTTAGCAAATCGGTTGAGTGAATGATCGAATCACTTATAGAGATAGTTGCTTATCATCCGCATCTCCAGCTTTGATGAAAAAAATAAAAAATCTTAAGGGAAATTTACATTTTGTGACTGAGTGTAAAGACATTCTGTAATGAAATTACAGACATATGACATTCCAGTTACTTTGCATCCTAATATTACCAAAGTATTACGAATATAAGTATGTAACTGGAATGTTTTTGGTTATCTTATAACTTTAAGAGACCGTACTCACAACATGGTGAGTTGGTAATTTGGTGGTTATAACATTTTTTTTTTTTAAACATCGTAGTTGTGTTCCATTTGTCCTCAAAAGTGGGAAAGTCCTAGTTTCCAGTAGGAAATTTTAACTGGAAACCCCCCTCAAGTCAAAGTTGCATCTGAAAAACCAATTTGGCTGCTCAGCGCATTTGTCCTCAAAAGTGGGAATGTCCTAGTTCCCAGTAGGAAATTTTAACTGGAAACCCCCCTCAAGTCAAAGTTGCATCTGGAAACCCAATTTGGCTGCTCAGTGCATTAACAGTGGCTCAGTGGTTCATGTAGGTTGTCTACAAACCAGAAGGTTGGTGGTTCAATCCCCGGTTCCACCTGACTAAGTGTCGAGGTGTCCATGAGCAAGACACCTAACCCCAGCTGCTCCCGACGAGCTGGATGGCGCCTTGCATGGCTGACGCCGTCAGTGAGTGAATGGGTGAATGTGAGGCAAAATGTAAAGTGCTTTGGGTCTGTGAAAGCGCTATATAAATGCAGTCCATTTACCATTTTACCATTTTTTAACAGTAAGTGAAACAGAAGTAATATATTGTTTATTATTAGTACTTATTTTTGTTTGTCTAAATAAACTCAGTGCACACAGTACTATCCAACTGCTATTTGTGACATGATTTAATGAATCACTTATAAACACTTATTGGCACTTATTGATGTAACCTGCAAAAAATGGTCTAAAAATTCCTAACTAGAGCACCAATAGCCTGTCTGGAATGCCCAAACACAGACAGTTATTAAAGTATCAAAGTGGACCATTGGAACAAACCACACTCACTAAAACCAATGCTAATGAGTCATGAATAAAACATCAAACTAAAAGCTAAAAAAATACAAATTAAATAACTTATATTCAGATCAGACCTGAAATCAGTTTCATTGAATGTATTCGTTACTGTTGGCACTGAGCTTTATACACATATCTATCATCAACCGAGTTCATGTCACTTCATTTTGGTGAATTATTTCAAACACCTGGTTCTCCAGAGCTTATTTACACTGGGATGGAAAAACAAACAAAACCTGAACACCAGCATCACTGCCCCACATTCAGTTTATGAGCATCAACACACTGAACAAACTATGCTTTGCCAAATGATTGAGGTCACTTATACATTGATAAATAGTGTGCCTATTCCCTATTCCTATTATTATTATGCATAACAATAATGTCTAAACGGCAGATTAATATGATATATCTATGTATAAAATTTAATCTTAACACATACATGGCCACCCAGAGTATTTTTTCCTATTTTTTTTGTAAATTTTAATACGAAAGTTATCGATTAATCATGACTTTTGTGTGTGTGTGATTTCTGTGGCTCCTGCATTTTCATACATTTTAGTACGAAAGTTATTGATGAATCATGATTTTTATGTGTGATTTCAGTTACTCCCATATTGTTTCGTAAATTTAGAATATATTTTTTTTATAAGAAAGTTACTGATGAATTAGGATTTTTTTTATGTATGTGTGATTTCAGTTGCTCCAACATTTTTTCATAAATTCAAAGTAAATGTGTGTATGAAAGTTATCGATGGCTCATGATTCCCCCTTCAAATGGGAACTCGCACTGCATCTGTAATACGTCATCAACTTCTTTGTCTCCAGGAGCCGTTTGTTACATGTCGAAGGTGATTTACTGTGAAAGTGTGCCTCTGTGTCAAACGACTTGTGTGTCGTTTACTAGGTTGAGGAGCACGAGAGTTCGGTTTCTCGTTCCTTTGTTGCTGACGAAGGCAATCTGCTGGATCACAGGCTACTGTGTCCAGAGTGAATGTGTGTGTACTTGTGTACTTATCTTCACTTTTAATCTAGGGATTTAAACTGTCTTTTTGCACATAGCTCTTTTGCACATAGCATAGATATAGATATATTCATTATAAATGTTTTCATATTGCGTTCAGTTGGCATGTTTGTTTGAGGCCCCGTTTACACGAAGGGAAAACACAGATATTTCCCAACGGTTTGGCCTCTCATTTACAAGAAAACCCTGTTTTTATCACAGAAAACTATTATTTCTAAAAACTCCGGCCAAAGTGGAGATTTCTGAAAACCCCGGTTATGTGTTGCCGTGTCAACTGGGAGAAACTGGGTTTTAGGTTCTCTGTTGTCGATTCTGATTGGCTTGCATGGCTTTATCCTTCTCCCTACACAGCCGCCCATAGGTTTGGCATAGTTATGATGGCGCTCGACGACGTATTTATGCGGGTGTATGCACGATGTTATTATTGAAAACGGGCGGGGGGGATATACGTTTCTCTAAATACCTGGCTTTGTGTAAACGTGGCCTGAAGGACAGCATTGGGGCAGGATGTGGAATAGTGTGTTTTGTCAATAATAAAAGAAAAGAAAATCTGGCTTTTGTTATCCGATTAATCGAATAAATAATCGGCCAACTTATCGATTATCAAAATAATCGTTTTGGGTTGCAGCCCTACTTTCAACAGAGGTTATTGCACACACACTTACATCAGGGCCCTGAGGGACCAGACCAATGATGTTTATGGCAGAATTTACAGCAGGATTTGTTAGCAAACCGTTTGTGCTGTACAGTTGTGTTCTGGACTCAGCGTGGAATTGTTACACTGGAGAAATGGTGAGTGGTCTCTTTAATTGCTATTCACATACACAATATATTATAATGCCGATTTGCACTGTGGCCAGCCCTGTGTTGGCAGAGTTCAGGCACATGTGAACCAGCCAAACGTCTACATGATGTTTGTGATATAACTGACCAATATTAGAGAAATGTTAGATCACAGTGAAACTAACAGAATGAGAGTTTAACACATTGATTTCACAGTGGACTCGCGTGGTAAGCTCACAGAGCACAGAGTGAGGTTACACTTTTAGCAAACACTGTGAGCTGTGAGCTTATGGTGAGATCAAATTGTTGACCGGGCCAGCTTTCAGACCCGATAGGGCTCGAGGTTGAGCTGCGTTCCCTGGATATCAGGGTTTTCTTTGAATAGGAAGCTCCCTGTCAGCTCTCGAGGGCAGCGTGTCATGTGGTTGTAGAGGGAAGTTATCTCACCCACATCCATCAGCTGACTGGCATCTCACAAACACAGTTCCATGTTGGACATTCATATTGCATATCTACGAACGAATAAAATAATGAATCACTTGGCTTAGCCTACAACAGATAGCTATGGAGAAAGAGAATGTGTCTTATCAACTGCGTGCACTTCGTTTATTGACACCTTTCTTGTTACGTGGCAAATCGCGGGACTGTGGGATCCCAATCCCAATCTACCTGTCTGTTCGTCCATCTATCTATCCGTGCAGTTTTTATGACCTCAGTTATTGAGACACTGCAGTGAATATTATATTAACATTATAGATTGACTTCAGGCAACGGTACAGCTGTGACACTGACAAAGAGGAGGTCTGACTAAACTATACTTGAATATACTTTATCAATTATTTAAGCGATATTATAAAGCCATGTTATGACAAGATATGAGATATGACACGCATGAAATTGGTCGAGTGATTTATTTCGACCTATTTAATAGCCTACTTTGCTGGGGGATTATAGACTATAGTTGGTTGACTGGTTAATTAGTTGAATAAGTTGGTAAGTGTGTTAGTTTGGTTGTTAATTTAGTGATTTGACTGCAAATTAACAAACTGTTGCAGATTTCACAGAAAATTAGCTAGTTGTAAAGTATGTTAATTAGTTAGTATACTAGTTTGTTTAGGAAGTTATCTAGCTGGTTAGCAGTTTAGTTAGCAAGGCAGACTTGCTAACTTGAGTTTATATATATTTCACATGCTGTGACTGGTTACCACCAGTGTAAGTAGTTTTATTGCACTGCTGTGTTGCAAAAACCGAGGTCATAAAAACAACATACATTAATTACCATATAAAATAATTCATGCTTTTTATAGCTTGAGATGGAGTTTAGCATGTCACAGAATGTCGACTACCCAGATATTGCGGACAGTGTATGTATGCAGTCTCTTTCAAATATGAAACACGAAACGTGACTAATTTAACACTGTTAAGTTAAATAAGTCATTTACAGTTAGAATCGACAGTGACGAAGTGAAATTATGCTAATCTAAATCATGTCTGGATAAGCGCAGCACGCATTATGCAAAAACAGCCTTTAAACATTAAAACCGTGAAGCGTAATATGATTAAACTGCAATATCTCTCATTAAAATGCGTCATTCGCACAACAACTGTAACATTAACAGTTTTTTGATGAATTTGACGAATACGATAGGCTACATGGAAAATCAGGCGGTGAAAGTATTTTTGAAAAGTGAAAAACAAAACAACCAGAATGTCAGTCGGCAAGTGTTTGCCGGGAATAAGGTCAGCAAACTTTATCCGAGAACTGACAAAAATATTAAATTGTTCGTCGTCGTGGTAATAATTCGTGTGTGATGTTAAGTGCACTAACCAGTCAGCAGGTCGCTGGATCCGTCACATTCTCCAGTAGTGTTCAAACTCTCATCTCTAGATTTCACCTTCATGTTGTCTTCGCACGGAACACACTCAGATAAAATACCTCCAATCCCGTCAGAGAGAGACACACTATTGCATTACCTGCCAATAAAGCCAGGTAATGTATATGCAGGGCTTTAGAGTGTGAATAATGTTGTTATATTTCCATTAGAAGTTCCCATCGGTCGTCGGCTGCGTGCTGGGTTGATTTTGCTCCAGTATCCGGTTCGTTCATGCGGAACATGTGTAGACTGTTATGACTGTACTATCAAAGAGTTCTTCTGTGTTATTATAAAAGAGTCTCTGCACCGCCTCACTGCCATCTGCTCTGCCCTACTGCAATATGAATGAAGTTGCTCAGTGAATCAGGACTGTGTCTCTGTCTCCAAGCCTGAGTCACACCGCGTGTTTGGGCATCATCACTGGCACGTTCCAAATCGAATTAGAACCATTTAAGCGCGTTCCAAAACATTCCAGCATCAGCAGTTGCACATTCCAAAGCAAAAGTATTTTTGGCTCTTTGTGAATAATAATTTTGTCTCTTTCTGAATCATTTTTTTTTTGTTTCAAATCAAAAGCATTTTATTTGTTCTGACACAAAAACAGTTCTGTGCATTACAAATCAAAACGTATTTAGGCATGCCACAAATAATGCTTTCTAGTTCTCCAAAATAATTTTTGTGAATTCAGAATCAAATATGTTGCATTCTGGAATGAAATTTTCCAAATCTAAAGATTTTTTTTTTTTTTTTGTGGCATTTTCCAAATGATAATTTAGAACACATTCCAAATCAAAAGCATTTTTATAGATTCTGAATAAAATATGTTTTTACAGATTCTGAATCAAAACTATTTTTACACATTCCGAATCAAAGACATGTTTGTTTGTTTTCCACATAATAATTTTGTGCACATTCTGAATCAAAAGATTTCTTTTCGGCATTCCAAATCAAAATCATTTTTTTACACATTACAAATCATAATCCTATTTGGCTTTTTCCAAATAATACTTACTCATTCCAAATCTTTTTTCTCCAAATCAAAAAATTGGTGTGCATTGAGAATCAAATATGTTGCATTCTGGAGTAACATTTTCCAAATCTAAAGCATTTTTTTTTGCCATTTTGCAAATAATAATTTAGTACACATTCACAATTAAAAGATTTTTTGTGCACATTCTTAATCATAAACATTTTTCATACAGTCCAAATCAAAAGGCTCCAAATTTCGCAACATTTTTACTGCATTCTAAAAAATTTTTTTTCAAAAATCATTGTTTGAGCATTCAAATCAAAAGTGATTTTAGGTGTTCCAAATCAGCAGTTTCTAAAATCAGCATTCCACTGTATATTTTTGGCACAATCCAAATGAAAAGCAGTTTGTGTCAAAAGCATAAATTAGCCAAAACTGATGCTTTCATATACGCATGAATCTTCTAAATACCTTTCCTTCTCAAACGAGTCTTCCAAATGTATAAATAACATGAATAAATCATTCTTCTTTTTTTTTTGTGGTTCGAAATTTTGCACATATTTAATATTTAATAGACCAGAGCCTGTAGTGCAAGGATGAGTTTTTGTCTTGAACTATTTTTAAACCGTACTTCTCCAAAAAAAAGATGTATCTTCTCCTGAAAGCTAAATTAATGACATTATGCTGTTAGGAATTATATATAACTGTTAGGATGATTATGAATCTGTAAGCACATCTTCTGATATAATATTAGGTTTATATTTATCCATTTAAAGTCTGAAAACATGAGACCAAAGAAAAGGACATGGGCTGACAGCACAGATTCTTGATCATGAGCTTTTCAGATGCTCTAATAATAAAATACTGAGTCAATGCTCCTCTGATGCGCGCTGAGTAATGCACTTTGTAGGCCTACATGTTGTAATAAAAAGCTTTTTAAAAACTGCAACATTGAGATCTAAGTTGGATGATGGGATAGAGTTATTTTAGATCATTTTTATATTTAATTCATGGACTTAATGTTAAAATGTGTCGATGGCATTATAGAAATCAGCAAATATCCCTCAACAATATCTTTGATGTGTTGGCCATTAGTTTTTTCCAACTGTAAAACATTTACTGTAACTTACTGGTTGCAATTTTGGTTGCCAGCAAACCTGTAAATTAACAAGAGTGCCGTAAATCATCAACTACAATTATACTGTAAAAACAGCAAAACAAGATCAGCTGTGAATTTACAGTTCTTTACTGTCATCTCCTTTACAGTATGTTACTGTAATAATAATAATACGCACTGAAACCTGTTAACTCATTTCATTTGAGGAAACTGCTTGTCTTAAATTGGTCATAACGTCAGTGTGTCTAAGCTCATCCTGGACTGAAGCACAGGGTTTATTCTTCAGCACAATGGAGAAACCCTTTAAATCCCAACAGATCATTAAACACTAACGTATCTCCATATATCATAAAATAACACTTCAGTTCAACATTTACTCTCATGATAAGTTCACAGAAATTAATTCACAGAAATTAACTTTTTCCGTTTAGTGAATTTGACCATTCGATTTTACAGTAAACCACTGGCTTCCAGCCACGGCCTTAGATGAAATCATCTAAAGATAAAAGAAGAAATTACATTTCTCTAGATCTCAGCTTTAACATGCAGCTTTACTTATTACTAACCAGTTTGACTTTATGTCTGTCGTCTACAGAAGTTCTTATTGAGAATAAACAGGGGTTGTTTCGGTTGAAGTCATCATTATGGTGATCGGTGTTTGCTTTAGTTTGGCTGTTGTCCCTTTGGTTTTTCTCTGTTTGCTGTAATTGTGTGGACAAATTTGTTATGGCAGAAACACAGAAAATGGGATCTGGCGATTATGGCCGTGTATTGATGATGTCATCATTATTTAATTCAGTATGGCATAAATCAGTAGTGACCTGATCTCATCTCTGTAGAGTCTAATCTCTGATTATCCGGGTCATTTACAGTTGTGCTGTGTTTTTACAGTATAATTGTAGTTGATGATTTACAGTACTCTTGTTAATTTACAGGCTTGCCCGCAACCAAAATTGCCAGTAAGTTATTTTAAATTGTCACAGTATATATCTCATATGATTCATGTGCCTTCAAGAAACCAGTTGCAAAAGAAATTGCTGAATAGGAAGTTCAAAAGTTTAAGAAACAATAAACTAAATGAAAGGCAAGAATGAAGATAGAGACAGAAAATAAAGGGATTTAAGAGTGGAAATATGGTTGGGCAAGATAATAAGCCTAAAGAAAGAAAATCAACATTGATTTTATGCAATTCAGCCTAAAGTTATAAAGCACTTTTTAACAATTTCTCTAAGCAGCTTTTCAGGAAATCCGTCCAAACACGGGACTCTTGAGAGAAACCGAACCATACACCCGTCCATCTCCTCAGACACGAGGTAATGAGAGATCAGTCTGTGATCAATGTTTATTACTTCGTCAAAATTTAGTCTCTCGTTTTTTTATGTTTTTTTTTTTATAGTGTTCCATAGATAGCGTTGCACTGAAGTTGCGGTCGCATTTTCTGTTGTTCGGAAAATGTTTTAAAGTTCTCGCGAGCGATCCAGTATTTCAGTTGAGTGCATTAAGCACAGCTATGTAGAAAAATCATTGCTTGAATTTTTGCGAGTGAAATCTGGTAACTTCATTAGAGTGCATGCAGTCAAATTTACCATTGCTTTGCACAATTTTGCAGGCGAAATCCAGTCAAGAATCCACACAATTGGGAGTTTCACATAAAGGAAAAAAAAATTTTCACAATGATTTCTCTCATGACCAAGTTAGGCATGCAAATATGCTGTGATGACCAACACAAAGCTGCTTGTTCTGAAAGTGTCTTCGGTAATGGACCCTTATTTTTTCAACACACCTTTAGTGCCGGCTCACTTTTTCAGTGGTTCTGGTTCCCAAAGAATCATTCATAGGAATAAAAAAAAAAAAGTCTTTGTTAAAGCGCTATAAGCCATTATAAAAATTAGGTAGCCACATGTGCTGACGTGCACTACCGTCCTTTATAAAAATGTTTGTAAAAGTGATATAAAAGTTTAATTATATAAAATTGCTTAATTATTTAACAATATTTTTAACTAAAGTGAACCTAATTTGAAGCCAAATTTCACCCAGCTAATGCATGATGTATTCAAATGTCACCATAACTTACATTTAAGCAGATATGTTATCTTTATATAGCATATGCCCTTTGAAGGAAAAAGGAAAAGCTCTTTTATCTCACTGCCACACACACGTCTCCAACTCTGCAGTTACGGGGAATAAATCCTTAATGGAAAGGAGTTTAACTTATTAACGGTTTCTTTTAGAGGGTAAATATATAGACAATGAATAAAGTTTTTTTTAATTATTATTTATTTTTTAGAAGACTACAATGTGCTCGCCGAAACACAAACCAAGACACTGGCAATCATTGTGTATGTTGTACAAAATAAGATTTAATTAGGAAACAAACACCCATAAATAATACTAAGGCAAAGGAAGTCAAATACTCATTTTGAACCAAGCCCAGGAAGAATTTACAAAGGATTTTTTTGAAACGTGTCTGTTTTATTTAGTTATCCTCCATGGTTTGATAGTGGAACTGGTTTGGATTCTAGAACGTTCTGAATTCAAACCGACACCGATTGCGGGTTCTCTAGAACTGGTCTCATACAAACTATCTTTCCAGTGTGTGTAAAAATTAATACATTTGTTTCTTTCTTCGCTCAGTGTTACGATATAACTCAATATACAGCTGTTTTTAAACTGCAACTTCATATGTTTTCATGATGGCGCACTGAAACTTCTTGCAATACTGGGGAATACTGAGAGGAGAAAATTAAGAGACTGTCAGTCTTTTAAAAAATTAATGCATTCATACTCAAGGGTGGATCTCGTGAAAACGGTCACGAGTCCCATTTTAAAAAGCATAAGAAAAATTATATTTTGCTTAAATTTAGCCCATTTGATCTTTTCAATATGACAATTAAGTAAATGCCCCCCCCCCCCCCCCCCCCAATTCTCATTACCATAATAAAGATGAATATGATTTAAATTAAGTACAATTTTAAGTATGCATTATGGGAGTATGTGTTTTTAAATTTAAAAAGCGGGATAATTATAATTACTTTATTATGGTACAATGAGAATGAGATTTTGTCTCATTATAATAATAAGAATTTGAGGGGAAAGGTGCTTGGTTTTAGAAACATTAGAAAATGAAACCGGTTTTAGAAACATTAAGATTTTTTTGCATTGTGAAAATCTTATGACAATTAAGCAAATTTCACACTCAAATTCTCATAACTATAATATAAAAAAACAAACAAATATTTAAATTTTAAGTATGCATTATGGTAGTAAGTGTTATACTGTATTTATGTTGTTTTTAATTGTTTTTTATTAATAATATAATTTTATTTTTTGCATTACTGTATTATGGTAATGAGAATTATTGTATTTTTGCATTTTGCCAATGAGAATTTGGAGAATTTTTTTTTTAATCGTCATGAAAATATGTCAGAATGCAAATCTTAACAAAAATCTTAATGCCATTTTATTAATGCAAATTATAATAATATCTTTCCTCTGATTATATCAATTATAACCCAGACATTTTTTCAGGTTCATGCAAGGTTATTTTGTGCGCATTTACTCGACTGGACACAAAAGCGGTATATAGAAAATGACTAAAATAAGTGGCAAGTCTGTGTGAGCTCAATGGTTTGATCGGTTTTATCCTAAGGCAATGAAGAATACGCAGTATGATCAACTGAAACAACACCAGACCACCAATATAAGGAGGGAAAAAAAGAAGAAAAGAAAATACCACACATTGTGCAAAGATGGGCTGATTGCTTTGTTGAGCCAATACAAGTCTGTCCTGAGTGCGACCAAACACACACACAGCATCAATAATACAGGATCAAATCCAGCTCTGTGTAACATTGAGAAGCCTCAGATGTGAAGGGTGAGAGAAATGTCAGAATGAAGGTCCTAAACACAGGTCAACGGTGCTGTTGTTTCAGGATATAGAGGAGAATTCCTTCAGCAGAAGATCCTGACTCATGGTGCTCAGAGACACGTTCTTCCTCACGTTCAGACTGATGGAGCGCACCTAGAAGAGGAGAAACCAGCATCTGTGCATCAAACACACTGATATCCGGCCATCATGAGAGAAAAGCATTGAGGCAGGTGTGTGTGCGTGGTCATAAATTCACTTTACATTCAAATTTAATGCAACAGAGCTATGTTTCCATCCACACGTTTTTATCCGAATGAAAAATGCCTTTCGGAAACAGTAAAATTCGATTGAATTTCATGAATATCGACTCAAATGAAATACGTTCGGTCTCATCGGATTTTATCTTGATCGACGTATGGCTTATGCGATAAACGCTGATGGAAACGTTATTTGCCGAATAAATAATGAATTCCGATTAAGTTTTAGGTCCTTTTATGGTTGCAACACGCCACAAAACATCTAGAAGAAGAGGTTTTAGTTCATTTCCGCCCAGTATTTCCGCTCTGTTTGCGCACACATGGCGGGTGTCAACAAAGACAGATGTAAGTGGACAAAGCAACCAAAGGGTTTCCGTGAGGTGTCTCTGAACCGCGATCTCCCAGAACTGATGGAGCGCTGTCGTTCCCACACCACAGGCCGCCTACGCTGGCGTCGGGCGTTTACGTGCATCTGCATCATCATAGCAATGTGTTGATAGCGTCGTTGTTTTCTTATTATAGCTTGTTATTACATGGCTTGGTTGAATTCTAATGTAGAATGCGGTCTGTTATTTCTTGATAACACACCGTTGCTAAGTATAACACACCGTTGCCATGAAAAACAGAGCGTTGCCATGGACACAGTTCAGAGACGGAACGGACTATTTTCTGTAGCGGAAGCAATACAATCGTTTTTAAATCAATAAACTCCTTTTTAAATCAATATTTTGTGTCAAATGATTGATTTATTTGGTAGGTAGGCATGTAATAAGTGGGATAATGTATAGCGAGGCGGTTGTTATAGCGAATACAACCCCTTCAGGCTAACAACCGCCTCGCTATTAGGGCTGCACGTTTTCAAGTTCTTCTTTAACCGTTAACCGATGCCGGTTAATACTCGGTTAACCATAGTGTGCGCGCCGCAACCCCGAGATACAGACACACGAGAAAGGGGTAGTTCATTTTTAACACCTTTAATAACTGGTTGGACCACATTTAGAACAAAATTAATTAATAGAAATAAAACGCAGTGGTAAGGATAGAGCAGTTGTGGTGTGTTCACACCGAATGCGAATGTAATTATTTGCGCGAGTGATTACATACAAAGTCAATGCAAAGACGCGAATAGACGCATCATTCACGCCGGGCGTTGCGAATGACGCGAATTGGGCGACGCGTTTGCCGCGAATGTCTTCCGCGCAAGTTGAAAAATTTGAACTCGAGCGAATGTTCAAGCTAGACGCGATAGACGCGTATTTGACGCTCTATTCGCGTTCGGTGTAAACACACCATAATGATGCCCGGGTGTTGGCTGTTGAGATGGTACAACAGCGAGGTTGTACTTGAAGTATATCTAAGCACTGCATTGCAATACTTGCATTTTGCCCCGTCATTCTCGATTTTAAAGCGCTCCCACGCTGTGCTTTTCTTTGCCCGCTTCATATTAGAAAACTGGTCATGACTACTTCTTCTTGTGGACATTACAAATGAATGGGAGCGCTCTGGCGGTCTCTGGTGGTGCAAAAATGTATTACAACTAAATTCAATGCACGCCATTGACGCCACTTAACCGAGCAAAATGTTTCACTCGGTTGCGCAATTTTTAACGGTTAATCGGTTAACCATGGACACCCCGCTATACATTATCCCTTACATATGTCGCTATCAGCTGGCACATAAGCACTATTAGCCTACAACTTGTGCAATATTGATCATTTGTTGGTAGATGGCGCGATCCATTTTGTCTAGCAAAACTTTGTTCGCAAATGTTTGCTTGAATGTTGTGCGATTCAGTGCGAAAATGAATGGAAACACCTTAAAACAGGGGTCTCAAACTCAAATTAACTGGGGGCCGCTAGAGGTAGAGTCTGGGTCAGGCTGGGCCGCATCAAGTATTCCACAAAAAAATAGTATTCAAGTATTCCAAAAAAGGAGCACAACTGATCCAATCTTCTCAATATTTATTAACGTTTCTTCTGAACAGTTCCTCTGAATTTGAACATTCCTTTCTGTACATGATTGGTTCTTCATGAGCTGTCCTTCTGACAGTTGAAGTTCATTTTACAAACTTTCTTTGTCTATAACACATATTTGTGATATTTATATTTGCTTATGTCCTTTTTATTTTCTTTATACAACACATTAATGATATTGAATGTTTTTTTTGGAAGGCACATTTCCTTTTATTATACTTAGAAAAACAATTATTGCTTTTGAAATACAAATATTTGCAGTCATGTCTGCCCTTCTTATTGAATTCTTTGTATAGTGTCTCAAATTACTGACTGCACAAATCAAAGCAAACCTTCTTATGAACCTGTTGGACACATATTACAAGCTCAAAATGATTATTCTCACATTGTTTTAGAGCAGGGTCTCTCTCCAACACGTCGCTCGCGAGCTACCAGTAGCTCGTGGCCTGATTGGTGGTAGCTCGCCAAGGGGCCGTTCACATATCGCGCTCACATATTTTGCGCGCTCAAGTTCGTAATTTCAAATGTAGGCGCGCGGCAAGCGCGCTCATAATTGAAGCGACGCGCTCATTTTTTCCAGGCGCAGTATGTTTGTACTTCGCGGTTGTCTATGACAACTATTGACAACAAACCCTCCGTAAGCTGTCACGAGACTATCTATGGTAGCTCATAAGGGATACATTTTTTTTTTTTTTTTTTCGCGGCACACGCAACGACGGGCCGCACTAACATTAAACTTTAATGTCAAGTAGGGGGCCACAAAATATCACCCCGCGGGCCGCAAATGGCCCGCGGGCCGCGAGTTTGAGACCCCTGCCTTAAAATGTCTCAAATCAATTCGATATACCAATTTGATCGCAAAACAGCATGTGACGTCATTACGCACAGGTTTTTATTCGCTTTAAAGCCGTTGGATGGAAACACACTTTCACCAGCTTTATTCGCATGAGTTTTTTTTAATCGAACTTCAGATAATTCGATTGACAAGTGGATGGAAACTTGGAGTCCCTAAGGGCAAAGTGGGCTCGGTGAAGCAGGTTGGACTGACACCAAAATGTTCGGCTTTACAATTCCAGCATTGATAACTTGACACAATGTACACTGTTGATTGTGATATATTTACATATCATGATTAATAATTTCAATCACTACATTAACTCAGCGAAAAGAACCAGGTTTTTGGACAAGAGATCGAATGTTGTTTCGGATCAGATCATTTAAACCGTAGATTTCAGTCAGCGAATATATTCGATCAGTCAGTCCGAAACAGCCCTAATGTAGAGGAACCGGCTGATTCATCAGAGACGGCGGAGAGAGTAGAGAGTATTAGTCTTCTAAGGACGATCTCTCTCTCCTATTCTGTGATTATACAGTGTTGTATACTGTACCATACAAGTTAACATAACCAAAGGAAGGAAGTAGCTTACCAGCTCCTTGAAAAAGCCAGCTTCTCTGGGCTGCTCTGAATAGCGCTCGAACTGATCCAGGCCGTCCTGCAGCTTCAGGGTTAGTGTGTCGTAGTTCGACCGGACCACCTCCAGCACCTACAGAGCAGAGAACGACATGAACCACACATACAGGGAGATCTGACAGGGTCAGCGCGACTTCATCTCTGTGCTCAACATCGATTCTCACAATCACAACCCCTCAGTTTGTAAAGAAACTAAACGGATCGACACAAATCCACTTGGAAGACGATGGAATATTATCCATGTTCTAACGACGTGTGGTTAATGTCTAATAGAACTACAGGAACCCGCTGGAGTGATCACATGACTTCTGATGCAGACACGAACCACCACAAATGGCACGCGCTTTCCGCCGCACTGTTCTCCAAATATCAGCTGACCAAGCAGGAGCTCAAGGAATTAGCGAACTTTGCATTCATCTTATAAAATCAAATGTGACAAAATATTAGCTTACTTGTAGCTGGTCAAATACAGGACAAAACAACAACACTGTATCTAATGCTCCTTGACTCTGCATAAAATCTGTTGTGGTTGTATAATTCAACATACAAGTCAAACCGCCCTAGATTCAGTTTTTGTTGTTGTTTTGTCCTGTATTTGACCAGCTACAAGTAAGCTAATATTTTAGAGTCTCAAAATGTTGAGTTTTACATTGCACACTTTACCCGAAAGTAAATCGGCTGCCCCTAAAACTCATAGAGAAATGCGTTTTGCACTTTTTGTGTACAAAGCTCTTTTGATCAAACTACCACCTTTTAATAATTCACTTTTTTTTTTTACCAGCCCAGAGCTCAGGGATTGGGTATTACTCCCTAAGATCTCCTCTGAATTGGGTAGATCGGCTTTTAGCTTTTTTTACCCCTCACATTTGTAATGAATTACAATGTACTATTAAACTGGATGATCTGTTATGGCATTTCAGACGTTTACTTCTTAAATCTAAGGGAGATTGAGCCTTTGCTGTTGCCGCCTCACGTCTATGGGACCAGTTGCCGCCTTTCACCTTCAATTGCTATTTTTAAAACTAAATTGAAAACTTATTTTTATTCCCTGGCATTTTCATTTTCTCCTGATGCTATTTCTGTTTGGTTGTTTTTATGTTTTTTACTCTGTTCAGCACTTTGGATAGCCCTGCTATGTGTAAATGTGCTATATAAATAAAATGTACTTACTTACTTACTTAAAGGGATACTTCAGGATTTAGCATTAAGCTTTGTATTAGTAGAAAACCTCTAGTATTTTCAAATGACCGTGCTCTCCACCCTCATATCCCCCTGAGACGAGAGATTTATGTATTTTTTGTCTGGAAAAAATCTTCAGATGTCGTAAAAATCGTCATTTTGACCCATTTTAAATACACATTCATCTTTCCAGAGGTCAAGTATCCCTTTAAGGATCATTTTATTACTGACTGTGTTTGTTTAGCCTTTTCTGTTTAATTGCTTTTAATTTATTTATCTTGTTTACTGTACTGTACACCTACACAGGTCGTTGCTGTAAATGAGAACTTATTCTCACTCAACTTACCTGTATAAATAAATAAATAAATAAAAACAGTGGGGCCAAAAAGTATTTAGTCAGCCACTGATTGTGCAAGTTCTCCAACTTAGAATGATGAGAGAGGTCTGTAATGTTCATCATAGGTACACTTCAACTATGGGAGACAAAATGAGAAAAAAAAATCTAGGAAATCACATTGTAGGATTTTTAAAGAATTTATTTGTAAATTATGGTGGAAAATAAGTATTTGGTCAATAACAAAAGTTCAACTCAATACTTTGTAACATAACCTTAGTTGGCAATGACAGAGGTCAAACGTTTCCTGTAAGTCTTCACCAGGTTTCCACACACTGTAGCTGGTATTTTGGCCCATTTCACCATGCAGATCTCCTCTAGAGCAGCGATGTTTCGGGGCTATCGCTGGGCAACACGGACTTTCAACTCCCTCCACAAATTTTCTATGGGGTTGAGGTCTGGAGACTGGCTAGGCCACTCTAGGACCTTGAAATGCTTTTTACGAAGCCACTCCTTCGTTGCCCGGGCGGTGTGTTTGGGATCATTGTCATGCTGGAAGACCCAGCCATGTTTCATCTTCAAGGCTCTCACTGATGGAAGGAGGTTTTGGCTTAAAATCTCACGATACATGGCCCCGTTCATTCTTCCCTTTACACGGATCAGTTTTCCTGTCCCCTTTGCAGAAAAACAGCCCCAAAGCATGAGGTTTCCTCCCCCATGCTTCACAGTAGGTATGGTGTTCTTGGGATGCAACTCTGCATTCTTCTTCCTCCAAACACGACGAGTTGAGTTTTTACCAAAAAGTTCTATTTTGGTTTCATCTGACCACATGATATTCTCCCAATCCTCTTCTGGATCATCCATATGCTCTCTAGCAAACTTCAGACGGGCCTGGACATGTACTGGCTTAAGCAGGGGGACACGCCTGGCACTGCAGGATTTGAGTCCCTCTCGGCGTAGTGTGTTACTTATGGTAGACTTTGTTACTTTGGTCCCAGCTCTCTGCAGGTCATTCATCAGGTCCCTCCGTGTAGTTCTGGGATTTTTGCTAACCGTTCTCATGATCATTTTGACTCCACGGGATGAGATCTTGCGTGGAGCCCATCAGATCGAGGGAGATTATCAATGGTCTTGTATGTCTTCCATTTTCTTACAATTGCTCCCACAGTTGATTTTTTCACACCATGCTGCTTGCCTATTGTAGATTCACTCTTCCCAGCCTGGTCTACAATTTTCTTCCTGGTGTCCTTCGACAGCTCTTTGGTCTTGGCCATGGTTGAGTTTGGAGTGGGACTGTTTGAGGCTGTGGACAGGTGTCTTTTATACAAATAACGGGTTCAAACAGGTGCCATTAATACAGGTAACGAGTGGAGGACAGAAGAGCTTCTTAAAGAAGAAGTTACAGGTCTGTGAGAGACAGAAATCTTGCTGGTTTGTGGGTGACCAAATACTTATTTTCCACCATAATTTACAAATAAATTCTTTAAAAATCCTACAATGTGATTTCCTGGATTTTTTTTCTCATTTTGTCTCTCATAGTTGAAGTGTACCTATGATGAACATTACAGACCTCTCTCATCATTCTAAGTAGGAGAACTTGCACAATCAGTGGCCGACTAAATACTTTTTGGCCCCACTGTACATTTGAAATCATTTTAATTTATTTACATAAAGCAAATGTTACGTTATGTCATTTTATTCCTGTATTCTAAAAAAATGAAATTGATGTTACAAAATCATTTAATTAAATGTAATGCTATTTTAATACATTTTAATAAACATTATTAAAAATGTAATTATATTTTTGAAATAATACTTCAATAATATTTTCAGACATTTTATCTTGAAAAAAGGTAGGTTCTGGTACATTTTTGGAAGGTATTAAAAAAAAATGGAATTATTGAAATTATTGAATTTCTCATTATATTCAGAGAGCTTTAGATGCTCCAAGACCCTTTGCAAACAGCACCATGTCCAACAACTGTCTTTGTCCAAATGAGAGAGAAATCAACAAGTAATTGTGGCAAGATGCTGTATTTCAGAGTAGCTTTCCCAAACCACAGGCAGTTTGAAGTCACATTGTGAACCGTGATTTTAAAGTGGATGGGTCTGTAATTTGACTGGGACAGGCTGAAGGAAGGACACACACCCATACACTTCAACTAAACGAAGCGAGGTCGAGTGGAAGCATCTGGCACAGCGAGATAAAAGAGAAGAGATTTTGGGATTGCGAGTGACAGCTGGCATTACCATCTGTAAAACTGACCTCGCTTCCAGCACATGGCATCATTACCCCACAGATCAAAGGGTAATCAAGCCACACCTGTGGCCACAAACACCTGTGACTGTCCCGATGAACAGCTCTTCTAGGAGAGGGTTTTCATACAGACACATGTAGGGTTTTTGCGTATTCAGATTCCACACCAATTCTCTCATTTCACAGGATGACTAGATGCCGTGCCACAGCACACAGGTATATAAATCATGTGTGGATGTATTTAGATACATAAAAAGCTAAAAATATTTACAAAGTCATTTCCAACACCGTCATTTCCAGCACAAATTTAATGAAAATCGAAAATGTGGTAGAAATGACATTATAATTAACTTGACAATTGGTGTTCCAGATCGCAACGCTGAAATTTCGGTCCACTATCTATTATTACAAGTCGACAATCTATTATTATTTTAATTTATTGTAATATATTTATTTTACAATTATCTATTTTTAGCTTTTTAAAGGAAGTCTCTTATGCTCACCAAGCCTGCATTTATTTGATTTAAAAAAGAAAAGAAAAAGTAATAACCGTTTTCTATGTGAATATATTGTAAAATGTAATTTATTCCTGTGATCAAAGCTTTTCAGCATCATTACATTTATGATTATTATCAATGTTGAACATTTGTGTAAACCATGATACATTTTTCAGGATTATTTGATGAATATAAAGTTCAAAAGAACAGCATTCATTTGAAATAGTAAACAATAGTCACATCCTTGCTGAATAAAATAATATATATATATATTTTTTAAAACCTTACTGACCGCAAACTTTCAAACAGTTGTGTATTTATATATTTCAACATTATAATCAATTATAATAACCATAAAATTATAATAATTACAAGGCTAAACGTTAATTTTCTGTTAATTAAGTCTGCTGTTATGAATTTATTTCTTTATTTCATCTTTATAAGACATTGAATTGTGACCGTCAAGCCGATGTGAACGTATCGAGTTACCTGATCCTCTGAGAGCTGTGAGATGTGGTTCACAGCAGCGTACGACTCAATCTTAGGATTGAAATGGTTAATAATTGCTCTGAAAGTACAAAAACAAAGAAAAACAGGCAAAATGAGATATATTTCATACACTTGAGTATGTGACCTGCATTGAAAAGGCCGTACTAGCTGTCCTGTGACATGTCTGGGTGAGAATTAAAGCTAGCGTTACATGGAAGATCAAAGGTGCGGCTCGCTCAAATATTCTGCTGTAATGCTTTGCATTATGTATGCTTTAAAAACACAACAACAGCCGACTTCTTTTGTGCGGCACAAACGCAGGGTGACATCTCTGAAAGCCCGGAGAACGCTTCCACATTACCTCAGACTCTAAAATCAATCATTTATTCACTACGCCCCAAACCAAACCAAATAATACAAAAACACACACAATACCAAAGCTGCCCAATGTCAGTCATAGACTTAACTAAAGCAGGCCATGATTTCATCCAGCGTCTTTTTAACATAACTGTGACTATACATTATAAAAGTAGACTAAATATTCATTATCTTTATCCAAAATGTTTGTTTTTTAGACATATCTATGGTTTAATTAAAAAGTACTTGAATGTAAAAAAAATATATAATATTTTTTGCTAATTACAAAAAGTATGATATTTTAAAAACTGATCATTTAAACAAAAAATGAAATAAATCATCTCAAAATTTATTATGAAAACCATTTCAAATGAACCCTATAAAGCCTACAGTATCATATTTGATATGCAACTTCTACAGCCTCTAAATTATCAACATGATCTGTCGTCTGATTGATAGTTTATACTTTTTAGCGAGTAAAGGGACTTTTAGTGTAATTGTATGTCTTTTTGATGTGAAATCTTTACTGATTTTTATAAAGTAAACGCGAGAATAACTTTCATAATGTTTCAAGATAGCAACTTTAAGCAATTTGTCAGAAAAGTTATACTAAAATGTGACTCAAATATGATGATCAGGCTTTTGAGGAATGCTTGTTTGTTCATCTCTCAATCATCACTGTTGCCTCCACAATAAAAACTACAGAGCTTTGATCACAAAATTAATCATTGCTAAGGAATATTATTGGGAGATGTAGAGTGAAAACAAATATTTATATGCATTTAAGTATCTGTTATAAAGATCTTATTGATTTAAACACCTGATGTATCAAGTAAAGGTTCAGTAAACCATTTCGAAAGATGTTAATGTAAGGGTTAAGGTAAGTATCAAGAGTTTTACCTGACGTTGACGAGAGCGTGCGTAACTTTACTAGCGGGCTCCTTCCACTGGCCAGCGTTGGTGGAGACTCGCAGCACTGAGGCGTCATGGAGATCAGGTTAGTGATTTAGGGCTTATGCATGTACACAACACACACAGCAGGACTGAAGTGGTGACTTACCCATGCAGTAGAGGTTATCGAACACCTGATGCATGCGTATAATCTCATAATAGAGCTCGTCGTAACTGCTGGGGGTGGGCAGGAACGTGTCTCCATATGTGATGAACATATTAAAGAGGTTCACCACCTACAAAAAAGAAAGAACGGTGAGAAAATGTAAACGTTCCTCGAGTGTGAGTGTAAAGTACCCAAGTGTCTAGCGAGTGTGGCGTACCTGGAGAGCCAGCTGGAAGATGTTGTGCTTTGCCAGAAGGATGGTCTCGTTCGACAGCAGGAACTTCAGAAGGTTAATGAGAGCTGGAAGAATACAAATCAACAGAGCCGTCTGAAGCTGTTCGAGGACACACATTTCTGCACACTAAAGTAATGACTATGTTGACCTGTGACCCCACACAACTGTCCGCACAGATTGAGATGATCATTAACTGATTCATTATAAGGGGTTGCAGAGAAATAATCAGAGTTAATTTTTATTATAAATGAAAAAACAATGTAGAAATAAACACATGCACAAAGCAAAAATGAACACAAAAACCAAAACATTTAAAAAAAAAAAAAGGGAAACACACACAAATAGAAAAATAAAACAATGTAAAAAAGAACAATTTTTATTATAAATAAAAAAACAATGTAGAAATAAACACACGCACAAAGCAAAAAAAGAAAATAAAAAATTAACACAAAAACCAAAACAATTAAAAAACTGTAAAAAAAAACAAAAGCGAAACGAACTAAAAAAAAAAAAAAAACTGTAAAAAAAAAAAAAAGGGAAACACACACAAATAAAAAAATAAAACAATGTAAAAAAGAACAATTAATTTTTATAATAAATAAAAAAACAATGTCGAAATAAACACACGCACAAAGCAAAAAAAGAAAAGAAAAAATTAACACAAAAACCAAAACAATTAAAAAACTGTAAAAACAAAACAAAAGCGAAACGAACTAAAAAAACCCCACAAAAAACTGTAAAAAACAAAAGGGAAACACACACAAATAAAAAATAAAACAATGTAAAAAAGAACAAAAAAGAAATAAAAATGTAAACAAAAAAGCAAAAAAAATAAAAAGTAAAAAACAAATATAAAAATAAATAAAGAACAGAAGAAAAAACCCAGAATGCATTTCAACACTTCAGCCTTTTGTTCACATTGTAATGACCGTACCTGACCAGAAGTCTCTCCACGTGTAGTGCAGTCTAACTCGGCACTTTTTCTGGTAGCAGATCAGTTTGTGAATTATTTGAATGCAGCGCCTAAAATAAATACAACAATTAATTCTCAGCATATCCACATTTATCTAAGCATTGCAGCATTGACACCTGCTTATATACAGGGGCTGCTGAACGCTCGATTCTGACTGGCTGACAAAAGGTTCAAGGTTTATTCTCCAGTAAACGCACGGCTAACGTAGTTCCAGGCGGGTCCATATCGCCAAATGTAATTTTAAAGTTATTTCAAAGGTCCTCACAGCCCACAACAGAAAATGAACCAAAACCCACAAAGACAATGAATGAACACAAACAATTTCCATGTTTTCCCAAAAAAATTACGTTTCTTTATCTATGGGAAGCACGCTCTCTTTCTCCAGCTCTCATTCCCATAGAAACGCACACACACACACAGCACATATTAAACAGAAACTCACACATAGAGATCCATAGGGAATTCCTTCATCATATGAGTAACAATGAACTCGACCATCAGATCTGCAAAGACAAAGAACACTCATATAAACGTTCACAAAATGATACATATAATCTTTCACAAAATTCATGAACGCTCGACTCACCCAGAACCGCACACACTAAAGGTCGGGAGGGGACGTTCTTATCTGCGGCTTTCTTTCGGTGTCTCATGGGCTGAAACACATGTGATGTCAGTAAGAGACCAGCATATTTCAGATATGACTTCAACCAGTCCAAACAGCATTGACTTTCATTGTACGGCCTTCATTTTTTAACATTTTTGACTTGGACAAGGTTGATTCCAGTCAAAAGTATAAGAGTTAGACCGCACAGGTGGGCTGTTTCTTTTCACATGGAGAGACGGGAGCTTTTGATTGGATTTACCGCAGCGGCGAGGCTGGGACGTCCCATTAATAATGGATTGGATGTAACATGGGTCAGCCAGTTGGCTGCTTTGTATGCCAGAAACATCGTCTCCATTTGGATTCTGCCATTTGCAGACCTGGGAAATGAGAGCTGAACAAATGAGACTCTTACCATTCTGTGCAAGTTGACCCTGAAGTTCATGTTATCATCATGGAGAAAGGCATCGGCGTACTGGTCCTATTAAACGGACAGCGAGAGGACAAGCGGTCAAAGGAGAGAGTCGTTCACACACACAAAAAAATAAAATAAATGAAAAATACCTCAGCTATACAGGTCAGAATGATGAGGCACAGTCGGGCGCTGTTGAGTCTGTGTTCGTCTGAGAATATACAGAGAAAAACTATTGTAAGCTGTGCACAATCATGGGCTAAAAATAAGATCAATAAATGGCTCCGTTCCAAAATCTAGTGAGCGCCCTACGTAGGCAGCATTTTAAGGCATTGAGTGCATTAACTCAGAAGCTTTTCTAAAAGGTAGAGTTACGTTTCCTTCTATGACACCTTCTTTCGGCCAAATGCAAGACTGCATGTATCCTTTGCAAAGAATGCAATCCCATAATGCATTGCATCAAGCTCCAAAATAAAAAAATGGTGGAAGAAGCATGAAAAATGTTTATACTAAATATACGGTAATAAATATAATTTATCAAATACCAATTAAAAATGGACTATTTTATCAAAAAGTGTGTGTACTTTTTGTTTTTATGTTTATAAGAGTGTCATGTCATTAGCTTAGCAACATGCTAACAAAAAACTCCATTGAAATCAATAGTTAGTGCCCAGCTAGGCTGTAGGCAGCATGGAAGCTCACTTGGTTTTTGGAAAACGTTGAGTACAGGAAAAGTGATATCTTGCCTTTGGTGTCCTGCATTATGATGGAGGAATATTTCAGGAACGTTATAAGAAGATTACTTGTCTGCAAGTTCGGGTCAAGAGGAAGCTCAGGATTATTCATCACTGCCAAGAGAGAATGAAAAAGAATAGTGAATAATTTCTGAGAATTTCTACTACACACTAAAAATATTAATTAGAAAGTATATAGTATTAATTAGAAACTCAACATTTTAGAGAGTGTAGCAAGACTATAACTATAACAACAAAAAAATATATCTGGAAGCAGATTTTATCGGGAACAAGCACAAAAAGGACATGCAAGCATGGCTGGGAGATTCAGAAAAAAACTGCAACAATAATTAAAGATGTTTTTAGATTATTTTAGTCAAAATGGCTATAAAAAAAATCACAAATACAAATCACATGCAATATGAATAAATTGTATATCACTTTTGACCAATAGGTGGCGCTGTCACCAAATTGATGTTGTGTGGTCAGTGTGAGCACTGCAGTGTTACAGCCTCAGAATCAGCTTGGCACCATGCCATCAAATGGCTTGATGCGTTATTCGAGAATTGAAAAGCTTTTTAAAACTTGTTTTTTCCAATTTAGACAAATCGTCTAGGACGAGTTCGGAAAAGTAGGTTTTTCGGAACATCCTAAATGGTGGGGGGAAAAATTCATGATGGAAAACACAACAAAAGTTTGTCTTGAGCCAAGGAAGAGGACAATTATTTTGTTTCAAAAGTTTGTTTCAAAGTTTTCAAAACGGAAGTGAAACTTTGGACAGCAGGTGGCGCTAGAGGAATTGAGTTAGAGACTATTTCTGTGGTCAATGTTCTGACTCTCCTCTTTCATTGTGCCAAATTTCATAACTTTTTACCATACGGTTACATGGGCTGCCATAGACTTTCAGAGCGGAATAATAATAATAACAAGAACCCTAACGATTACAATAGTAATGATATTAATAACGATATTAGCGCAGACACCAGGGTACAACAATCTGTTTATTATAAGTATGCGCTGCAGTTCTGACACTTTAAATGCTTTGAGTTATTGCCCTTGGTGTGAAAGGTCCTTAACTAAAATTTTTTGGACCAACCGAGTAATCAGTGCCATCATGATTATAGATAATTGAGCTCTGTTGGCACATTCAAGCATGAGAACACGCCACATGCACCATGGGATTTTCAGTCTGCCAGATCTGAGTGGATTTAATATTTCATACAGCTAATGGAAATCAAGTTTTCAAAAGGTTGCATTGCAAAAAGCAGCAAAAAAGTGACACGTGTTTTAGAGGCAAATGTAAGTGTGGCGTTAGTTTAAGGAAATGTGGTGCTGCTCTACTATATAAAACACAGACTGAAGGCACCATTTGCTGGAGAACATTTATTTAAAAAGCTCAAAGCATTTTATTATTCGAACAAACCTTCCTACTGGTTACTGCTATGACCATTTAATAGTAGTTTGTTTTATTATATAACAAAGTAATATTAAGTAATGCATTCTTTTTCGGATATGACTTTTCATGTAGTGTGTAATGAAACTGTTTGTGAATGTAAAGGTCTGCAAAAGTTTCAAAGATCAAAGTGCAGATAAATGGAGTTATAGACCTTAGTCAGGTTAGACGCCATATTGAATTAAACACAGATGAAAATGAGGCTGTGAGGGATAGATGTATAAAGCTCCTAGATTATGTGATTTTCACAACTTTTTAAAACTGTTTTATGAAGTTTTTGTCTTCTGGAGACGTTTCATCAGCTGAACAATGGGTTGTTAAAAGTACAATCGATTGAACAAACTGTATTCTATTCCTCACAGCCTCATTTTTATTCCTGTCAAAAAATTAAATATGGCACTACCCTGACTAAGGTCTATTGTCTCCCAAAACAAAGAACCGATTCTGAACTGCCTGAAACGAGTCGTCAGTATTTCCAGTCTTACTTCCTGCATTAACCTGTGTAGCTTTGTAACAGATTTGCAACCAATCACAACAGACTGGGTTATCTGACCAATCAGAGCAGAGTAGACCAATCACAACAGACTGGGTGATCTGACCAATCAGAGCAGAGTAGACCAATCACAACAGACTGAGCCATCTGACCAATCAGAGCAGAGTAGACCAATCACAACAGACTGGGTGATCTGACCAATCAGAGCAGAGTAGACCAATCACAACAGACTGGGACATCTGACCAATCAGAGCACAGTAGACCAATCACAACAGACTGGGACATCTGACCAATCAGAGCACAGTAGACCAATCACAACAGACTGGGACATCTGACCAATCAGAGCAGAGTAGACCAATCCCAACAGACGGGGACATCTGACCAATCAGAGCAGAGTAGACCAATCACAACAGACTGGGACATCTGACCAATCAGAGCAGAGTAGACCAATCACAACAGACTGGGTCATCTGACCAATCAGAGCAGAGTAGACCAATCACAACAGACTGGGCCATCTGACCAATCAGAGCAGAGTAGACCAATCACAACAGACTGGGCCATCTGACCAATCAGAGCAGAGTAGACCAATCACAACAGACTGGGCCATCTGACCAATCAGAGCAGAGTAGACCAATCACAACAGACTGGGCCATCTGACCAATCAGAGCAGAGTAGACCAATCACAACAGACTGAGTCATCTGACCAATCAGAGCAGAGTAGACCAATCACAACAGACTGGGTCATCTGACCAATCAGAGCAGAGTAGACCAATCACAACAGACTGGGCCATCTGACCAATCAGAGCAGAGTAGACCAATCACAACAGACGGGGACATCTGACCAATCAGAGCAGAGTAGACCAATCACAACAGACTGGGCCATCTGACCAATCAGAGCAGAGTAGACCAATCACTACAGACTGGGCCATCTGACCAATCAGAGCAGAGTAGACCAATCACAACAGACTGGGCCATCTGACCAATCAGAGCAGAGTAGACCAATCACAACAGACTGAGCCATCTGACCAATCAGAGCAGATCAGACCAATCACAACAGACTGGGTCATCTGACCAATCAGAGCAGAGTAGACCAATCACAACAGACTGGGTCATCTGACCAATCAGAGCAGAGTAGACCAATCACAACAGACTGGGCCATCTGACCAATCAGAGCAGAGTAGACCAATCACAACAGACTGGGCCATCTGACCAATCAGAGCAGAGTAGACCAATCACAACAGACTGGGCCATCTGACCAATCACAGCAGAGTAGACCAATCACAACAGACTGGGACATCTGACCAATCAGAGCAGAGTAGACCAATCACAACAGACTGAGCCATCTGACCAATCAGAGCAGAGCAGACCTATCACAACAGACGGGGACATCTGACCAATCAGAGCAGAGAAGACCAATCACAACAGACTGGGTCATCTGACCAATCAGAGCAGAGTAGACCAATCACAACAGACGGGGACATCTGACCAATCAGAGCAGAGTAGACCAATCACAACAGACTGGGTCATCTGACCAATCACAGCAGAGTAGACCAATCACAACAGACTGGGCCATCTGACCAATCAGAGCAGAGTAGACCAATCACAACAGACGGGGACATCTGACCAATCAGAGCAGAGTAGACCAATCACAACAGACTGGGTCATCTGACCAATCACAGCAGAGTAGACCAATCACAACAGACTGGGACATCTGACCAATCAGAGCAGAGTAGACTCTCAGAAAGGAGGGGTTTAGAGAGACCGGATCCTTTATCAAACTGTTTCAGACACTGTGAGAAAAGAGGTGATGCGTGTTCTTGACTTTGGATGCATATAAACCTATTGTATGAAACCTCCCAAACAAACCTAGGAGCCTTTAGCATGTGGGCACTTTAAGATGCTATTAAGATCCTCCCCTCGTCTGCAGCTCTTAAATCTATTGTGTGTTCATGTTCAATTCAAATGTGATGCATCATGACTTCTACTTTCGAGTTCTGCAGAAGAAGGAAGGTCATGTGGTTTTGACACGAGTGTGAGTAAATGAGATCTAACAGAACTCACTGTCCAGAGAGGGCGGAGTCGTGCCCAGCGGGGTTGTGGGAGAGGCTGGGACAGGAGCAGCGGGGGTTGCTGACATGTCAATATCTGGATGACTCTGTTGAATACAATCCACGACCTCTTAATGTATAGCATAGGCCTATTAATATATACATGCAAGTGTAAAGTAACGCCAATGCATAAAAGACAATAATGACCAATACTTTGTCATTGAGTAGTGCTGACCTGCGCGAGAACAGTGATGAAGTTTCTGTTGAGATGTACGGCCTCATACAGAGCGAGCAGGATGGCTTCATTAGTCCTAAAGGACAATAGAGTCATAATACAAAATACAAGAAGGGAACGGTTTTTCATCATAACTGCGGCCTTGCTGTGCATAAGAGATTCTTTCAAACACATTAAAGGGGATGTCTAATGCTATTTCATGCATTCCGACTTATTTACACTGATAAAGAGTTGGATTCACATGCTAAACATGGCCAAAAAACTGTAAGTAAGATGCAATACTACTCTATATGTGCTGAAGATTAACATGAGAAACTGTGTGTTGTGTCCCATTAAAAAAATCCTACTGACGCCAAACTTTTGCATGGTGGTGTATATGAAAAAGAATTGCAATTTAGGTACTATTTTCTTTGTGATCAGCAGTTAAAAAGTAATGCTAAACTCAATTTTGTAAGGTGTTTTAGTTTTTACTTACTGCACTGACAGCTTCTCGTCTGCGTCAGCGATGAACATACTGCCCACCTGTAGACCGAAGAAGTGTTATAATAAAACTGTAGTAGCAAAGCCACTTTCATTGAATGGGAAAAAAAAATATAGCAGCAAGGACATTCTGCAAAATATCTCCTTTAGTGTTCCCCAAAAACAAAAGAAAAAGTCAAACGGGTTTGGAATGACAGGACAGGTTTATACCATGCTGGTAAGGGTGGAGAAAAACCCTCCCTGGTTTTCTTCTTCTTTGTCTTTATACTGCCTGTGGAAATCGGAGAGAATACGTGAAATCTTTCATATAAATGTTTCTTAAAAACAAAATAACAGATTTACTGTAAAAAAAAAAAAATAGTTGCTGCCTTAAATTGAGTACAATCAACTTGGATGTAACTTCAAAATTACTTTAAACTGACTTTTAAAAAAAAGAGTTGCATCTTGTATAACATAAAAAAGTTAACTTATTTTGATGCGTCAAAGCGATGTAAAAAAACACGTTGCCATAACTTATTGATAATATCATTTTTTCCAGTGATGTTACCTGTTGTAGTCCGTAAGTGCGTGGTGGATGACCATTCCCATGCCCTATGGAAAGATCGATCACATTAGACCTCTACAATACAAAGACTCAATAACTATCTTGTATTTAAAGAACCTCCCTAATCACTCACATCAAGGGTCGGCTCGTCATCCACTATTGACAGTTTGACAATGTACGGATTCACAGACTACATGTAACAGAGGAAACAATGAGTCTCAGAAATATTACAATCACTGCTTCAGATATTTAGTGCTAAAACACTTGTTTTTACACATAGTGAATTTGGAAAAAGTACTGTGCATTCACCTCATACTTCCTGTAGTTGACCAGTAGAGCTAAAAGCACCACTGCATCGTAGCCGTGCTGAGATCGACTGGAAACATCGGAGAGAATCTGGACCAAAAGAGGCGGATGAGATGGAAAACAGTGCACTATTAAAACCGCCAAACATAACGCAAGCAATCACAGATTTACCTGCAGAATGGCCTCAAATATACTGTTGATCATCACATACTCCAGTATGGTGTTCTGACTAATATTATCTGTGACCTAAAAGACAAAAAACACATTATAAGTAATGTTAGGGGAAGATACTTTTAAAAGTAAAGAGTTACAATATTGCGTTACTCCCGTAAATGTAACTAATTGCATGACTTAAGGCCTGTTCACACCGGGACGAATGTCGCGCGCGATATTCGCCGACGTTTAACGCCTCGTGACTAAACAAAGGGCGCCAATGTGAGTGTGCACACCGACGCGAAAAACGCCACGCGTACAAGCGTCATTTTAAAAAAAAACGCCTCGGGTTCGTTTTTAGTTTGAAGCGCCGCGTCAAAAACTATCCGACCAATGAGATTGGCGCTTTTGCTCACGTGTCTGGAGCTTCTGAAGTTACAGTAAAACACAACTTGGGGGCGCTCAAACACAAAACGGTCTTGCCGAACTGTTATGGAGTGGTATTGCAGAGCAAATGGGCGCCATCTAATGTCAGGGAATGAACTTGCATGTTCACTCGGCTCATCGTCAGCGAAAATCGCTTGGGTGTGAACACAAAAAACGCGTTGAAAAACGCTGGCGAATAACGCGTGCCGATATTCGTCCCGGTGTGTACGGCCCTTTAGACATTCTACTGACTAGAAGTAACTTTTCATGTCAACTTATTCTACTAACCCGAATCCTAACCTTAAGGCTCGTACACACCGGGACGAATATCGGCACGCGTTATTCGCCAGCGTTTTTCAACGCGATTTTTGTGTTCACACCCAAGCGATTTTCGCTGACGATGAGCCGAGTGAACATGCAAATTCATTCCCTGACATTAGATGGCGCCCATTTGCTCTGCAATACCACTCCATAACATTCTCTTTTATCAAGATTTAGATGTAGTCGCTGTCGCGTTTGTCATATAGTTCTTTATGTTTCGACACCAACGAGACCAGCAGCTCTACATTCATCTTGCCTCGCATCTTCCTCGTCTTATTTCTTCCCGGCAGTGTAGACGCTACTTGGCGTATATCTTCTTCGCCGTTACGTATGTGTGGTCGGCAAGACCGTTTTGTGTTTGAGCGCCCCCAAGTTGTGTTTTACTGTAACTTCAGAAGCTCCAGACACGTGAGCAAAAGCGCCAATCTCATTGGTCGGATGGTTTTTGACGCGCCGCGTCAAACTAAAAAAACGAACCCGAGGCGTTTAAAAAAAATGACGCTTGTACGCGTGGCGTTTTTCGCGTCGGTGTGCACACTCACATTGGCGCCCTTTGTTTAGTCACGAGGCGTTAAACGTCGGCGAATATCGCACGCGAAATTCGTCCCGGTGTGAACAGGCCTTAAGCCTACTAATGATCTAATGAGAGTTTAGTTGACATTGACACTGATTATAAAACCCCACAGTTTGTAGAAAGAAACAAAAATTGCATTTACAGTAATGCACTTACAGCTGAAAGCCTTTGGGGAAAGTATACCAGAGGGTTTCAAAGCAGAAGAAAAGGATATTATCACGCTAGTCTCATGTGAACAATGAACATATTTAATTTTTGCTATACTTTTAAGTATTTTAACACTTATTTTTGGTCCAATGCCTTTCCCCATTGACTTCCATTGTAAAGGTGTGCGTAGAACTGATTTCCTGAAAGTGAAAGAACGAAAGCGAGCAGGTTTTGTACAAGGAGAATGAATGTGTGGATCTTACAGTGACCAGACACAGCAGCAGCTTCAGACACAAGCTCTTCAGACTCTCTGACCCGTCACCGCACAGCAGACTGTCCAGGCTCTCCATTAGCTCCTGCGTGGACGATCACATCACAACTTAAACTAGCATTAAACTCAAAGCTGCAGGTCATGTGCAAGTGGGACCGATGGCTGACCTTCATCCTGAGCTCTGCTTTGTCAAAGCCCATCAGCATATTGATGATGTCGAAGCCTGTGGCCGATTTGTTCTTTTGGTGAACTCCTCTAAAGAGCGCACAGAGAGTCTAAAGACACAGAGAGAAAGAGGAGTCGTTCTCATTCAGAGCTTTAGGTTAAAAGCAGCCGTTACATTGTGTGTCGATGATGTGTTCAATGCAAGGTGTGTCTCCAAACACAAAAGCTGATCTCACAACTACAGGTTTATGTTTCCAACGGGATGTTTTTATGCAGGTCAAGTTTAAACCGAAAAATCAAAAGAAAAAAAATATATATTTTATGTAATATTTTTGAAAGAAGTCTCTTCTGCTCACCAAGGCTGTATTTATTTCATAAAAATACAGTAAAAACACTAAAATTGTGAAATGTTATAACAATTTAAAATAACTGTTATCTATGTGAATATAATGTAAAATGTAATTTATTCCTGTGATCAAATCTGCATTTTCAGCATCATTACTCCAGTCTTCAGTGTCACATGATCCTTCAGAAATCTGTCTAAATTAATGCATCCTTGATGAATAAAAGTATTACTTTCTTTCACGAAAACAGAAATCTTACTGAGCCCAAACATGTGACCGGTAGTGTTTTTTTAGCACCATTAATACTTTTATGATAATTAAGCACACTTTGCTCCATAATTATCTTTATCATAAATGCAAAATGATGTGTATAGATGTTTATCTTTCGAGTTTGTTTGTTCTCAATGGTGATCCTTAATTCTCAATTCTATAAATAAAAATCCTCCTATTGTGTCAAATCAGTACAACAAACACTACCATAATGTATAAATACCATTTAAATAATATATCATGATGATATATTGATATATCATTACGTTTGTAATGAGAATGGCATTTTTAAAATACATATATTGGAGGGAACAAATTTTTCAAGTGACATGAAAATAATATACAAAATATTTCAATGATTCCCAAAATACGCCTCATTTTCTTAATGCTATATATATATATATATGGGTGATGAATTATTGTGAGCAATGTTTTACCTGGAGTGCGTTGACTACTTTGATCTGGTGCTCTTCGCTCAGGGCTTGAACACAGTGATGGAACAAACTGTTGATGTTGTCTTTGACTTTCATGACTTCATCCCCATCCAGAGACTCCAACTTCCCTTCCAGATACTCCAGGTTCACCTGGTCAAAGCAAACACATACATCACCAACACCGTCCACTTATTCATAACACAGTGGACCACATCAATCTAGAGCGAAGGCATCTGTCTCAGATGTGTATCTGCCAGAGACCTTCATCAGAAAGAGCTCGTCCCAGAAGCGAGGGTTGTTCTTGGTAGGGTCTTCTTTCTGATGGGAAAGAGCGAAAACAGTGTTTACAGTCTACAATGTTACATCGGGTAAGAAATGAAAGCAGAGTTTGAAATTAGGATCATTTGTAATAATTTCACACTGTTTAAAGGATTTAAAAAGCAGATTTTTGTCTAAAACCTTGTAAGTACATACAAATGCAAGCACTGAAAATAAAAGTCTCTTTTTTTATAATTTATTTTTTATTGTATTATTTATTTCTATTTCTATTAATTACAGATTTTATTATACATTTATAAAAGGTTTTCTTAGAAAAAGTTATTGTATTTCATAGATTTAATCTATAAAATTATTTATTTGATAGATTTGTCCCTTTCATAGACACTCTTTTTAATATGATTCATTTCATTAATATTTCATTCATTCATCTTGTGTTAAGAAAATGATGAGGATAAATAATCATAGTATTTAAGATAATAATATAATTCTTGATTAATGGTAAGACTTTCATCTTCCTTTCATAAACAAACTTTTATTTTATTGATAATATTAAAAACAGCATTCTTACAAAACACACGGTGTTAAGAAAAATAAATAAATAAACTATCGTTTTATTGTACAGGATAAATTATATATTTTAGTTTAATATATTTTACGATTTTTTTAAAGATAATAATATAATTACTGATTCTTGTCATATAATTACAGACTCTTTTATTTTTTAATAATTATATATTATATTAAAAAACATAAAAACAGCTTTCTTAGAAACAGTTATTTATGCTATAGATTAAATTATAGATTTTTATGATACTTATAAATAATCATAGCATTTAAGATCATGATATAACTCTTGATTATTGACAAGACTTTCATCTTCCGTTCATAGATGGACTTTTTTGTTTTGATTTTAGTTTTTTAGATTTGATTAAAACATAATTTGGAAAATGAAAGCTTACCGCAAATATCTCCTCATACATGAGCACCACTTTCTCCTTCAGTGGCTTCTTGGATGAGGATGTTCTCCTCAGAAGTCCTGTTTTCTTCTCAGTCTGAGCCATACTTACAACTGCAACTACACACACATGCACATTAATATGGCAATCAAGCTGTCATAACAAATATCAAATATCAAAGACAACACAAATCAAATATCAAAGATAACACATATCTTCCCTTGAAGTGCTCTCCTTATTTAGAAACACGAGGCCGAGGCACAGAAATAACTCACTAGGTTTTGAAACTGATGCTGTCAGTTTGTTTACATGCATGTTTTGACAGTTTAGCTTTAGCATGTAGCTTCCAGGCATTATACAGAGTAAAATAACACGTTTGGCAGTTCAAATACTATCACTTGCAAACACTAAGAGGCATGCAATTATTCAAGATCAATATTATTAAATGATAATTCACTGTGTAGTCTCCATATGGGATAATCATGCTACGAATCAAAGCTAAACTGCTTGACTCCCTTATCCTGTGTTTATAACACATTAAATATAACTAACATTCCAGCGGTTAATTTTAACAGTCAGGTGGGGAATATATTAGTTTAAATAACTAAATTCAATAAAATGTTCATACCCGAGTAAATGAATTACTGTAGCTGTTCCATCACTCTTGAAGCTAATCAGTGATTTCGCTCGGCTGACTTCCGGTGGGAGCCGAAACCCCGCCCATGTGTGTACGTCACGTCCGGGGCTCGCTTACTGATATGATAAATACGTTGTAATTTATAATGTATACGTTAAAATTCAAATTACACGAGTCAATTGATTATTATTGTTAAAGATAAAGGTAATTATAGGTATCATGTAATCTGCTAGTCATGTAGGCTACAGCAGCTCTTTCAGTCGACAGCTCAGACAGACATCGACATCATGTAAGTGACAACGATGTTGTAACGTTTTAAAACATAAAGTACATTTTATGAAAATAAATAAATACCCAAACCAATAAAGCAAAGTCTTAGAAATGGGGGGGGGTGGGGGGATGATGAGGAAAAAACCCCAAATAATTTTATGAAACGACATCAACAATATTTTATGGATTTATAGAGATATTTAAAGGGATAGTTCACCCAAAAATGAAAATTATGTCATTAATTACTCTCCCTCATGTCGTTCCAACCCCGTCAAACCTTCGTTCATCTTCGCAACACAAATGAAGATATGTTTGATGAAATCTGAGAGCTTTCTGTCCCTCCATTGACAGTCTACGCAACTACCACTTTGACTCTTTAATAAGTTCATAAAGAGATCGTAAAACTAATCCATAATCGATTTAATTCAGCCCAAAATGTGCATCTTTAATACCATCATACTTCAGTATGCTAAAGGATTTGAAAAGCAGATTTTATTTCTAAAACCTTGGTAGTATGAAAAATAAAATGATGAAAATAAAATAAAAATGTCTCTTTTTGTTCCTTTTATTTAACTGCAATGTTTAAATAATTATATAGACAAATATATATACATACATCTTTCTTAGAAACAGCCTAGGCTATTTAATTTATAGATTAAATTCTACATTTAATTGAATAGATATTTATTAACCTATATTTAAGATCATAATATAATTCTTGATTATTGGTAAGATAAACAGACTATTTTTATTTTTTTATTAATTTTCGATTTTAATAAATAAAAAAAACAGCTTTCTTAGAAAAAAAAACTAAAGAAAATTTAAATCAACAGTTAGTTTATAGATTAAATCATATTAATGTAATAGTTTTTTATCATAGTATAATATAAATGATCATAATATAATTCTTAATTATTGGTATAGACTTTCCTCTTCATAAACAGACTACATTTTATATTAATTATAGACGTTCTTAGAGAAAACGGAATTGAATTAATAAACCAAAAGTTATTTTATTTTAATTATCAATTGATATATTTCCTTCACTTTAATGATGCAGATAAATGATCATAGCATTTAAGGTCATATCATAATCCTTCCTTATCAAGACTTTCCTCTCCCTTGTCCTCTTCCCTGCTACATGTATATCTGTAAATGCACTCCTGTAGGTCTGAGCGTTTAGCAGTAGGTGGAGCCACATTCACTACCATTATATTCCAACAAGAATCTAGCAGTGAGAAAAAAACATAATTTGAAGAGGCTTGTGAGAAAAACCTGCCTCTTATAAGAACATGATCGCAGGCACCTCGTGTGTGTGAGAGACTCCAGTGCTCCTCAACTTACAGTGGGATAAATCACACACGGTAAGCATCTCTTCTATCTTCACACACACACACACACACACACACTCAGGACTGCTGGGAAGATGGGGACAATCCTATTGCCTAAGGTATATTGTTTTTGCATTGCATTATAACCTCTATGACCTGACTTTTACATCATTTTGATTGATAACTATAGCAACAGTTTGCAATATAACTACAATTAACTGCAAGTTTTTAGTGTTTCACATTGAACAACTGCACTTTGTTTTATAAGGTGCACATAAGAATGAAGTATATTACACAAATACTTAGTACTTTTGAATGGGAATGAACTTCCACAGGTCTTCACGGAAACAAAAGAAAGCATGATTACACGAATAGGAGGTTTTCTTGAAGAGAAAACAACAATTTCAACTGGAGTTTGCTGGAGGGCTTTGTCAGATAAATATGGTGTCTAAGTACTAGTTGGTACATGCCTTCAGTTGCACTACTTTTGAAAGCGCTGTAATAGCCTTGTACTGTAGATTTACTGTTACTTGTGTTTTATTTGAACTGTTTCTTTCTGACACAGTCTGGGAGGTTCAGAACGAGCTTCAGAGATTCGCATCCTCGGGGAAAACCATTAAATTCAATATTACAAGAGTGAATTTGTCAAGAACATTTCCCACAGTGTTGAAATGAGATCTGATGCCTCGGTCTCGGATGTGCCGGATATGGTCGTTTGCACAAGGACAATGTGTTACTTTTAAAAAATGTGCCATGGCATAATTACTTTTATGAAGTGGGTGAACGGGCACACTGTTGTTCTGTGGAGGACTCTGCCAAGTTTCTGCAGGACCGAGCCAGCGTCAACAGCAGTTGTATTCAAACCAAACAATGTGACCTTTGCAACACGGATGAAATGTAATTGGGGTTTCAGATGCGTTTGAAGGCGCATGATGGTGATTTATGAAAATGTGATCATGTTTTTTCCCCCTGTGTTGCAGGTCACAATGCTCGGGATCTGCTTGTGTTTGAGTGTTGCCGTCCGCCTTGCGGTGTCTCAGGAAGCCGAAGCTCAGGAGCCTGTCACATACATGGCAAGTAGTCCAAAACACATAAAAGCTGCTTATGGCTATAGCTTATTGTTTCGTGTTTTGCTTAGTTTTCAGGGGCCGAGCAGCGAAGGTGTGTAGGCACTTATTGTATCTGTTAGTGTTATTAGAAAACACGCTCGTGGGAAAGTTGTGAAATTTGGCACACTGGTAGAGGACAGTCTGAACTGTCAACATGGCGAATTTGGCGTCTCTAACTCAATCCCTCTAGCGCCACCAGCTGTTCAAATATGTTAATGCTAATAACTTTTGAACCATTCTGGTAAGAAAGAAAAAACGTTCCCTCTGATTCCTTGGCACAAAATTATTCGATTCGATTTTCCGACATGAAAAACTTTCCATTTTGAATTTTTTTAACGAAAAACCTACTTTTCCGAACTCGTCCTACGCTACAAAAAAATGATCGGGATTTTAACGGTAAAAGCCTGTTAATTGATAACAGTAAGCTCCCTTACAATATACTGTACGGTAAATGAATGTAATAGTAAAATACTGTTAAATTTACAGTTTTTGGAAGTGAAAAAGAGCAAGTCATTGTATAATTTACAGTGAAACCCCATAAGTTGACATTCCCATAATTCCCTGTGTGACACTTCACATTTGATGTATTTTTTTTTGTTGAAATAACTGTATCTTCTTAGTTTTTTCGTATCAGTTATGTACATTAGGGTTTTATGTGACATCTAATGTTGTCAAATGAATGTTTATTGCATTACTTGAGTGTCATGTGTGTCATCATAATAGGGTTTAGCATTTCGAATTCGACAAAGAGCACGTCAAAATAAACGTGAGGCCATATCTCTGCAACGCTTTAGCGTATCGAGACGAGTCTTTGTACATGTATTCACAAGCATGACCAGAGGCTACATGCAGCGTTTTGGCACAGCACTAGGTCAGGAGATATTAAAAATGCCTATTTGTCTATATAACTTTTGAACGGTTTGCTCAAAAACGTATCTCTTTGGATTCAGTGCAGCATACCGAGTCGAATGATACCCAATTGATCCCATATTGACCATTTTGGGTGGCGGCCATTTTGAATTTTATTGCAAAATGCTTTATTTTATGAACACATTCGCTTATCATTACGAAACTCAGTGTGGGTCATCGGCACCATGCCCTGAAGGTACATTTTGGAACATCGCCACCTTCTGGTCAAAATGTATAATAAAAAATAAAAAAACGTTAATAGCTTTTTATTCATTTTAGCTTATTTTAATGAAACTGGACTTGATAGATTCTTTGAGTCATACCAAGAACAATGATAACAGTTATTCCATATTCGGTCGAACTTGAATTGGCCAAGTCCAAAAATGACCAAATCAAAATTTCATTCGAACAGTAAGGGGTGGTTTAAAACTTTTCTAATCCATTCGATAGTACATGTAAACACTAAATGCGCACATCAACCCGATCACTTTATTTAGTGTTTATGTAAACACTATGGGTCTCATTCATGAAACACGAGCAGAGCGAATTTTTGTGTAAATCTTGTGTAAAGTGGTTCTGGGGTAAATTTTCGGATTCATTAAAATGTTCGTATTTTCCCAATGTTAGTTGGTACGAAAGGAATCTACACCTGCTCCCAGCCACGCGTAAATAGTGAGTTTAACATCCAAACATTTTGCTCATTAATAACTAAGGCTGCATTTTAATTCACCTTAATCGGGTACATATTTACACAGCATTTTGAAAAAATATTATATATAGTAATTACATAAGGTTTTTCTTTTTACTTCTGGGACTGTTTGATTAATGAAACTCCATTAACTGCATCTGTAATATGCTGCCAAGCTTGCTTTTTCTAGGACCTGATACGCCACTATAGCTAAAATCCTCACTAAAATAAAATGTGGTGTTTTGAATGAACTTCTGATAATAAAACTTTGATTTCTGCATCTGAGAAATTTTTCTTTTTCATTCGCTTTTGAGAAGACACGTTGAAATCCTTCGTTTGGTGTCATAATATGGTGCCCATATATAGTTGTCAGTCGGATTTAATGGGCGGGATTTATGGTAATTGAGAATGAGCGTGCACGCGCGTCCCATTTACGACTGATTGGAATTCATTAACACACATTTCACTATCACATCTGACGTTTACGAAGTGTTTGTGAATCAGGAGATGAGTTTTCGGGAAGGTCTCTTTACGCGCAAATCACTCTCATATTTACTCGTATATTTACGAATGTTTCATGAATGAGACCCAATGTTGGGATTCATCAATTGGAATTTCAATTTAAACAAAAAATGTCCATTTAAACGTAGCTATTGTCACCTTAGCACCACCTACCGGTCAAAAGTGATAAGAAATTAAATAAAATGATTCCATTTCGCGAATAATCTACATTTTTTTACTCATTACTCATTGTTGCAGTTGATCTGATGCTCTCAGCCATGCGTGGATAATTCATCATGACTTTTTTTTTAATTGCTGCTTCCAGCCATATTTTTGTTTTGTGTTTTATGTGTATTTGTTTATTTTCAAAAATTTAGATCAGTGCTGGGTTGTGGCGGGAAGGGCATCTGGCATAAAACATGTGCCAAATCAGCTGTGCGGATTATTCCACTGACAAAAAAGGGAGCAAGAGAGACAGATAGATGATAGACAGATTAAATTATATATTCTTTATATAAATTTCATATCAGTAATCTGATTTTTATTTATTCTCAAAAATCAGATGGATGGATGGATGGATGGATGGATGGATGGATGGATGGATGGATGGATGGATGGATGGATGGATGGATGGATGGATGGATGGATGGATAGATAGATAGATAGATAGATAGATAGATAGATAGATAGATAGATAGATAGATAGATAGATAGATAGATAGATAGATAGATGTGTGTAAATAAATAGTCACAGGTGAATTTTTAATCAGCCGTCAGTTTTTGGTATCTTGCTAATAGTGGTAATTTGCTGCATTTTTATCATTTATTATGGACCCATATTTATTATCTCTTGCGTCTTACACATTTTTTTTTTCTTTTGCAGTGCACCGAAGGTTATGAATTTGACTTTGAAAAACAAATCTGTAAAGGTAACACAACTCTTTCCCCCTCAATCAGTTGTCTTACTAGTACGAGCATTAATGTTAAACCATAATATCTAATCACGTTAATCATGTGTCTTTCCACACATAGATATAGATGAATGCAAGACAGTGCAGGACGCCTGCAAAGGGGGCATGAAATGCGTCAACCATTTTGGTGGATATCTCTGCTTACCCCACAACGCTCAGATAATTGTCAGTAACGGCGAGGATGAGCCCACTACTGCCCCACCAGTGGAAAGAGGAGATGTTCAGCCCGGGATAGCCCCCAATTTCAGGGGCGATTACGCCAGAGTCATTCAAAGCGCAACACATACAATCCAGTGTGGTGTCGGTTTCATGCCAGACTCTCAGAACTACTGCAGAGGTGAGCAATAGCTGTGTGATTCTCTCCAGAATCTTCTACTTGGTTATTTGCAGTATTTGTTGTGGTTATGGAGTTTAAAGATCTCTGTGAATGGTGTGTGTGTAAAATAGTTTGTTGTTAAATTTTATAATGTTGTCCTGGTGTTCGTGCACCCAATTTTTTTAGGTCTGGACATTGCACTATAGCGGGCAAAACACGTATACACTTGCTCTTCATTGGTTTAATCAAGAACCTTTAACTTCATGGAACCTTCCCATTCCACAAAAGGTTCTTTATGTGGAAAAAGGTTCTTTTGATTATTAGAATGTTCTCCACGTGAAGACAAAAATGGTTCTTCTATGGCATTGCTGTGAAAACCTCTTTTGGAACTTGTATTTTTAAGTGTGTGTGCATTTGGAAAAAAGTAGGATTCCTTAAAGGTTCTCTAAGCGATGTCGGGTGACGTCACTTCTTGTTGACGTTTAAAGTATTGTTAAACAAAACGGAGGCTAGCTAGACCCTCCCTCCTCCTCATCCGCACACTAACCCCCCAAACCCCGCCCCCAAGTCCTTCTTGTCGGTGATTGGCTGGAACTGTTTGTCATGTTTCGTGGAGCGGGTTAGCCCAGTTTGTTTTTGTTGCTGTTTGTGGAGCCTGGGCTGTCTACAGAGATCGTGTTTCTTTACAGTGTGTTCAGGGGACAGGCAAAGTGAGGAAGAGTTTGCTGTATGTGACAAAAAAATGTTTTGGCCGAAAAAACGCGTGACATCGCTTAAGAGCACCTTTAAATTATATAAAATTCCCCCAAAAAATAATTCTGCCATACGAAGCAAAAATGTATTACAGTGGAACCCTGTGTCCAATTCTCACAAAATTTGGTACATAGCTTCTTGTGGACACCCTGCACATGTATACCAAATTTCACAATGAACGGATTCGAATTTTACTTTAAATTAAAAGTTAATTTCAAATGGCTGCTTAAATTTGATTGGCTGCTGTTTATTCCTGTTGATTTGTTCGAAACCATGTACTTCCATTACTATATAGAACGGGAGAGGAGTTGTGAATGGCAGGGAAGTGACACAGCTGGCAGCATACGTCACATGAAAGTGGCAACATGGTGCAGATGGAAAAATTGAGGCTGGTTATGAAAATTGCATCACACAACGTTCGCAAGAAGGAGTTAAAAGTGTATAAATGAGATATACTTTGCGTTTACCTCATGCAAAATATATATTTGTCTATTAGATGATACACTCCAAATTTTGTGGCATAGGATGTGTTTGAAAAAATAGGTTTTAGTTTTTAAAATTGAGAGAAAAAGTATTCTGTCCCACACAGTTCCAAAGTTATTAGCGAAATGTAAAGTAGCTTATTAGCCTATTACTAATACGTTTGCAGCACTTGAAATATTTTGGATATAAATGTTGTAAAATATTAATTTAGTCAGTATACATGGCTAATTTAATGACGAAATATGATCTTCATGGGCAGAATATGTAGTTACAACACCTACCAGCAGGGCTAACCAGACCATGCTAACAAGCCAAACACTGACCCCTTGGGAAGTCATTGTGTCACTCTTTGGGATGTTGTTGTATCTGTTCAGAGGATGCAGTGCCAGAAATCTGCTTCCTCTGGGTCTGTCTTCTTCTATCTGGTGGATAAAACAATTTTTGTGTGTGTGTGCTAATGATGTTTTTCTTTCCCAACTTGATAGATGGCTCAGTCGTGTTACAGCATGCAGAATCCCTGTGCTAGAAGCAAACAATTTAGGTTGCATAAACCATTCAAGATGAGACTGAAAGACATGAATTGCAAAGACATGCCAACTAACATTTCATCCCAAAAGAGTAATACATTTGTTTCCCAATCTTAAATCATTTTATTAGATATATGAACAGTCATTTGCACGGATTCCATTTGCTGTATTTCTTGATAGCTAATCCCACTCCTGTTGAGGAGTTCAGGAGAAATCAGCATCTGGTCAGAGTTGGCTTATACTGGTTAGCATTGGTTTGGTTTTTGGTTTTGCTGGTGGATCATACTGTTTAAGAGCAAAACATTGCTGGTGCAGCTTTTATACCAGTTTCAAGATAAGTTTATATTTAAATGACATGTGGCGACATCAAAAAGTCATAATATATTTTCTGGTGGCCATTGGGTCTGTGAAAGCGCTATATAAATGCAGTCCATTTACCATTTTCCTTATACCTTGAATTCATTTGAGCGTACACATCGTAATCATTATTTTCACACAAGATTTTAGTAAGCAGTAGTGATAACTGCATCAACCTGGTACCTTTAAACACGACTTTGTCCCCAAGACTAGTGCACCAACCATTGTATTAGAACTGGTTCTTTCTGTAATCAAACAGCTGACAGGTTATGTGGTGTTGTTTGAGGAAGTATGGGTCAGGACATGCATCTCTCAGCCCATTAAAATGAGTCAACAATTAGCTCGGGCCTCTTCCCGCAAAGAGAGTCGGCCTTCCTTCGATGTTTACATATTTTCGGCCAGGCTCTTTCAGAAGTGCCTTGGCAGTGATTCCTGGAATCTGACACCAGTTTGTTGGAATTAAATCTCATCATGTGGGTGATCACAGACTCCAGGTGTGCCTCTCTCAGAAAGGTGGGCGAGAAAACTGCAAGCTTGTCTGAACTCTCGCCTGCGAGGTCTAGCACCTCATTTTTTCCAGCGTGCATCGGCCAGTTTGGCTATCAGCAGTGCTGAACCCCCTGAAAGGGCCCAAACGCTGGTCAGCAAAAGCTTTGGAAACAGTCGACGAGAGGCCCCCCGGGAGGCTTCGGATCTGTGCGTTGACATTATTCTCACATTAATGCCTCAAATAGATCACTGGGAAGAATCTGCCTGAATGTCCTTTCGCTTGGATAAGGAGGTTTTGCACTCACATGTGTTGCACATCCAATAGCCTGTATATGAATCACAGAAAACCGGGCTATTCTTGGGCCTTTGTATATAGTTACTTGACCAAACCTGGCAGATAAGCGTAGACCACCCATGATGGCCCCCACACTGTGAAAGGACACTTTCTGCGCTCCAGAACTAAGCTGGAAATCTCGCCAGACATACCAAAGAATGATTAGCATTGCAGAAAAGATGTGTGTTTTGGATTATGCTACCTGTTGTTTTAAATAAGTGGTGTTATTAGTGTTATACTTGAGGAACTGAATTAAATGGCCAGTGAATTGCATTAACAGGCCAGCAGTTGTTTTGTTTATTAATCATGCACTTGCATTTTTGATTTGATCATTTGTCATTAATGTTCAATTGCGTTCCACCTTTTTTTACTTTTACAGATGTGAATGAATGTCTCACTTCAAACCCCTGCCAACATCAGTGCTACAATCTGATTGGCTCTTACCTCTGCCAATGTGAAGTCGGATACGAACTGGCTTCAGACTCCGTCTCCTGCCAAGGTTATTTTTTAAAGTATTTTTTACACTTTTTAAACCTATGAAAGAAAGTATAGCTTTTTAATTTTTGTTTTAATTGCATGCTAGTTTGTTTGAATATTCCTGGATATTCGAACAAGTAACAAAGACAACAATTTTGACTCTTCCCTAAGTGTATGCAAACAAAAGAGTAAAGTATTCACAGTAATATGCTTACAAACGTCCGACTGACATTCGATTCATTTAGTCGAGGTGAATCTCAGTTTCTTAGCATGAGGGAGTTGCTAACATCGACAATAACCTGCTGTAGCCAATCAGATCAACACATTCACAATCAAACACTATTTCAATGCCAATAACATTGCACAATGTATTTTCCCCCATGTATATTATATCACATCTTAATGATTTTAATGACCATTGGACAATTGAGTATTATGTGATTATACGTTTATAATTCATAATGAAATATAGGTATTACGATATCAAACACAACACAAACTTCAGTGTAGGTTTGCTGTGATTACTTCTACTAACTTGCATATTGCTAGCTTGCATATAGGATACATTAGCTTAAGAGGGTAACCTGTTAGCATGTTATCCTTATGATATTGCATATTTGTGGGTGTATAATGTCATGTGTGAAATAGCCATTTACATGAGATTAAGTTATGACAGCCTATTTAAAATTGTCTTATGTATTGTTTATATAACCATCTACTTGGCACTGAAATATAATATATAAACACATTGATGGAAAAATATGAAACCATGTGCACTGCAGTTTTATCATCCCCTGCCTTAAATGCTTAAGCTCCTTAAAGTCGTCATGAAACGGAAGTTGAGATTGTCCTTTTTTTCCTTATTGTGACGTGTATCCGAGTGAAACGGCTTCTGAAATTAGAAAAAAATGTAGGGCGGGGCTTGATTTCGTCTTTCGGGAATTGATTGGATCGTTGGAGGTTGGGCGTTGCTAACAAAATGGAGGCAGATTTGAATGCCAGTTTATAGTCAGTTGTGGAGGATTTCTCCACCGTTACCCATGATGAATTTTTAATTGAGGAACCCAACGATGAGAACGAGGACGAGCAGCCAAATTTTCCGGAAGGAATCACCCCATATTTATATGAGCCTCCCGCGAACCAAGATGAGGCAGCTGATAGTCAAGTTCACCAGTTCACCCTCGAGACCATCCCATTTTAAATCGTACCAAATTCTTAAAACATTCTTCAGTGAAATGCCTTGCACACAGACGCGAATTCGCCGTTATTCCTCCTTCTTCGAAATGCAGGAATTCGAGCCAGCGGGCACGCAGACAAGGTTGTTTAGGGATAGGAAAGAGGACGTGAGGAGCGCAACCAAAAATGCACCTAAACCCCATATTTGCTGGCTGTCAGTGACACTGACCGGTTTCTGAGAGGCGGGCCAGAAACGAGACAGACCCCGATAGCCACGCCCTCTAGTAATAGTTTTTGACCGGAAGAGAAGTCGTTTCGAGGGGGGAGGGAAGGGTAACTTATTTGATTAAAGATTATAAGGGTACATGAATTTTTAAAAAATAATGAAGTGCACAGATAAATCATTTATAATAAACACTACAATATTACATATAAAAATACGAATGGTAAAATTTGATTTCATGACGACTTTAAAGTTGTGTGGATTCTGATTGGCTGTCAATGATTTTATTCCTCATCAGCTGAAGAAAAACAATTCTTCTTAAAGTGATTTCACTTTATAGTTATAGTTATCATTATAGTTATCATCCCTGGTGAGAATGGGCCTTAAAGTTAAAAATGATAAAACTATCCATATATTATTTCAAATCAAGACAAAAAAGTATGTAGACACTTTCTGGTTGTCATATGTTAGTGTAGTGTTGTAAAAACTAAATGTAATTTTTATCGAGATGTGGTCCAGAGACATTCAGTTGAAAACATCCAGGAATGTTACGCTGTAATTAGCAATATATTCCTGTTTTCCAGACATCGATGAGTGTGAATTCTCAAACTACATGTGCCAGTTCCAATGTGTGAATCAACCTGGAGGATACAGTTGTGTGTGTCCTGATGGATACCAGCTCCAAGGGACGCGGATGTGCCAAGGTATATTCCAGTTTGTTTAGTTCAGGGCTCCTAAAGTGGCTTCTGAAGTTGCTCATTGACCTTTTCCACCCTGTTAATAGATATAAATGAGTGTGAAGCATCACACAACTGCAGAGAAGATGAAATGTGTTGGAATTACTACGGAGGATTCCGTTGCTATCCCAGAAACCCCTGCCGTGAGCCATACGTGAAAACAGGCGAAGGGTGTGTCAAAAGTCCTAATAAAATCATGCTGTGTTGAAATAATAATAAAAAAATTTAACCATTTAACTCTCTACCAACAGTCGCTGTCGGTGCCAGTCGCCAAATGTTTGCCGGGGACTGCCGCCTGTCATTGTCTACAAGTACATGAGCATCTTTTCCGATCGCTCCGTGCCTGCGGATATCTTCCAGATTCAAGCTACCAGTGTCTACCCCAATATGGTAAACACTTTCACGATCAAATCCGGCAATGAGGGAGGAGAGTTCTACCTGAGGGTAAGACGTGACAATTTTTTCAGTGGAAGATTTTTAAACAGGATTTTTAAACCAATCCTAAATCAGTGATCCTTTCATACATAAAAATATGTATTTTTAGATAGTTTCCTATTTAAATTCATGGAATGTCTCTGCCAAAACAGGTCTTAAGTCAACCCTGTTACATTTGACTTTTTTTGAGGTTGAACATACATGGTTGAAGATCAGTGAAAAATGTCTAATAATGGCATTTTTTTCTGTAAAAGACTCTCACTATTATTTTGCATAACAGAGTTGAACAATTGAGCTTGACAATATAACTGTAAACATAAACAAAACTTGTAGAGACTGTAAGAGATACTTACCAGTTTGAACCAAAACTCATGACATTCGTTTTCCAAAACAGGTTTAGCACCAAACTTGTAAAAAAAAAAAAAGTTTTTGGTTTGAATGTTACAGGGTTGAAGACCAGTGCAAAAAGGTCTATTAATGGCCTTTTTCCTGTAAAAGACTAATCATTATTATTTTACATAACAGAGTTGAACAATAGAGCTTGAAAATATTACTGTAAACAAAACAAAAGCGTATAAAGACTGTAAGAGATACTTCCCTCTGTTTGAACCCATGACATTTCCAAAACAGGTTCAGCGCCAACCCTGCTACATTTAAAATGCTTTCAGGTTGATTGTTACAGGGTTGAAGATCAGTGCAAAAAGGTCTGATAATGGCTAACAATGCACAACATTTACAGTCAGTATTCTTGCTCTTTTTGCTGAGAATTTTTTTTCTGTAAAAAAAAAAAAAAAAAGATCACTGTTATTTTTCCATAACAGAGTTGAACAATTGGGATTGACAATATAACTATAAACAATATTTAAACAAAAAAAAAAACAATGATGAAGACTGTTAGAGATACTTACCTCAATTTGATCCCATGACATTTCACTTCCAAACCCAGTTTAGCGCCAACCCTGTTACATTTCAAATGTTTTGGGGTTGAATGTTACAGGATTGAAGATCAGTGCAGAAAGGTCCAATAACGATCTATTCTAGCCAGAGCCGGCCCGAGCCTTTTGGGGGCCCTAAGCAGAATTTGATTTGGGGGCCCCTCCCACTACGCGGAGTCACATGTGCTTGACGATTATTGACACAAATATCACGCAATAATGATACATTATAAATTAATACAGTGAGGTTATGTATTAATACAAAATAAATAGGCCTACTTAATAAAAAATAGATAGCCTATACTTAAATAAAAAAGTTTTAACTTTTACTTTACTCTTTTACTAACTCTTTGAAACTTCTTAAAACAAACTGTCTCAAAACATATCAAATAATTTATTTGCTAAAATAATGACAAAACTGAGAAATCAACATAATAAGAGCAAGGGTTCAACAATGACAATTATTGTTGAAAACTGTAAAAATATTATTATTTCTCAACTGTCTCAATACATTGTAAGTTTTTTTAAATTATTATTGTAACAGACTTGGTTGGATTGTACATGACAGAATCCAACAAAGTCTGTTACTATAATACCGGTAATGATGTAGGCTACTGGCACTCGTTGTATGTGCGTATGCAATGTATTTTTCCCCTCGGGGCTTGCCGTAGATAGGAATGGTCTGCACAAAACCTCTGCACAAAACATACCGTAAATAATCAAGCAAATATAGTTTTATCTTGCTCTTTTTTTCTCCTCCTCTGGCCTTTTCTTCTTTCTATTTTCGGCACCAGATGGATACGTCCTTTTTTGTTACATGGCTTAACATTACCGTGACTATACGCAGTTGCGCACGAATTGTCTATGCACGCGCGAGGTGTGTAGATTATGCGCATGACTTAAACGCTGGCAGACACAGCAGCAGTTGTAGGCAGGTATATTGATCTTGTAAACAGAATTATCTTGTCTCGAATTAATCATTCATTCATTCATTCATTTTTGTCACTTGTTTAAGTCATCTAAAAAAATTTTTTCCGGTTTTTCGACTTGATTGGGGGGCCCCCAAGCAGCCGCTTAGTTCGCTTATGCCTCGGGCCGGCCCTGATTCTAGCACTGCAAAACTTCAGATTATTTAGTCAGTATTCTTGTGCTTTTTGCCAAGAATCGTTTTTTCTGTAAAAACCGATCACTGTTATTTTCCCATAACAGGGTCGAACAATAATTGGGGTTGATGACATTACATAAAAAAAATTGATGGAGACTGTAAGAGATACTTAGCCTGGTTAAAACCAGACCATTCTCAGTTGTAACTGAGTTATGGTCTGGCAAAGCGTCATAGACAAATCATTTCCAGAGGGCGTCACCAACGGACGTCGCGGATAGACCTAAACCCAATCAGAGCGATGAAGGAGATGACGTATGCAGAGCGGCGGAGACACATCTCCGAGTGTTGTTCTTTGCTCGGTTTTTAACTAAAAGGAAACGTGAAATCGCTTAAAACAGACGCGATAGCTGATTGGAACGAGTGATGTTCGACGGCGGCATCCATCTTTGTAATGTAGGCTACAAAATCTGCTTCCAAATCCCAGCGCTGTCGTCATCGTGTAAAGCCCGCCCCAACGTTTCTGATTGGTGCCTCGATTTCGACGGATTGGAAATGAGCTTGAATGAGCTCTTTGCCAGACTAACTTTCAGAGCAAATCTAAATTTGCCAGAAGTTGTCTGGGTTTTCCCAGGCTAAGAGATACTTACCTCACTTTAAATGTTGTGTGGTTGAATGTTACAGGGTTGAAGATCAGTGCAAAATCTAGCACTCCACAACATCAGATTACTTATAGTCAGCATTTTTTGTCAAGAACAATATAAACCCCCCCCAGTTATATTCAAAATAAAATGGGTCACTTTGACTAATAACATTTGCTTGTGGTGTAGTCTCTCTAGTGATTGTCTTTCTCTTTGTCTTTCAGCGCTCCAGTAATGTAAGTGCCATGTTGGTAATGACCAAACCGTTGACTGGACCTCGAGAACATGTTGTGGATCTGGAGATGGTCACCCAGAGTAATGCCTTGAGCTACCGCTCCAGCTCACTGCTGAGACTCACTATTATAGTGGGTCCATACCCTTTCTAAATCATCTAGTTTGACTGAATCAGCACCTTGGGTTTATGTTTGTACTGCAGCTTACTATGTTTAAAATGTTCAACACAGCATGGTCACCTGGCCTTGATCAGTGGTTCTTATCTGGTTGGTTGCAACCCAAAAATGGATCATAGATGGAAACCAATTCTAAATCAATTAATAGATTCATTAATATTGGAATGTTTATCTTTATATGATAAATCTTTTGTATAATACATTTCATGGTACTGTATTGAGTCACCAATCACTCCGATGTAAAACGTGGACCCCCGAAGCAAAACCAGCTGAGAACCACTGGCCTAGATAGTTGCATATTTACTGGGTTTCAAACAGGAATTGGTTTACTAATCATAAAAAGTAGGCTGTCTGGTTTATTGAAGGTTTTAAGTAATTTGTACTTTGAAAAATGAAAGACAAGGTCTGAGAGGGTGACATGTAAGACCAAGAAATATCTGAAAAACAACACAGCTGGATAGCAGATAAAAACACGGTTGCTCAAGTTTCATTCTGAAAAGCACTTCTAGGTTATTCTTTGTCTTGATAGTAAGAGGATTTTCTCGAGATTCTGCATGTCAGTCTTTTAAAGGAATAGTTCACCCAAAAATGAAAAGTGTAGCATCATTTATTTAGGCCTACTACTCACTCTTTGACTTTCTTTCTTCTATAGAGCATATAAGGTGAAGTTTAGCAGAATGTCCCATGTGCTTGTTTCCATACAATAAACGTCAATGGGGACAGAAGCTGGAGCTCCGAAAAAAGACAAAACACACCATAAAAGCTCCAAAAGACCAAAATGTAGGTTATACACTGAAATGGTTCCCTCCACCACAGCTCTCAAATCTTTCACACGTCTCCATATTCAAATCGGTGTCACAATTCGTTACGACAAATGCAGCATCCACCAACCATAACCTTTTTATTTTAACTTCAGTTCTGCATTTTTCGAGCGTAGTGTGTCATGTGTAAAAGACACAAGACGTGAGCTCAATGGCCAAAGACATCAATGTAGGTAGGTACAATGGAAAAGTAACATAGAGGAATACACAAACACATTCCCTGTGAATGGACCCCTTACTGACACAAAACTATCATATGGCTTCAAAACACAGGCGCCAATTTATGTTTCTACCGGTGGGTGTCCACGCTCCATAACCCCAAGTGCAAAATCAAATACATTAACAACCATATATAAACACATCTCTATTCACCTCTGCTTCCATGAGCAAATGAGAACTGGGCTAAGCAAGGTGACACACACATACGCAACAAATGACCCTTAAAAAAGTAACATGCTCGTTGCTTAATACTGCTTAATGTTAGTTTTTCAAGAATAGGCCGCTTGATGAATTCATTACACAAAAGTTATTTGTGTCTCACGAAGAGAAACACACAGACTGCAAATACATTAAACCAACCAAACAAAATTACATAATCTTTCCATGAGTGTCGTCACGGGTCGCTCTCTTGCTGATATACCTGATGATTTTGGAGTTAATTACTTAAAATGCTATTTATTATCATGGAAAAAACAGAAAGCACAAGCTTTTGTGACAGGTTGTTATGCAGTAATGTTGTAGAATGGTGTGTATTATGACCTGTCGGGACCCGATGTGAGATCCACCAATCAGAGAGGTTCCCGAATCTCAATCGATTTGGTGATTGGTTACGATGGAGGAGGAATATCTTGTGTTTTCCCGTGGGTGCTCGAGCCCCCAAGCTAAAGACTTATATAGTGCACAAGTCTTATGTTCTTGTTATTGTGCTTTTTTTGGGGGGGGGTCATTTCCGTCCCCATTCGCTGTTACTGTATGGAAAACAGCAGCATGGACATTCTACTAAACTTCTCCTTTTGTGTTCCTCAGAAGAAAGTAAAGCATACGAGTTTGGAACGACATAAAGATGAGTAAACGATGGCAGAGTTTCCATTTTTTAATAAACCGACCTTTTAATCTATCAATAAATCAAAGCTTTACGTTTCTTGTACATGGAATACGTCAAATCAGAATGTAATTATCAAAAAGTGCTTATAGATTCCTTCCTAGATTTGACTTTAGCAGGGAAAAAAAGTGTTTTATAGGTGGAACATGTGGACAAAGGCAAACAGAACTGCATATAGTTAGGTGGAACAGTTTGTTTCGTAATCTAATTGGATCCTTAGCTAATGGAAATCTCTGAATGTGTCCTCCGCCTTGCAAATACTGCAGAAATGACCTCCTATCCTATGAGAATAAGGCAATAATGTTTTGGAAACAGAAGTGATGTTTTCAGGAAATTGCTGGCAAGGGTTTAGGGTCGCATAAGCAATGGAACTGTTGCCTAACATGTCTGTACGGCTGCCAGAGCAGCGTTTGATCTTCTGCAGTGTTTCGTGTCGATGGTCTGTGACAAACACTGTTACTTAAGCCGTTGCGTCACACCCAGCACCCCCAGAGACGTGGTCGTGGGTGAGGCCGGAATGGGTCGCGCACCACCACGGTGTATGAAACTATTTTGGCAAACAATCTTTATGTTGGCTCCATAGTGATCTGACTAAGCATTGTAATATAATATGGATGCCGAAAAATCTGTTTTCTTATGATCAAACATGCATTATTTCGATTCACGCATGGTGAATGCTCCCTGTTTTTTCTCTTATTGAGATCATTTTTGCTTTTATCTAAATCGGTGTGGACCTGTTGTTTCTGCTCAGTGAGGACAACAAAGGTCTTTGTAATTGTTTAACAAACTAAAATGAATTGGATTTGCACCTATCGTTTATGTTTCTGTATTTTCAGTATTTTCTCAAGTTGCACTTTTTTTTTTTAACTCATTCTTAGCCTTTGTGCCATTTATTTGGCAGCAAAGTTTTTGGAAATAAAAAATAATTCAGTAACAATTGTGTCATTTTTTATACGCTTATTCATTCATTTGCTTCATGTAAAAAAAAAAAAAATCTATATATCGGTATAAAAACAAACGTACCACCAGAAAAGAAAATGCTCATGTTGAAAAATCTTTTGCTAGTATTGCATAACATGCATGGGTCAGTTTGGTATATTACTGGAACAGTTTAAGAGGACCACCAAGATTCATCTGCAGTTATTACCTCCTGCGGTTGCAGATGGGAATATAACTATGTGATGTTGTCATGACAATAGTTGAGCAGTTCCTGTAGGAATATTTACACACTGTAAGCCAACTCATTTACAGAAAGCAGGCAAGTCATACATGAACTGCATGTCTTTGCTTAGATCTCAATGTATAAAAAAGAAAAAGTGGGCTATGAACTAAGTGTTGAGTGTATACAAAAAAAATCTGTGGAGAATTATAAGAAAATTAGAAAAACATTAAAGTAGAATATAGTGTCATTTTCTAGCTTATTATGGCTAACTTATTGTTATTGAATAATGTGGATATATTATTAGGTATTCATCTTTCTGGTGGTTTTAAGTGAGAAACATGAGGTTTGGTGGGTTAAAAATTGTACAAAACGTGCCCTGTTCTTTGCTTAAGGCTATACTACTTTCCTAATATTGTAATATTGGTGTAAAATGTTTGTATTTAGAGGACCCCAATGCAAAACCTTTAAAATATTGCTTGTAAAGGGTGATATTTCGAAAGATTTTCTCAAGTTAAACTTGTTTGCAAGTGCAACCAGCTGAAGATAGCATGTCTATCATAAAAGCAATTACACTGTAATTGTAAGAGCAAAAAGGTGCTTGTTCAAGGTCTAAAATGGAAGACTGATAAATGTGTAAAAAAAATATTGGTAAGCAAATTAAATGCGTGAGACGCTAAAAGCCTGAGTTTAGTGTAACTTTAAACCAATAGTTAATGTAACAGCTTCATCTGCTGGTTATACGGAGTATCGCATCATTTACACATATCTCACAGAGCTGACATCTGACAGGTCAGTCTCACAAGGCAGTTTTTGTTTTAAAAGACAGTAATTTTGATTTACCTTATCACACATTTCCCGCCAGAAATGTCGGTAATATTAATATCCAGGTCTAAGGTCCAAGCATAGCCAGTTCGCTGTGTATGACGTAAGCCATTTCAGTCGGCCAAATCAGATTTGAACCAATCACAAAGTCGGAGCGGTTTGCGTAGCCAATCGCAGCGCAGCACTGTGACTCACCATACATGGACAGCCATCACCATATAAGGAAACATCGACTCGCTTTATATGGAGGAAAGTAGATCTTTGGGTGAACGTCCTCGTGAGTTAAATTCCCTAAATAAGCGCGGAATCATCCATTACATTCTCCCAAAAAAACATTAAAAGCTATATACAACCAAGATATCGCAATTTACGTGTTCGACGTGAAATATCAAGCGTGATATCGACGTTGCTGTTGGTAACTAGTTCTGTTCGCGGAGGTACATTGTGTGGTCGCGATTCGTCGTTTCCAAATGTGGCGTAAGTTCAGTTGAGGTTTGATTGATGGACTGTAGGCGGAAACTATACGTTGTAAACTTTGTACGATGGTCGTAAAGGGCTAGTTTTGAAAGGTTTATTTTTGTAGTTTACAAGACGACTTTGATACAGAAATTAAATTAAGGATAGCTCGCGCTTAGTCCGAGTTGTATGCTTATTTGAGCTAATGTTTCCTAGCCTAGCATATGCAGGGTAAGTTCGGTATCAAGTGAAGAGATCTGCTGGGTTTGATCTGCTAACTCTTATTAACACCTACCGCAGACTGCAGTGGTGCTGCTAGCGGGTCGGGGTTTCGGAGATGTTGGGGGGAAACGGGAAGGCCAGGGGGGCTGGACGCTCAGGTAACGGCACAGGCTTGACCCATCTACAGGTGGGCAGCACATCTGGGGCTTTAGGGGCGGTGAACTCCTCCATAAACCTGCCCGATGGGGGCAGATACGACGACAGGGCGTCGGTCGAGGCAGTGCTGAGCGGCTCTGATGGAGACTCGGACTCCGGGGATGATGAAGAGAGTCCCGTGCTGGACAGGAGAGGAGTGAAGCGGGAGAGGAGCGAGATGGAGGTCGGGGGATCCTCGGGAGCTATCGCTGCACTGTCGGCGGGGTATGGAGGAGTTTCCAGCGGGGTGGCGGGTGCAAAACCCGGCAAGAAAACGCGAGGACGGGTTAAAATTAAGATGGAGTTTATTGACAACAAGCTGAGGAGATACACGACCTTCAGCAAGAGAAAGACTGGCATTATGAAGAAGGTACGTTCAACCAGAACATGTACGACACCAACACTAGTGCTAAACCACTATGCTAATACTGGTAACGTTACTACAACTACGACTGGTGCTGTAACGTTACTAATATACTGATACAAGTATTAAACACTACTAGTATTAATATTACTATACTGATTCTGATACTGTAGGAATACTAGTATTAATTGCATTACATTACTGTAGATAAACTAGTATTAATGTCATTACTGATTCTAATACTGTAGAAATAGCCTGCTAATACTAGCCTATATCACTACTAGTGCTATATCAACTTATAATAGCACAGTACTGATACTAGTACCATTATACTATTTAATTGTATCAATGTGCTGATACTAATTCTGTATCAATACTTGTACTACTATGCTATATGCAATTTACTGACACTAGCATTGTACCATGCTATTATCAGCATCCACTATATTAATGTTATGATGACTTCTGCTAAACTATTACTCATACTAATACTGGAACCGCTATTATTGTTTATTTATTTGCCATTTATTGATACTAGGAAAGTTTCCATATTGATACTATCTCTATATCACTCACACTAGGTTTGTGCCATTGATAGTGTCTTTTTAACTAATTGGTGGAGCTATTGAACCATACCAGTACCATACCATTATTAGTGCTGTAACAAGTGAATTCAATTTGCTATTGCTAGTACTCTACCAATTCTAGTACCACCACTCATACTAGTATTATACTTTTACTAGCTTTGTATCGATATACTGATTGTGTTATACTGATAACTCATACTATACTGTTACTAGTACAATTATACCATTACTTGTGGCATAAAACTATAAGTAAACTAGTAGTGTACTTGTACTTCACGAATACTAGGCCTAGTACCATACCACTGCGTTCATAGTATACTATACCATTGGTGTTAGACTATACTGTAACACGTACTATACCAATACGACTTAACATGCTAGTACTACTACTTTACTTATCGTTATCGTAGTGCTATAACACCATGCACTCGTTATATATAACTGTTAGGACTTTACCATTATTGGTGCTATATGATTTTACAGATAGATGTTATTACTAGCACTATATAAATGTACTGATTGTGCTGTACTAATTGCATTACTAACTATACTGATACTCAAGCTATGCTGATAGTAGAACCATTATACCTTTACTAATCCTATACCACTATATTTGTGTTAGTACTGTACTCATACTACAGTAGTCAACATTTGAAGTGGATCAAAACAAAGTTATACATGAATTTTGAACAATACTCGACTCGTTCTTGTCTCAACTTTGATTAACTTTTTTGATCCACTTCAAATGTTGACTACTATCGTACTTTACGGCTAGTAGTGCCAAACCACTATACTTACACCAGTGCTGTACTTACACTAGTACCGACTACCGAGTGCCATACTGCTGTGTTGATGTAGTTCACTAACACCGGTGTTGAACTATACTGTTACAAGTACTATGCCAATACTAGTTAACATGCTAGTACTATATTTATACCCTTCTACTTTACAAGCACTAGTTCTATAGCTACTAGTTTACCACTGTTTATACCACGCCACTATATCACACTATCATACATCCCTCCTCTGTTACTTTCTGATGTCTTCCGTGTCTCAGTTGAAGGTAGTTTCCTCATCTGTTCTGACTCGTTTGTCATTGCCCCCTCAATTGTCATTCATTCCTGTCTCAGCAGAAATAGGCCAGATGACTGATCAGGTTACCACTGCGGTAGACTTTGTTAATGCATTTGCATATCTCGAGAACCGGCCTAGTTGCAGAAGTCGGGCACGGAGTGTGTAATGACAACCTGCAGTAGCTTCTCTAGTAACTGGCTTATTAGTTGCAGGTAATCCCTCCTTATCAGTTCTTTTATCTCTTTTCCTTGGGCTGCTGTCATCCCTTCACCTCTCATCCTTCTTTTCATTGTTTCTTACCTCATTACAACCACAAGAATCACAAATACAGCTGCATTGCGTCACACAAGCGCAGTTGAATTAATTTGGCGCATACACTTCACAACATTTGTGATGTTTATCATCACTGTTGTCCACTCAATCAGAGTTGAGGTTAAAAAACACGAGTTTACCAGTGCTTATAAAAGTTAGTGTCCACTCTTTAGAATAAATGATCTTATTGTTATCTTACTTTCTTCTCAATTTCCAGGCTTACGAACTGTCCACCTTAACGGGGACGCAAGTTCTGCTCTTGGTTGCCAGTGAGACAGGCCACGTCTACACATTTGCCACGCGGAAACTTCAGCCCATGATCACCAGTGAGACGGGTAAAGCCCTCATCCAGACCTGCCTGAACTCCCCTGACTCTCCACCCCGTACGGACCCTTCAACAGACCAGCGGATGAGTGCCACGGGATTCGAGGAGACGGATCTCACCTACCAGGTCTCAGAGGCCGATGGTCTCACAGAGCCAAAGGTACAGCTTTACTACTACGTATTTTCAATCTACTAGTCAGTGAGTTGTTTAATCGACTAGGTGGTCAAAAGTAAGTTCTGTAAAATTACACTTGTTTAGAATTGTTGTTCATAAGACACAGTCTAGAAATTTTTTTAAGCGGTGTTCACTTAAGGCTCGTACACACCGGGACGAATATCGGCGCGCGTTATTCGCTAGCGTTTTTCAACGCGTTTTTTGTGTTCACACCCAAGCGATTTTCGCTGACGATGAGCCGAGTGAACATGCAAATTCATTCCCTGACATTAGATGGCGCCCATTTGCTCTGCAATACCACTCCATAACAGTTCTCTTTTATCAAGATTTAGATGTAGTCTCTGTCGCGTTTGTCATATAGTTCATGTTCCGACACCAACGAGACCAGCAGCTCTACATTCATCTTGCCTTGCATCTTCCTCGTCTTATTTCTTCCCGGCAGTGTAGACGCTACTTGGCGTATATCTTCTTCGCGTTACGTATGTGTGCTCGGCAAGACCGTTTTGTGTTTGAGCGCCCCCAAGTTGTGTTTTACTGTAACTTCAGAAGCTCCAGACACGTGAGCAAAAGCGCCAATCTCATTGGTCGGATAGTTTTTGACGCGGCGCGTCAAACTAAAAATACGAACCCGAGGCGTTTAAAAAAAATGACGCTTTTACGCGTGGCGTTTTTCGCGTCGGTGTGCACACTCACATTGGCGCCCTTTGTTTAGTCACGAGGCGTTAAACGTCGGCGAATATCACGCGCGAAATTCGTCCCGGTGTGAACAGGCCTTTAGGATGCATTTTTCTGTTCACGATGGCAAGAATAGGACTGTCGCGATAACCGCAATATTGTAGTACCGCGCTACTGACAAGCCAACCGCGGAGGAATGCAAGCCAACCGCGGAGGAATGCAAGCCAACCGCAGCAACCGCGATATTCACTTGTTTGTTTTTCCATAAGGCTATACTTCTTGTTTTGAACTTCATGCATGTGTATTGAATGTTAAACAAGTTAAAGGGATACTCCACCGTTTTTTCACATTAAACTATGTTATTCCCTTAACTAAGACGAGTTGATGCATACCTCTCTCGTCTCAGTGCGTGCACTCAATCGGTCTGACGCGCGGTGACACTTTGATAGCACAGTTCATTCAATATGGGCCAAGCAGAGAAGCGACCAAACACCTCCACGTTTTCCCTATTTAAATACAGTTACACGAGTAGTGTAACTCGACCTAGGACGGTGACACAAAATAAAACGTTGCGCTTTTCCAAGCCTGTAAAGTGGATAACTATATTGTATGGCAGAATACCATAGCAAGTGCTTGGGAGCACTTCGTATCATCCTTTTAACGTTTACGGGTATTTACCATAAATGGCATCAGCGACAGACAGCGCTGGTCAGGATTCCACAGCGCGAGGAAGCCGCGGAAAAAAATCTGCAAATCACGCATTGAATCAATGCCATTGGTCTCTATTAAGTGAAGCATCAGCTTCAGTGTTACACACGAGACGCATTGCTGCTCTGCTGAGCCTTGAAAAGAGGAGCTCAAAGTTAAAAATAATTAACACCTTTCATTACATCTCTTTTAATGAATCAGCGTTTTTGAACGTGTTCTTTGAAGGAACGGTTTAATGACTCACTCAAAGACAGTCCGTTGCCGTAATAATGTGCGCGCTGAGTGACAGCCTTTCAATGCGCATATAGACGCTGTTTAGTTTCGGTTACATTGGTTACTGAAAATGTCCTCGTTTTTGTCCATGCTACCCACATCGTAAACGTTATTTATATAGCAACAAATCAATATAAATAAAATAAATAAATGGCGATAATACCGATAAGCCACTCAACATTACCTCAAGGGAAATTCTGTAGGCAAGAATGGATCGAGCACAATGGATCTTGAATACGTAGTAGTTGGTAGAAACGTGGAAGTTGGTAGTAAAAAGTTAACTTGTTCATTTGATCTTAAGAATGATCAGGACACGCTACGCAACAAATTGCGCAGACCAGACATTTCCGTTTGTTCACTTAAGCTGGATGGAGCACAACAGTCTCAACATTTGTTTTGAAAGTTGGTAGAAAACTTGATTCGGGATGCGTGGCGCAACAGATTTACGTCCAATTTGAAGTAAAAAAAAAAACTAAAACATTGAAGAAAATCTAAAACATTCTAGTTGACCTCATTAATCTAGTTTAGTCTAGATTGGTCTCAGACTAGTTGGTTGATGGATTAGTTCAATAGCATGGTCCATCATTTGAGTTTCACTTTTAGTGGAAACCTTTTCCCATTCCTGTGTTTCTTGACCTTTGTAGGTCTCAGTTTTCCAGACTACAATAGCTCGTTTTAACGTTGAAAGAAATCAGACATGCACGACTTTCACCCAAAACCCCTTTTCCACTATCAGTATTTATCATGCAGTTTTGCCCACATTTAAGAACATTTGCGTCACGTCACGTCTTTGCATGGCAGCGTCTATTATTCACAATGTCCAACTCTCATTGATAAGGATTAGATGCTGTCTACATGTCCTTATATAGTCTGGTTTTCCCAGTACACTTTCTTGGCTCATGGCTGATCACATTCCATATAAGCTGCAGCTGTTTTCAAATTTGGATGACATATCCCCCCCTTTTCTCTACTGATTTAGGGCAAGTAGTGAGTGAGCACGCAGAATTAGAAAACCAAACCTCTGTTTAAAATATTGCTTAAAGCAGATCCTCAACTTGTTGAGCTGATGACAAGCTCATCAGATGGTCCATGTTTTGAAAAGTCATCATGGGAATGGGATCCTCCTTACACTTAAAATCTCAATGTTTTTAGCAGATAATTTGAGGGGTTTTTGCTCACAAACACGCACAGGATCATTTTCTTTGTCAGGGTTTTTTTGGTTTAGTTGTCTCAAAAAAACTTGGTTTTATTTTTCCAGTTTGTTGATTTATTTTACTGCCTTATCTCCTGAGCCAGAGCACAAAGGAACAAAATGTAACTTGCGCAATAAAACAGTGCAAATAGATTTAATAAAGTTCAAATAGCCTAGTTTTCAGTGCAAAATGAACAGTTTCAAGTCAGCATGTTAGGCTATCATCACTCAGCAGCTCAAGCCCGGTTCTGACTGATAATGTCCCAGTAGTAGAACATGTAGATGATGCTTGTAAACAGAGATGCCTTGTTGCCAAATCCGAAAGCATTGGCAGAGTACCCCTCATGTCCCCCCACCAGGGTACTGGACTCACTGGTCCACACTACTGCGTTTTCATTTAAAAACGGAGACCTTTTGCTACGTTTGCACCTCCCGTCCACACTAAAACGGCAAAAACGGAGAAGTTTAGAAACGCTGCCGATCCGTTTTTCGTTTTGAATCTCCGGAGGGCGTTTTAGTGTAGACGGGTCCAAACGGAGGACTTTAGAAACGATGACGTAGTAGAGGCTCACGCTCGGCTCTGTGATCGGGTGTCATCAGTCATGGCGTATATCTTTGCTAGCAGCTGTTGTACAAGTAAATTCTGCATTTTACAACGCTATAACTGCCTACATGCGCTGGAGTCAAGCTATTATTCGAGCGATCTGTGACCATTCCCGTGTGCAGCGGCGACGTTGACCGTACATGGAGCGTCGGTTTGGGGTTAACCCAGAGCATGGTGGGATCATTTTATCAATGAAGTTGTGTTTACACCGGCACGCGCATGCCCAGTGTTGATGAATGGTCACGTGATCCGCGTTTTCAGTCGTTTTAATGTGGACTGAGATCAATTCTAATACGCAGCTAAAACGCTGGTGTGGACGGAGATCGTATTCGTTTTAATTATCCGTTTCTAAACTAAAACGCAGTAGTGTGGATGGGGCCTGAGGACGGCGTAGATGGAGGTAATCTGAAAGCCTGAACCTTCCCTGTAGAGCTGCTGATAGTGGCCTGTGTTCTTACTTCAATTGCCATGCGCTGTATTTTTCTATTGCTTCAAAATTTGCTGCATTATCTGCTGTAACCGCAACGACTCTGTCCTTTATATTGAATCTCCTCTACTTTCTCTTTCATGGAGGCCTCTCTCACATTGTGGACTAGGTAGAGGTCCAGCCATCAGCAGTCACAGCCACATCCCTCACATCTTGTAACTCTTTCTTGGCGTTTTCTTTCTCTACTGCATGTCATGCAGATATGAGGGTATTTGAGTGCATGTCTCAGCTGGGGGACTGATATCTGGGGTTTAAGGCCCTTATCTCCCTATAGTTGACATCATCAGAACACAACACATAAAAATAGCCTTGTTTTATCATTGTTGCTTACTATAAAAGGTCAAAAACATTATCTATACTAACTTAAGAGACTGCCTAGACACCTGGCCTACAACCTTAACAGTAAAGTTACAACGACACCACTAACAGCTTACACACCTCCACCATGGAGCCTCCACTGTAGGAGGAGGCAGCAAACCTGTGGCACTCATCTGGCCTTTCCTCCATCATTTTTCCTTATTTTTTTACCAGTGTAAACGGATTGACACTCGATGGTCTCCTCATGGCAGGATCGACAGGGGCAGAGGCTATAACATTAATGTGAAGAGGGAAAAAAACAAAACAATAAACCGTTAATGCAGCTAACCTTAAGAGTAAGCACGCTTTAACACAATAACTACTTTAATGTGTGAATTAAACTTGATCAGTTACGGTCAAACTTTAAAGCATTTTTAGCTTCGATTTAGCTAGCTATCAATAGCTGTAAGACTGGAAAAAACTGGTTGAAGAGATAGACCTGACCACTGCTCTATCAGACGAAGGACCTTGGCAAATTAACATTTGAACTCACACACACACACATCCCCGCATCCCCCACTCCTGCGGAGATCACCCAAACTCACATAAGAATCTATATGGTTTTAATTTGAACAACTATCATATAGTTTTATACATGTGTTTAGTATTATTTGAAATGTTTACAAGTGCGACTGGTACAAGTGTCCTATTTCCAAATAAGTAAAACAAAAGGTAATAAGGTTTTTAGATAGCATACAATAGCCATACATCCAAACAATATCTAACATTACTAACGTTACAAATTTCCTACTTCCCAAGTCAAGATTATGAGCTTATCGCATTCAGATTTTGACTTGAGAGAGCGTTCATATCCAACTTTTCTATTAGCAAACTAGTATTTTGCGATAATTCCAATAGCACGTGAAGGCAGCATAAGTCACCGCGCACAGAAACGTTAACTTAACTAGTACACAAGCATGAACTACTACCACTACAAGTGAGCCCCATCATCAGTAGTTTGAGGAGGACTGGTGTGGTGGTGGGCATGTTGAAGGCTGAGAGGACGCCTGCACCGTCTCGCTCTTCTTGCAGCTTTATGCTCTTAAGTTGATTCCATGCACTGTCAAGTGCTTCGTCAGATTTGCCGTGTTGCTTGTCTTGTAATTATTTTGCCGTAAATATTGCATTGCGCGCTGTTTACATCGAGCCTGGCGAAATGTAGCCACACTTTTGATCTTTTCCACATCTTTTCCATCTGTGGGTGTTGGGACGCTTGCACACTACAGCCTCACGCGAGCCACGTCTCTGGGCGAAACTAATGTTTTTAGTGCTTATTGGCTGATGTTGACGAGTTAACCCCTTAGGTATCGAAATTTGGTACCGAACGACAACACATTTTTTGATACTCGATAGTATCGAGGCAATTCGGTTGGTGGATATCGAACTCTATACCCTCTATACCTTACCGAACGTGCTGATGTCGTGTGATGTCAGGTAGGACATCGTATCATTACATTCAGATCGAATTATGCACCATGTATTCCAACGTATATAGCGTTGTTAAAGTCCCCTGTAGTCAATCATTTTATCCTTTAAAACTCATCTTTGATCACCAAAATGACATAGTTAAAGTTTTTTACTTTAAAAAAAATGATCTTCATTCCTTAAAATAGCTTGAATGTAACTACACCCTTGCCTCATTTATTATACGTGGATATGCAAATTAGCCCCGCCTCCACTCACACCAGACGATCACACGTTGATCTGATTGGTTACTAGGTAGTGTGTGACGTCAGAAACACCAGCGATTTCAACCCGCATTTTTAAGACTGGCTTTTTTTCACTGCAGTTTTAAAGAGAAAATACTCAGCAATGCTGTCGACTTGTGAATTTACACATGGTTTGTCTTAAAGCATAATAAAAACACCACATAGACGTATAATCAACGTTAAAAGCTGGATTTTTACCTCAGGGGGACTTTCACGACTTCAATATTAAAAGAAAAAGCTTCTCAATATTATTCCTTTACCAATTTGATTCTATTTTAATGTTTACCAATGCTTACTTCATATTCATTTTTGCTGTTGTATCAAGATTCGTAAAACGTTCATGGTTTATTGATTGTCTAAATCCAGATCAGATCTGCTGTAGTCTCTCAGTCAAGCTCAGTTTGGCTGTTTGTTGTATGTTCTTGCACCCTTCTTTTGATGGCGAGGAGAAAATGCTTTTCCGCTCGCAGGCTGCCGGATCCGTCGACCCCGTTTGGTGGGTTTAGTTGAGCGCCGCCTGAAATAGCAGCGCGCTCTCTCTCGCTGTGTGGACACCTGTTTTCCTGTGAAGGCAGCTGCCGTTCTCGGGATAGCCATGACACAATTGCCTTTATCACACACAGTTGTTGCCACAGGCTCTGCTGCGATCAATCACTCCTGGTCCACCACAGGAAAACTGTGACATGAAGTTAATGTTAAATGATTATGTCGTCTTTCTTCTGTGGACCACAAAGATTATCTTTTTTTTTTGTGTGTGTGAAAGTTTTAGATGTTTTTTCATTCATATTATGAAAGTGATCCCAGACTTCTCATTCATTTAGTTATGAATAATCCTATATTTTGGTTTGTGTCCATCGAGTTTCAAATAAATGCGTTCCACATAATACAAAAAGATGAAGTACCTTTCATTTGTGAAGTGTTATTTTGACAAATGGGCATTATTACATTATGTAATGTATAAATGTTTCTGCTTTTTTGTCACTAAACAGTTTGCATAAATACTCAAACATAATTATCCATGAGCAAAGACTTCACTCATAGAATGCTGTTAACATTATATAATATATTTTTGAATATTATGAGTATATTTATTATATAATGCTTCATGTATAATTAAGTAAAATGCATTCAAATAGGTTAGTTTGATTAATACTTTTTCCAAATTTATCCACTATTTATCTGTTATGCATTAATGATTTTAAATGTGTATATATTTTTACATATTATACAGTACATATACACAGATTACACACACAAAAATGCCACCTGTCAAGTTAACTTAAAGTATTCAACGTATTAAACATTAAAAGTTTATCAGTGAAGTTATCTAATGCCCTTTAGCACTAGTATCAGTCTTATTTTTATAAACAAATAAATGCCGATATCAGCATATCTATGTTGCATTGTGACAAAAATAAAAATATAATATTGATCGTCCCTCTAGATTTGAGCTCCTTAAAGTCTTTTAATTTCTGCCTTTGTTGTTGCAGGAAATGATGAAGACCACGTTCACTTCTGCCACTTTACCTGGAGGCACCAACAGCACGACCACACTGTCCTCGGCGTCCTCCTCTCCTTCCTCCTCCTCGGTGGCCATGCACACACACACACACACTCACAGCAGCATGTCCTCGCTGTCCGGCACCACCTGTTGGCCCATGAGCGCTCAGAGCGTCTCCAGTGCGAACGGCACCGTGCTCAAAAGCTCTCCGGCTGGCGTGATGCAGCTGCCCGGAGGATTCACACTCATGCCAGGTGCGGGCCTGCGTTCAGGCGTTCCTTTGTTGCATGACTGTTTCTTTCTTCCTTTTACAGATTAGTCCAGATTAACTCTTATTTGACTTTCCAGACGGGTTGCATGATGCACTGCATCAGCCTGCATGACATTGTCGTGTTTTAATGCACATGAACGTATTGGCTTGCTTGCATGCCTGCACTCTTTGAATTCTGCTTCCAACTGATTCCGTCTGTGTAAAGGCCTATTCACATCAGGAGCGATGCAACAACCAATCAAAGCATAGAGAAACTCGCAATATATTTAGACAATTTACATGAAATTAACGTTTATCCAGATGTATTTATTCAAAAATCATTCAAATTCAAATCAGGAAGTTTCTATGTTTTTAAAGTTATTTTGATGTGTGTGTGTGTGTGTGTGTTTATGCATGCTTTTATTAATAAAAATAAAAAAATCAGTTTTAGATAGATGATAAATTTCAGTAAAACTAAAAAAAAAAAAAGAAAGGACAATTATTTTTCTTGGACAGTATTGCTATTTAAAAAAAAAATGTTTGTCTGCCAAATCAGTCATGTGGTGCAAACAGCTTGAAAAAAGTGTGTCATGGACAATTAAACCCTTACAATATCAGATAATTAGACCTTTTTATGTCAAGGCAAGGGAAGTTCAGGTGTAAAAATGTTATGTGGTGCGACTCCTCTAAACCTAATGATATTTAAGTATCATAAGACAAACTCTGAAGTTAACTTGAGAAAGCCTGACCAGAAAGTTTGAAGGCTTAATGTTCGATGGTTTTGAAGGCAATGCAGTGTCATAATATATTTAAAAAGAATACTTTGAAAGCTATATTTTAAAACTCTTTTTAAAGTAATAATCAGTAGGTGTACACTCACATCCAGTGAAAGTGCAAGGGAAATGTTACTTTTGCTTGATGGTTACACCACATTACATTTTTTTTATTAAAACAATAATAAAACCATATGAAACCAACATGAATATAAATATTACATTTTAAACTAAGAATTTAAAGCATGATCGTAGACATTCTTGTTTGTCATTGACCCACATATCAAACAGTTCCATCAAAGACTAAGATCATGCACCGTATTCAAGATATGAATTTTGAGATCTTTCCTTGCCTCATGACTCGCTAGTTTGAGAGCATCGATATGTTTATTGTAATATGCTTATTTTAATATCCCTGAGATGATAAATCCAGTACTGTGAGTCTGTTCAAACTGATTCCCCGCACCAGATGTTTTTCTCCAATTAGGCCTGTCACGATAATTACATTTGGCTGACCATTAATTGTCTAAAAAATAATTGTGGTTATGCCGATTTATTGCCAGTTTTTGGCCTTTGACGATTAATTGTCTGTTTTAGGGCTTTGTCATACTTTTTTTTTTTTTTTGTGTGTGTGCTTCATTCTTTAAATAATTATGATTAATTTAATCCTTAGCAAGTTATCATTTTGCAGCGTTAATTACACCTTTAAATATTAAAGAAATGTATTCAATTGGAGACTCCAATTGCTTCGTTTTGTATGTGAAATCTTGTCTCCCCAAAAACCCATGCTTGGTGTGACTAGGCCTTGAACATGCGAGTTCTGCGTGGCTTGCTGAGGGTGTCGCTGTGTGTCCCGCAGGCGCTTCTCTCCCGCCTGGCACACACACTATTCCTCTCAGCCAGCTGCAGACACACTCTCTGGCCATACAGTGTCCACAGACGCAAAACAGCCACGCCATGACTAGCACCAGCACCACCTCCTCCTCCGCTGTCCCCGCACACACACAACCCGCTGCTCAGGCCACGCTCTTCCGTCTGCCGGCCACTGTCTCGCTTACAGGTCAGTGTGTGCGTGTGTGCGTGTGTGCGTGTGTGTGTGTGTGTGTGTGTGTGTGTGTGTGTGTGTGTGTGTGTGTGTGTGTGTGCGGCCGTCTGGAGGGAAACTCGACTCACTGTGGGGGCTGGAAATGTGTGTTTGGGGATCATTCAGGATTTGCATGCTACATCTTTCCTAAAAATTTTTTTTATATATACTGATGGCATTTCAAGTAACAAAACTAATGCAAAAAATAAGGGATTCTTCAAAACATTACCGGTATATTAAATGTAACAAGTTTGACGTATGTGACATTTGTTTTATTTAATTTTACTCACAAATAGTACATCACCAATAATGGTTCATATATATATTATTCATGTAATTGTGCAATAAACCATTAAAATACTGCATTTTAAAGCAACATGTAATCAACATGTGAGACTGTGTGTCAGTGTTATTTTAGTATTATTTATTTAGTTTGAGGTTTTTGCGCTTGTATTTTTTAATTTATTTTTTAAATATTTCTATTTAGCTTTATATTTAAGAGTTACATATAGGTTATATTATAACTTGTTAGTTTATAAGTTTTAGTTTGAATGATTTTAGTACTTCAGCTTAACTTATTTTATTTCAGTTTGTTTGGTGAGGCACTATTTCTACATTTATTTATATATATATATATATATATATATATATATATATATATATATATATAATATTATTATTATTTATTAATTATTTTTTAGGTTACTTTTTCATGTAATATTTGCTTCTTTTTTTAAGTTGAGCTTTTATAAACTATTTTAAATAGTTTCAGTCGTCGGGTGTTCATTGATGTATATAATTATGCCTGGTGTTAAAAGTGCACTGTGGGTGTTTTCTGCTGTTGTGTGTCAGGTGGTGCGATGCCTCAACAGCTACAGGCCATCCAGCTTCACCCCAGTCCTCAAAGCAGTGACAGCAGTCCCGAGATCAGCCAGACCTCCAGCAGCTCCGCCGGTACACACTCCTCCCCGACTCCATCACTGCAGCCCTTCAAATCCTTCAAAGTTTCTGAATCTGAAAAAGAAAAAGAAAAAATCAAGTTTGGGAAACAGTTTTTGAAACTAAACATGCATAGATACAGGTCCTTAAAAGTGCTTGAGTTTAAAACTTGTGCTTTTGTGCGAAAAACTTTCTGGAAAAAATTCCATATTATTCCCTCAAGTCGGCTAATGTGTTATTTCACCAACACTTTGTGTCTTATGTTTACTAGCTTGCTCGATTTACGTTAGTTACGCGCATTTACGCGCTACGTTAAGTGTTTCCCGCATGAGGTACTTTGTGTTGTACGTTGTCATGACGTTCACGCGTGCACAAAACCACTACGATATCAGATATCAGATCATTCTAGAATACAGAATAGGGTGTACCGAATATTCTTCAGTTTTATGCAAAACAGAAATACGACAAATAGAATATCAATATGGCCAAAAATCAATGCAATTTATCTTGCAAGGTAACACGATGTAACCTTGCGCTCACTTGAAATGTGTCCCCACATTAAGGCCGTGTGTCCACCAAAGCGTTTTTTTTCACGCGGCTGGCGTATTTTTTCAATTGTTTTTAATGGGAGCGCCGCAATTATAAAACGCCATGAGCGTAGCGAGGCGCTGAGCGCTTTTTTTCTCTCTCGCTGAAGCGCTGTTCGCTCGGCGTTTTTACTGGTTGCCGAGAGTTGAAGAATGTTGAACTTTGGGTAAAACGCAGCGCTCATCACTGTCACTTTTTACCCAGCCGTCCAATCACAGTGGAGGAGGGGCGGGGCTAATGCCACACCGACCAACTGTCACAACATTCTTTCTGTACAACGACATCCACCAGCAGAGCTAACCGAACAACATGGATGAAAAATACATTTTTAGTATGAAACACATTATCTGTGAAATCAGTTACAAGTAAACTGTGCTGCGGATATTCTGTATCATAGCAACGAAACGTCTCAACTGAAAAAAATGGATAATAACGCTTTGGTGGACACACGGCCTTAGTCCTTGAATTTGAGGGTATTGGACCTGGAAAGTCAACCAAAGTTAACCAATGTGTGGGAACCCTGTTACTGTCAATCAGTCAAACATCTGTGTCTCTTCTGCACTCCCACAGTAAGTCACACTGCTACTATAGTCACATCCTCAGTGCCTTCTTCAGTGGCGGGTCACATGATGTACCCTGGAGCGCACGTCATGTATGCTACATCCACCTCTGGCCTGGCCGACGGGGGTCTCACTGTGCTCAACACCTTCCCACAGTCGCACGCCGCGATGCACGTGTCCCACACACAGGCCCAAGACTCAGGTCAGTCGGTGTATTAATGCCTCGGTGGAGTTGGCATAGTGAAAAGATAGTCTTTGATATCAATATGGAACGTATTTCTGTTGTTAAAAAGTGTTTTGTTGTGTTTGTTGGTCGTGTTTAGGTGCAGTTCCTCAGATGTTCCTCACAGGACCTCCAGGAACTGTACAGATCCCAGTTTCAGCTGTTCCGCTTCATTCGGTAATATATTAAAACAGTGAGCATTTCTTTACATGAAACTTTTGTTCACTATGTAATTTTACTTGTACAGCTTTCTCTGTAAATGTAACTGCATTGTATCTAAAAGGTTATTGCGTTTTGTATGTCAAAGAAGCTTTTGATACATTCTAGCTAATAGAAAAAAAAGATTTGTTTTTTTGAATCACATAATATTGTAGTTTTTTTTCTTGCATTGTTTATACTTCACAATATTAAGCCTTTATTCAGTGTTAAAAAATACTTTCCAAAAGTAAAGGCATAATGTTATGCCAATAATGTTACGCTTTTATTCTTGTATCACAATGCCTTTATTCTCATAATGTAACATTTTTATATTTTCGTAACATTATGCCTTTATTCTCATAATGTAACATTTTTATATTTTCGTAACATTATGCCTTTATTCTCATAATGTAACATTTTTATATTTTCGTAACATTATGCCTTTATTCTCGTAACATTATGCCTTTATTCTCGTAACATTATGCCTTTTATTCTCGTAACATTATGCCTTTATTATCGTAACATTATGCCTTTATTCTCGTAACATTATGCCTTTATTCTCGTAACATTATGCCTTTTCTCGTAACATTATGCCTTTTATTCTCGTAACATTATGCCTTTTTCTCGTAACATTATGCCTTTATTCTCGTAACATTATGCCTTTATTCTCGTAACATGTCTTTATTCTCGTAACATTATGCCTTTATTCTCGTAACATTATGCCTTTATTCTCGTAACATTATGCCTTTATTCTCGTAACATTATGCCTTTATTCTCGTAACATTATGCCTTTATTCTCGTAACATTATGCCTTTATTCTCGTAACATTATGCCTTTATTCTCGTAACATTATGCCTTTATTCTCGTAACATTATGCCTTTATTCTCGTAACATTATGCCTTTATTCTCGTAACATTATGCCTTTATTCTCGTAACATTATGCCTTTATTCTCGTAACATTATGCCTTTATTCTCGTAACATTATGCCTTTATTCTCGTAACATTATGCCTTTATTCTCGTAACATTATGCCTTTTATTCTCGTAACATTATGCCTTTTCTCGTAACATTATGCCTTTATTCTCGTAACATTATGCCTTTATTCTCGTAACATTATGCCTTTATTCTCGTAACATTATGCCTTTATTCTCGTAACATTATGCCTTTATTCTCGTAACATTATGCCTTTTATTCTCGTAACATTATGCCTTTTCTCGTAACATTATGCCTTTATTCTCGTAACATTATGCCTTTTATTCTCGTAACATTATGCCTTTTATTCTCGTAACATTATGCCTTTTCTCGTAACATTATGCCTTTTATTCTCGTAACATTATGCCTTTTCTCGTAACATTATGCCTTTTCTCGTAACATTATGCCTTTTCTCGTAACATTATGCCTTTATTCTCGTAACATTATGCCTTTATTCTCGTAACATTATGCCTTTATTATCGTAACATTATGCCTTTATTCTCGTAACATTATGCCTTTATTCTCGTAACATTATGCCTTTTCTCGTAACATTATGCCTTTTATTCTCGTAACATTATGCCTTTATTCTCGTAACATTATGCCTTTTCTCGTAACATTATGCCTTTTATTCTCGTAACATTATGCCTTTTCTCGTAACATTATGCCTTTATTCTCGTAACATTATGCCTTTTATTCTCGTAACATTATGCCTTTTATTCTCGTAACATTATGCCTTTATTCTCGTAACATTATGCCTTTTCTCGTAACATTATGCCTTTTATTCTCGTAACATTATGCCTTTTCTCGTAACATTATGCCTTTATTCTCGTAACATTATGCCTTTTATTCTCGTAACATTATGCCTTTTATTCTCGTAACATTATGCCTTTTCTCGTAACATTATGCCTTTTATTCTCGTAACATTATGCCTTTTCTCGTAACATTATGCCTTTTCTCGTAACATTATGCCTTTTCTCGTAACATTATGCCTTTATTCTCGTAACATTATGCCTTTATTCTCGTAACATTATGCCTTTATTCTCGTAACATTATGCCTTTATTCTCGTAACATTATGCCTTTTATTCTCGTAACATTATGCCTTTATTATCGTAACATTATGCCTTTATTCTCGTAACATTATGCCTTTATTCTCGTAACATTATGCCTTTTCTCGTAACATTATGCCTTTTATTCTCGTAACATTATGCCTTTTTCTCGTAACATTATGCCTTTATTCTCGTAACATTATGCCTTTATTCTCGTAACATGTCTTTATTCTCGTAACATTATGCCTTTATTCTCGTAACATTATGCCTTTATTCTCGTAACATTATGCCTTTATTCTCGTAACATTATGCCTTTATTCTCGTAACATTATGCCTTTATTCTCGTAACATTATGCCTTTATTCTCGTAACATTATGCCTTTATTCTCGTAACATTATGCCTTTATTCTCGTAACATTATGCCTTTATTCTCGTAACATTATGCCTTTATTCTCGTAACATTATGCCTTTATTCTCGTAACATTATGCCTTTATTCTCGTAACATTATGCCTTTATTCTCGTAACATTATGCCTTTATTCTCGTAACATTATGCCTTTTATTCTCGTAACGTTATGCCTTTATTCTCGTAACATTATGCCTTTTATTCTCGTAACATTATGCCTTTTCTCGTAACATTATGCCTTTATTCTCGTAACATTATGCCTTTTATTCTCGTAACATTATGCCTTTTATTCTCGTAACATTATGCCTTTTCTCGTAACATTATGCCTTTTATTCTCGTAACATTATGCCTTTTCTCGTAACATTATGCCTTTTCTCGTAACATTATGCCTTTTCTCGTAACATTATGCCTTTTCTCGTAACATTATGCCTTTATTCTCGTAACATTATGCCTTTATTCTCGTAACATTATGCCTTTTATTCTCGTAACGTTATGCCTTTTCTCGTAACATTATGCCTTTATTCTCGTAACATTATGCCTTTATTCTCGTAACATTATGCCTTTATTCTCGTAACATTATGCCTTTTATTCTCGTAACGTTATGCCTTTATTCTCGTAACATTATGCCTTTTATTCTCGTAACATTATGCCTTTTCTCGTAACATTATGCCTTTATTCTCGTAACATTATGCCTTTTATTCTCGTAACATTATGCCTTTTCTCGTAACATTATGCCTTTTATTCTCGTAACATTATGCCTTTTCTCGTAACATTATGCCTTTTCTCGTAACATTATGCCTTTTCTCGTAACATTATGCCTTTATTCTCGTAACATTATGCCTTTTCTCGTAACATTATGCCTTTTCTCGTAACATTATGCCTTTTCTCGTAACATTATGCCTTTTCTCGTAACATTATGCCTTTTCTCGTAACATTATGCCTTTTCTCGTAACATTATGCCTTTATTCTCGTAACATTATGCCTTTATTCTCGTAACATTATGCCTTTATTCTCGTAATGTTACAATATTGTTCTGAAAACACCTTTTATTCTTGTAAAAAAAAAAGCCTTTATTTTCAAAACATTGCACCTTTATTCTTGTAATATTTTGGCATCCTCAAAACACACCATGAACCATTATTTTCAGAACAATTTTTTTCTCGTAACATTGTAACTTTTTAATTTGACACTGAAACACAGTTGTAGATAATAGTATGACTGACAGCCAGGAAGTGTTATGCAGTTTTTAACTTCTGAAGGTGCAATCACTCGGCTCTTCTCACAGTGTTGTTTGTGTTGTTGCAGATGTTGATAAACCAGCAGCCCACTGGTAGCAGCGGCGCCACGCTCACGGAGCTGCGGGTGGTCAATATGGACAATCCCAAAGGAGACTGAGCTATGAGACACGAGGCCAGTGTGACCGCTCACTCACACTGATATTCCAGGGATCACTCATGCCATGCAATCAGACTGCCATTGTATTTATTACTGCCTTGCTGCGAGGGGTTCACACACACCCATACACACAGGAATACTGAGGTGTAACGGGACGTTTGAAGGATGATTGCGTCTCCTCATGGACTCATGTTGGTAGGTAGTGAGATACTAGATCATTTTTGGGTTCACATTTATACACAGACACGCAACTTAACTTCAGGATTTCATAGAGACGTCTGCACTATCACTGCTGGGTGACTTCTTGCCGAAAGACTCTGATGTTGGACAGTGGGATACGATTATGTTCACTTTCAGTAAAACTTCAAACCTGTTCGCGGTACCGCAGTTGAAGTATCTTCAGTTGAATCTTTCTTTCTTTTGGGAATGCCTCATCTGATCTGATTTATCATTCATTTTTGAGGTCGCTTTTAAGATCTCAATCTTTTTCGGTTTAATGGCTGTTCGTGCGTCATTAAGGAATGCTTCACCAAATGTCATTTCAAACCTTTTTAACATTTATTTTGCAGTGTCCGACCTTCTCTCCATTTAAATAAATGGTGACTGGTCAAGCTCCAAAAAGCTTTTTTTTTTTTTTTGGTCACATTTTGTTCATTTTTAGAGCTAAACAGCCTGTGTACCAGTTTATAAGCATCATGAATCTGCAGGTTTGGAAAGACATGAGGGTGAAATAATGAGAAACCTTGCCTTCAGAATAATGCTGGATACTCTTGCACTGCCATCAACACTCACTGGGGGTTTGTCTACAGTTTGAATACCATCATTTCTTAAACATCATGTCTAAAATATATCATTTTTCGCCCTCATCACATCCTGAATGGCCTTTGTTACTCAATTAGCAGTTTTACGATATCTTAAACCGATCCGATTATTTTAATACGCTGCTATAATTTGGATTTAGACATGATCAATAGTACAACAACGTCTGGGAAAGATGGCTTGTCGTTCCGTGTTGTGATGCTGTGCCAAACTATACTGTAGATGTCGATAGCTGGGATGAATCCAGCGGTCAGAAGTCAAGGCTTCAGGCAAACACGAGCTTTAGCCACTTGTTCGTGACGCTGTAACAGAAAAACACTGGCTCACGTTTGCACTGCATGACAACGTACCGAAAGCGCTGGTGCTGCAGGATCACAGGTGAAGAAACGGACTCGAGCGTTTCCGCTGCTTCACGGCTTATTTAGTTCACCGAAATAATCAAATGTGTGATGGATCTGCTATTAGGTACAAGAATGGCAAGTTTTGTTCAAGACAACTGTTATTTTCACTGAATTTGCTTAAATTAAATACAATGTTTATACGTGCACACACATATTAATACTGTTTTTTTTAATCACCATACTCTTAATTGTTTTTTTGTCTTCTTCCAAATATTTGATTTGATTTCTTGAAACGTCCAAAGGGCTGTATATCTCGACGATGTCTGCTTGTATATGCGTTTGGTCTTTCTCTGCAGATTTTTAAAGCAACATTGATAGACATTGGCGGGCGTCCATGGGTCTCTTCCTCCGCATCTTCTCCAGCTTGGAGCCTAAAGCCTTGTTTTCTCGAACTGCGTAATGGACTTAAATGGACCACAGCAATACCGAGAGTTTCAGGAATGACGGTTTCTCCTCTTCTCGTGGATTTTCGGTCTGTGGACCCGAGCACATGTTGACCGTTTTTGGTTGTTTTGACCAGTGTAAACTGAAGAAAGAATGGGGGGGGATTTATAAAGTGGCCAGAACAAAAGTGTTTGATTGTTTTATTCAGTATTAATGCGTTTTAAATCCAGGGGGAACATTTCTTGAGTTGTTGATTTCCATTATGATGTTTTTGAGTGCCAGGTCATATTTCACTCCACAACCAGAAGGGGAAAAAAACAAAAACATATTTGTGACATTTTCCATGACAATTAACCACATTTTTGCTAATTTCTGATGCAACAACATAATAAATCAGTAATATATTAAAGTATAAGGTGTTTAGGCATTGTCTAAGTATTTGCTGAACAGCTTTTAATTCATGAAAACTATATTACTACATTTTTACTATATTACACTTAGTAATAATCACATTTTGGAAAAGTACACTTATCATGAAATATTTTCACAATGAGAATTTTTTCACTTTATGCGAAGTGCTATTATGTAATTTGTTTGAGTGAAATATGACCTGATGGTCTTTTTATGGGCTGTGAAGTTGTGTGAACACTAGAGGAAAGTGTTGAATGTACCACCTGTGTATGGCCCTCACTGTACATAATCTGATTTCCTACTTTAAGTAGCTCTTATGGCTGCATTTGAAATGAAAATGTTTCTGCACCCTGGATATATTCAGTGGACTGTATATATTAGTTTAAATGTGAAGCACGGCGTCTTGTTTTCCCCCTTTCCTTTAGCGAAGCGTAACCGGTTGTGGATGTACGTTTGCTTTATTATGTTCATTATCTTCTACAGTGCCATTTTCTGAAGAATTAGGTTTGTTTTATTAGATTGTTGGTTTGTTTTTGTATTACATGATGAGTAAAATTTATTAATTTGATTAAAATTTTAAGTTGACAGTACAAAAGTTGAAAGTGAAATCTATTTTAACCACTAAAGCATATACTTGTTGTGAAAGAAATGCTGTAATTATGTATAGCGCTTTCTTTTGTAATAAAAGAAAGATTTGAGAATAATTTTACACACGCTTGACACTGAATCATGGGTTTTGAAATAGTGTCATGTTTTCATCAACTTCTTTCAAGTCTGTGTGATGCATCCATACTATAATATATATATATATATATATATATATATATATATATATATATTGCAGAAAACAGGAACATACAGAAAAATAAGCATAATATTAAAGCACATATCAACCACAACAATAACACTAATAAAGGAAACGACAGCAAAATAAAATTATAAAAAAGCCGACTATATTTAAACCGTGGCGACGCAGCGAATAGCATCTTATTATTTCTGCAGTAAATACTGTAATGTCTATGCAACTTTAATATTTATAGTATTTTAATTATAACTATATTTAGCAGAATTTGAATTCTGTATCCCAAAATACACTTGACTACAGTTAGCATTTGTATGCAAACACATTTTTTACACTAAATTGGATTAGTGTTCGGATCTTTTTAGATTTTCAGCCATCCGAATAGGCTAGTAACAGGCAGCACACATGGCACGACTCGTGTTTGTCATTAGTCTTGTATTTTTGTTTATTTATACAATTGACCACAGGTCATAAACCTGAAATAAGAAATAAACCAGTGTTACAAATATATCCATTGAATATATAATGCAAGATAAACAAACATGAAATAGTTACAATAAAATAACTAGATTTATTTCTTTTGTAAATAAGAATACACTATCATATAATCCCCTATACAGTTTTACACAGCTGTATCAGAACATCGCAGAAACTACATTTCCCATAATGCATAGCATCGCTCCTGCGCAGAGTATAGCTATCACATGAGTAACCAGGCAAAGTGCATCAATCATTACAATGTTTTACCAAAATGAATGCAACTCCGTCGCCTACCACAACCATCTGCTACATTAGTTTACCTGGTAATTTGTTTATTATCCAGAGTTCGAACATATCGCAAACCGAGAGAACTGAACAGTACACGCACTAACTTAACTACAATTAAGTCTCTCAGCACGGACTAAGCGCGGCAAATGTCAACAATTACACACGCACTGTTCGGATCTTTTTAGATTTTCAGCCATCCGAATAGGCTAGTAACAGGCAGCACACATGGCACGACTCGTGTTTGTCATTAGTCTTGTATTTTTGTTTATTTATACAATTGACCACAGGTCATAAACCTGAAATAAGAAATAAAACAGTGTTACAAATATATCCATTGAATATATAATGCAAGATAAACAAACATGAAATAGTTACAATAAAATAACTAGATTTATTTCTTTTGTAAATAAGAATACACTATCATATAATCCCCTATACAGTTTTACACAGCTGTATCAGAACATCGCAGAAACTACATTTCCCATAATGCATAGCATCGCTCCTGCGCAGAGTATAGCTATCACATGAGTAACCAGGCAAAGTGCATCAATCATTACAATGTTTTACCAAAATGAATGCAACTCCGTCGCCTACCACAACCATCTGCTACATTAGTTTACCTGGTAATTTGTTTATTATCCAGAGTTCGAACATATCGCAAACCGAGAGAACTGAACAGTACACGCACTAACTTAACTACAATTAAGTCTCTCAGCACGGACTAAGCGCGGCAAATGTCAACAATTACACACGCACGAAACTTTAAACATTCCTCAATTAAAGTACAGCAGACCGTACCTCCTGATAAACATTTCAAAAGGTTCTAAATTCGCTACATACCAACGGGCTGTGTGCTCCTGATGATGGATTGTGTGCTCAGGGCATTCCGTTTGTGAATCAACAATAGACGCTACTCTACGTTTTTCTGAAGCTTACGGCACAACTCCGCATGCTCAAACCATCACGCAACAAATACTCATTATGAAATAAATATAATTCGCTTAAAATAAACCCTACTGTTCTCAATATTTTAAGCTATAACCATGCATTTTATCAATATATTTTTTTTCTAGTGACCCAAAAAACCGAACAATTAGAAATGTAACATTTAGCATATTTCCATCATAAGTTAATATACTCAGAGGTGAATATGCATAATTTCTATAAGGCTCTGTGTCTCCCAGCAGCGTTGGGGAAGTTACTTTTAAAAGTAATGCATTACAATATTGCATTACTCACAAAAATGTGACTAATTGCATTACATTTTATGAAAAGTAATGCGTTACATTACTTCTGCGTTACTTTTTCTCACCTGGGCTGGGCTTGCTTGTTTGTTTTTTAATAACAACAACAAAAAGTTATATTTTGGGCAAATGTTAAGGCCCTTTCACACCAAAAGTGAAATGAACACGCCTCAGGCTGAAGAGATGCATATTTACACCCGTACAGTAGAGGACGAGCTCAAGCAAACCTCACAGCTGCTGATAATCTGGCTCACAGAACTATAGGAGACAGGAGAAGAAGTGCAACTCCCTTATTTCTAAATATAATCTAAAGTCATTTTTGCTTTTTATATGGTTGAATTAGATCATTGATGGTCAGCAGCAGCAAAGACATTGGTTAATAAAGTGAGATTAAAGTATATTTGTGTAATTTAATATATAGTTAATTGTGAAAGTTTTGTGTAAAATTCTGAGATTGCATTTTA